GAACGCAGCTTATGATGTAGTACAGCGTCCCTTGTAGATTCGAGCGGTTGACATCAGTGTCGATAGGTAAGACTGTAGCGTATTGACTTGATTTTAGATGTACAAAAGTACGAGGTCGCTAACAGTGCGTACAATCTGCCGATCAAGTCCTCGACCGGACAATACGGGTATACGTGTTGCACATGCTGAGGATTCTTGGTGGCCATAGCGGTTGTTGAACGCGCGGACCTGATGATCATGTTGGTAATGGAGCACTTTCCACGACCCGAGCTTGTGCGAACATGTGGGACTATCCAAAGTTAGCTGTGGGTTGCCGTATGTTTGACCGAACCCTGACAGATATGTCAGCACTGAGCTTGTCGATACATGCACATTTTATGACCCTCCCTAAGCCCATGTTCATGTGCATGGGTCACTACACGCACCAGTCCAACAGCAGTAATTTGCTTCAAGCGAGTCATCCTGTCTAGGAGGTCCAAACACACATAGAAGTTGCACCAAAGCAACAATTGATGACAAAGCTGATCGCAACCTTTGGTAGTAAACAAGGGTCAGTTTTGCGTTCGAGCAATCGGTGAAGGTGCGAACAGAGGACTTGAATGTGGTGGAGGCCGAATAAGGCTAGTGCCAATTTGATGAACACGTGCTCCAATCTTTGCTATGCATCCCTTTGGTGTATACGTTCGCTCAAGAAAACCCCGAGAAAAGAAGACATCTGGACGTGCGAAGGTGACTGCCTATCTAGTCAGCTCGCTCCTACCTGTGGAGCAATGCAAAATCGCCCCAAATCAGCTCGGTGAACTGGCAGCCCCGATGGTACACCTACGAGTGGGGACTGCCTAAAGTAGAAATGACGTTTGGCGTTGCATCCAGGCAAGACAACGGTGTACAACAGTGTGCAGAGATCGTGCATGCCCATGGTATCGACACGAATGCGACCTGATAAGAACCGGCGGCAAATTAGAAAATTCGCCAATTGCAAGTGATACGAGTGCACTCGCCCATGCGAACTATCGTCCTGGAGGTAACGTGAAAAACGTACAAGGCGTCTCATGCTGTGTTGCGACGATGGTTGCCTTGTTGCCTTGGTCCCTATTCCCGTCGCTGGAAGAGCCTGTTTTTATATCTGCCGGTAGTATTACGGGATCTGGGTCTTTACACAGGGGCGTGGGCGACAGACGTCTGCGTAGTCATGTAGCGAAGTCTCGAAGAAGCGCTGGGCACGTCTCATACCCAAGCTAGGCGCGGAATGTCATGCCAGTCTTAGGAGCATTTGCAGACGGTACTACAGCTCTTAGCAGCCCAAGCGCAGGTATCCTTCAGATGACTATGGCGACCGTGTCGACTGTAAGTCTCCCCTGTGCTATGGAGGTATGCCTATAGCAAGACGTGGAGTTATGTCCGAGAGCCTATGGAAAGAGATGGAAAGCAGCATGATGATATCCACTTCTGCGACAATTAATGTCATGCTTGGTGAGGCTTTCAGGCCCATACGCCGTTACTCAAGCATCGTATAGCTCCAGCGCTACGTTGCTGTGCCACGTGGAAAGCGAGCCCGTGATAGATTGGATTTTTGAATGCGCTACGATCATGTGAGGGGGAAGCGTGATGAAGCGTCATCGCAAGGGAAAACAGAGGATGACGATGTTGGGTGTTGTCGGGTGACAAGCGAGGCAGGTGAATGATGGCTGCGGAGGTGTGGCTGGTCCCATGGCGCTAGGCAGTGACATCGGTCCCGCAGCCTTCAACCCCACTGCCGTGCGCCCCTCCAACACCTTGAGCAGACACAATACTGAACATCACTACACTCACGCAGAAGGACTTGCACTCGATAAGCGAATCAAATCCAAGCCCAACATGGCCTACAACTTTGTCAGGTCCTACATCGACACGTTCCGAGAGCGGACCGCCGCTATCAGCCACACATCGACCTTCCGCGAGACGGGTCAGATAACACCAGAGGAGTTTGTCCTTGCGGGGGATTTTCTGGTCTTCAAGTTTCCCTCGTGGCAGTGGGCAGATGCGACATCGCCGGCGAAGCGCGTATCGTACCTGCCTGAAGGAAAGCAGTTCTTAGTTACGCGCGGCGTGCCCTGCCACCGACGGCTCGACGACAACTTCGCGGGTGAGGCCGGCCAGGACGAGACAATAGTACGGGATGGCTTCACTGCTGGAGAAGGCGCGACCGACGACGACGGCTGGCTAAGGACTGGAGGCATGGCGGCTAGTCAGGAGGCCAAGGTGCGCGATGTTCGGACGGTTGACGAGAGCGGCAACCTAGGCGCGGCAGAGGAGGAGGACGAGATACCCGATATGGAGGATATTGAAGACGACGAAGAGGCCATCATAAGAGATCCTCAGGGCGACTCAAACACAAAGGCGTAAGTTGATCCGTCCTCGCTCTGCCACCCAACAGGGGACAGGCTGACGTCTACTAGGCCCCTCCGAACGTACACCCTATACATCACATACTCCGCCCACTACCGAACACCGCGACTATATCTCTCCGGCTATGGCTCCACATCTGTCCCGCTCAAACCCATGGAGATGATGGAGGACATCGTGGGAGACTACAAGGATAAGACTGTCACAATCGAGGACTTCCCATTCTTCGACAACACTCTCAAGACTGCCTCAGTACATCCTTGCAAACATGCATCCGTCATGAAGGTGCTGCTCGACCGTGCCGATGCCGCCCTGAAGCTGCGGCTTGCCAAGCTCAAGGCTGGCAAAGATGTCAGCAAACTCGACAGCGGCATGGAAGCACTTGTCGATGACACACGGTTGCTGAAGCTTACCGAGCAAGCCAAGAACAAGGACGGCGATGAGGCCAAGGATGACTGGGAAGTACTTAGCGAGGGCGGTGACGACGAAGTAGCCATCCGCGTGGATCAGTATCTTGTTGTCTTCTTGAAGTTCATGGCTAGGTAAGCACAACTCACCTCGACGTAGCGCACATCGGCTAACAACCTCATAGTGTAACGCCAGGTATAGAGCACGATTTCACCATGGGTGTCTGATTGTCGACATATATTTTGGGTACGAGGCGTTGGCGGCATCGTCATTGGGCAATTACTTTACTCAGCGGGCGTAGACATACCTAGGGCGGGTAGGCAGCAGTCTTCACCATCACCATGATTCATTCAGGAATATACCATCCCCTTGAACTTATTTGGCTGTAGTTATGGCATTAGGTAGAACACGAAACAACATTTATATTGCACTCTATCGTCGTCGGAACCCTCCATATGATCGCTTCCAGTCCCTGATGCCCTCAGGCCGACGCATCTCAAGCTCTTTGCCTTCGTATCCGAAGCTGCTTTCCGCTCGGTGGAACGTTGCACATAGCTTGTCAAAGAAGCTGTCTTCCTCTGAAGCCTTGGGAAGAGTTTGCGGTGATTCCAAGGATCCTGGTGCTACGTCGCCAGAGAAGTCCTCAGACTCGTCAACAAAGGCGTCTTCCTCGTCGTCTGTTGATGTGGGATCGAAGAGAGCGTGGAATTTATTGTTCAATCGAACGCGCCACGGGTCGACTTCAGATGATGCAGAGGATGATAACTTCTCGGCGATCTCGAACTACGACGGTTAGTCACCGTAATCTTTGCAACATCTGACATATGGCTTTTTGACGTACCTCTCTTAGTCCTTGCAGCCGGAATTGCTCTGCTCGTTTCTGGAGACGTGGTGCCGATGGTGAAATTGGCATGGCGGAAGCAAGAGCGAACAGTGCCACAAGGGCCATAACAATGAAGGAGCGCATTTTTGAAGTGGTAAGGGAACAAAGTCCGGACTGATGTAAGAGTGCTCGGTCGGATCGAAATGTGTAGCTATCAAAGCTGAATCGGTGTAGTCTAGCTACTAGGTACCAGCGCTCTTCTCGAAAGTAGCGAAAATGAATGAAGAAAGGAAGGACAAGCACACGCGTAAGTATGTAGCAAGAAGATAAGGCACGTTAATGAGTGGCGACGCAAAGGAATATCCACATCTATATCCGCTGCAGGAACGGCCGGGGTAGTAGCGAACGAAGACCGGTTCGTCTGAAATGCATCATCACCCGCATCTTAGCCATACAAGCTTACTATATATCCGCCAACCGGCAGGTCAGACGTCTTCAGAGGTTACGTCGCCCTGTCAATTATTCCGAAACAGCGGTCCGCGCACCAAAGGGAAACGATCAGCGGCAAGGAGAAGGTGTTCGCGCAATCTTTAGCCCGTGATGTTGGGGCAGAAAGTCAGGGTTTAGACCACGTACTGAAGACGCCAGTGTAGGCTCAACCGACTTTTGCTTGTTCTCGACACTGTCATAGGCAGGGGTGGTGACAAACGCGTGGACGACCTGCCCAATATGGTTGGAAGGAAGGTCATGACATGACATCCATGGATCCGTTGAGGGGAGCCAGGCGTGCATCAACGTCTTCAGACCAGAGCCAACCAACGCCAGAACCGCTCGGCTGATGTTTCTTCACCCGAGATCTGAACAGGTACGTTTCTATCGCTGCTCCTCCGGTTGGGCACAATGTTTCCACTTGCATGATTCCCGGTACGCCATCGTTATGCCAAAGTGTGCGGATGTGAGTTCTGTTACAGAATACGCCGGGCGGTTGAGCTGAAGGATTCCGGAGATTTAGCCTGGAAGTCGTTGGACTGGACTTGGTTGAAACAGATGTCACAGGTGGATTGCGCGTCAACGCGGGCGCTAACATTAGCGCAGCACTAAAACGTGCACGGACCTAGAAGAGCAATCGGGGTTAAACAAAGCAAACACTCCCAGCCTCTCCATCACGCCGACGTCATCAGCGTTGCGCGACGTTGGGAACAGCTTCATACTCACCTGGAGAATATACACTTGAACATCACATATTACCGCATACACATCTGGGCCTCTTAACGATGATCAGCTGGACATCCAAACAAGACAGCCGAAGACACAGGACTGGCTTCTTGGACACGTCTTGACCACCCTTGCTTGGAGCTATCGGCAGAGCATCAAATTACCCGATATGGACGCTCAGGATCAATCACACCGGATAATGCTCCCAGGATCACAATCACCAGCATCCACAATATCCGCACAGGCCCTAGATCTCAGCGGACTCCCACCAATCGCTATATTTACTGCGCATTTGAAGGACGATGAAGTGAGAAAACTCAAGGAAACGTTGCGCCAGTACGACGCACCGCTTATCACCGATATCTCAAGGGCGAAAGTCTTCATCGGGAAGGTGGGTACTAAGAAAAGAGCTGAGTTTGAATTAAGGTCTCGAAAGCTGGTAGTTCAGGAAATCGTTACACCCAAACGGCCAGCAAGTCCCGTGAAGACACAGAATCACGACAGCAAGAGACGAAGAGTTGGTGAAACATCAGGTCGGCTACCAGCGGATGAGCAAGACTCTACTACCGATGACGAGGCTGGTCACAACACCAACACTGAGGATGAAGCACCAAATACAAACAAGCAGCACATACCGTTACCATCACCTTCGAAGTCCGACAATGGTCCACATTCTGCACCAATGTTTGAGACTTCGTCAAGTGAAGACGTCATTTGGGTTGTCAAGTTTGACTGGGTTGAAGCTTGTGTAACTGCAGGTCATCTACTTCCACTACAGGACAATCTAGTATACAAAGGCAAAGTTCTTGAAAGGCCTAAGTCATTGACTACAAAATCCATCAGAGATATATTTGTGGCGCATACCAAAGCAACGCCAGTGTCCCAGACGCTCTTGGCAACACGACCACATCCCGTGCAGGACATCTTGGCCCGCGCAAGATTGGATGCGCCTACGGCCTCGAAGAAAAGTACTTATCAACCTAAGGAACTCAGAAAGTATGGCTCTAATCGTTTCGATGGCAAGACTTTTACTCGTTCTTCCCAAGCTGTTGGTCACTCCCATGCTTCACAAGCTGCACATCTTTTGCAGCAAACGACAAGCGAGTATGAAGGCGAGGACAGTGATATGCCTTCACCACCGCAGTGGGTGAAGAAGGGCGTCAAGTACGCCTGTCAGCGCTTTACACCTGGCAACGGACCTAATGAAGATTTCCTTGACCAACTCAAGAAGATTAGAACTGCTCGAACCCTAATCGATGACGACATTGGTGTTCGTGCTTACTCGACCATCATTGCATCCATCGCCGCATATCCCTATAGACTTAGTCACCCACGAGAGATTGCACAATTACCTGGTTGTGATGAGAAGACTGCTCTCCTCTTTGTAGAGTGGAAGAACACGGGTAAGATCCAGGCCGTAGAAGATTTTGAGACCGACGAATCAATGAAGATCCCCCGTTCCTTCTACAATATTTGGGGTGTTGGAGCGAAGACCGCACGGCATTTCTACCACAACAACCACTGGACTGAGCTGGATGATATTATCGAGTACGGCTGGAACGATCTGGACAGAGTGCAGCAGATCGGCGTCAAGTATTACGACGAATTTTTGGTGCCGATTCCACGATCCGAGGTTGAGCAGATCGCAGCCGTTGTTCGTAAGCACGCAGTAAAGCTTCGCGACGAACGGATAACTGTGACGATTGTAGGCGGATACAGACGTGGCAAGACAGAGTCTGGCGATGTGGACATGATCGTGTCGCACCCAGACTTGGATTGTACAGCAGGATTGGTTCAAGAGATCGTCGAATCATTGGAAGAAGTCGAGTGGATTACTCATACCCTCACACTGAGCCTGAAAAACACCAATCGGGGTCAACTTGCGCTGCCTTTTCGATCAGCGAGGGGAGCGGGCGTTGGCTTTGATACGCTTGATAAAGCACTTGTTGTATGGCAAGACCCATCGTGGCCTACCCGTGACCAGGATATTCTAGAGAACCCTAAAGCAAAGAACCCCACTATTCATCGCCGAGTCGACATTATCGTCGCTCCTTGGCGAACAGTAGGTTGCGCACTCATGGGATGGAGTGGCGGTACGACATTCCAGCGTGATCTCAGGCGATATGCGAAAGCAGTCAAAGGCTGGAAGTTTGATAGTAGCGGTATTCGGAGTCGAAGTACCGGTGAAGCTATAATGCTGGAAGGGCCCAATGGAGTCCATGGAACACCAGAAGATGCAGAGAAAAAGGTCTTTGAAGGTTTGGGTCTGGAATACATACCACCCAAGTATAGAGTAACATATTGACATCACACGGTACAGCATCGTGAAGGCTGTCTTTCTGCTTCACTAGTTTGCACCTGTAGAAGATTTAGTAGATTCGTCACGACGAGTCTTCACACGTGTGTACCACGTTCTGAGATGTCTCTACGAAATACACGATCGCCAATATGTTTAGGACTCTAACAACAGCATTCGAGCACAACCGACTAATACAATGGAGGCCACAAAAGCCGTGGACGAAACAGAAACTCCTGACGCCGTCGAGCGCGGCCGGCTTATCAAGGGATTTATCATGACTGTACAGTTCATTATCAGCCTCGTCATGTTCATCGTTGTACTGCCATTCTTTGTACTATGGCGCGTTCCAATAAGCCTTCTCTATCTGATCAAGAAAGAGAAGGAGGAGCCAAAGAACTCAGATCAACAAGGAGAAAGGGAAAGGGAAAAAGTAAAGGAAAATGGGCAAGAGAAAGATTATGACGAAGAGGAAGAACCAGAACTTCTGCCCCCAAAGGATGCTTATGAGCGCGCCATAGACCGCTTCAACAAAACCTGGAAAAAGTTCAGAGACCTTTCCATAAACAAACCCGTCGTAACTTACTGGCCCCGCATAGCCGCTGCCATCCTCCTCGTAGTCCAAACCAGTTTCTCCCTTGCGCTTCTCGAAAAGTCACTCGTCTATCATATCCCCTGGTTCATCGCACACATCTCCAACAAGGAATACAAAACTAACAAGAACAAGGAATGGCGGAATGACTTTCTGTTGCACGTAACCGGCCTGACTATGACGTGTGCACCCGTTGCTGGACTGATGGGAGTGGGAGTAGGAATTATGTATTACATGGTCAAGATAACCAAGTATGGGAAGTTCAAGAAAGGAGCTCGGAAGAAGAAGGGCGGCAGAGGGTATGATAATCCGAAGGAGAAGTGCAAGGATGCGAACGAAGAGGGACACAAGGTCAAAGAAGCGATTATGGGGGTTGTGGATCATGTCATGCATCCGCATGTACCACACCCGCATGTACCTCATCCGCACCTGCGTTTGCATCCGCATACCGGACATGAAGCCGGAAGAATAAAGCCAGAAAATTCACCGTATGGTCATCCGGGATACAGTGAGGATATCATATTCGAACAACCGGGAGACGTATCATGTGAGAACCATGATTTCGTTCAGCCGCCGCCCGTCGTCATTAAACCTCCAGAAAAGACAGCCTGGTATGACAAGAATCCGTACACATTGGCTGGTATCGCATCTATTTGGACTGGCAGAGAGCAGAAGACGAAGGCAGGATACGATGGAAGGGATGTGAGGAGGCGGAATTTCGAAGAAGACATCGAGATGGCAAATAGAGCAGGGAACATGTGAGGGACAGCATGAATTGTAGTATCCCCTGGAATATAGTTTTTGCTGCAATACTCATAACGCCTTGCTAGCACAGACCAAGGAAATAGCTAAACTGATAGTACATGTAGAAACAAACCCCCGCATACAGCTCCTGGTATCATCACTCAACTCTTAACCCCGCGCTTGCTCTTACGCTCACACAACTTATTTAGCAGCCCACTCAAGTACTCTTCTTTCCCTCCAGATGCCACTTCATAACCTTCTCAAAGATTCCCTTGCCATCTCCCTCCATGACATCTCCGTGACAAGGAATAATCCTGTTGAATCCCCATTTGTTGATCCTCTCCATACTAGCAGCAAAACCCTTCCTGTCCTTTGCACTAGTCCCATACCAGATGGTGCGCTGCTGCCACTTCGCGTCGCCCTTGGTACCCTGCAAGGCCGTGAAGATCTTTGTCAGAATGCCACTGTTCGCATCAATACCCGTTTTGCTAAACTGCTCTGTAGCAGGCAGGTTGAACATGAGGTCTGCCTGGATGAGAGTGCGGGTAGGACGGTGGTGGAAAACGAGCTCCTTGTTGATGTGCGAGGGGACGTACTCCCAGTCGAACTCAGCGTCGAACTCGGGTGATATGGACTCGACGCGCTTATTTTCGCCAAAGAGGATGGAGAAGGGGACTTTTTCGTCGTTTTGCTTTTCGCGCTTTTCGGGGAGGACGTCGGGGCCCATGACTTGCGCGTTAGGGTATTCCTTGTGCCAGGGACCAAGGAAGATGTGGTGCTGTTGACTTTATTAGGGAAAGTTCTAGGTGCTTTGCAGGACTTGAAGAGCTTACTTCTGCATCCAGGGCTGCAATGTACTTCACTTCGCCCATCTCGGAGACCTTCTGCTTGACATCGTCGGTCAGCGCGACAGGAGAGAAGACCGCAAGCGCACCGGATTCGAGGCGCACTATTCGCGTATATCAGTAGGTGCTTGTGAGATGTCGATCGAGTACGGCATACCGATTGTTCCTCTTCCGCCAATCTTTATGCGACCGAATCTCCAAAAGGGAACTGATAGAGTGGTGATAACGCGTGGAACGACATCGCGTATCACCATAACGGCGGTCGGGTCGGACGGTACTAGTTTCGACGACATGTTGAGTTATGTGAGTGGAAGAATGCGCAACTGAAGAAAAGCAGTGTAGAAAAACAAGAGTTGTTGCGAGGATGCGCCGGATGCTTGGTATCTAAGATAGAAGACGTAATGCAGTCAGACCCTGAATGACGCAATGTTCAAGATCGGGAGTGAAACGACTCTAGAAATGCAATTCAATAGTGATTGTGTTGGACGACAACCTATATATCATGACGAACGTCTTATTCGGATCAAGGATACGATTTTGTCCGCTCAAAAGGAGGGGGTTATGGCATGTGGGGAGATGTCATTCGAGTAAGGTGCTAGCTGTCGCGTGAAGCTGCAGGGAAGCGTGGGCCGAGGCGCCGCAATTCGACAGTAATTAGACGCGGTCGCGCTTCCAAAGGTTTGTCAGCTACGTCACCGCGTGGCAGATTCAAAAGATCTAGACTTGATGTTCAAACCTTCGCAATGTGCTGATGCAGTTGGATATCGCAAGAAATTCACATTGTTATGATAAACTCGGGATTGCGAATTTGATCTGGGTTTAAGTTTTGAGTTCGCAAATGTATATGTAGTATGGCCTAATCTGAACTGTCGTTGACATTCACATGCTACTTCTAGAATTTGCATGTCGCGCTTTGGTCTTCGGCTTTTCCGGTAGCCGTTCCAGGGGCCAACTAATCACCGACCCACATCATCAGCGAGCACACGGTGCATCCTTTTCTGGAAACTTTCCTGATGTGTGTAGAGGCTCGGCGGACGAAGTTGGGCCGCGCCACAGTATTTGGAAGCGTCGCAGACTGGCCATCTGGCCAGACTTGTAGTCTCTCGTAAGGTTGTTTTGCTTCGTGCGATGTCTCACCTGGCATTTTCAGCGCTGAGCTCTGCCATCAACCCTCCGGCATCCCTTGCTTTGGCATCCTCTTCCAGTCTCTTCTGAATAAAGGCACCCATCTCTTTGACCTTTTGCATTGCAACATTTGTGCAGTTCAGCAAAGCCAGTGGGTTGATCGTGGCTCCTCCATACTTCGCAATCTGACATATCTCGCCATGTTTGTTCATGGTAATGATGACCTCTCCCTGTCTGACTTGTTCTTCGGCCAAGTTTGCATCTACCAGGAATATTTCACCTTCGAAGTATGAGAAGGTCACGCAGAGCGGCTGATGGAGGATGGACAAGGGTATCGGTTCGCGTTCGCGTACGCTAAGGATTGTAGCTTGGTCGCCCTCTACTTGGACATCGGGTCGTCGGAAGTGTTGTAGTGCGGCCATGACGGCTATGCAAGATGCATCGATGAGCCCGCCATCATGGTCAATGATGTGTACATCTGCGCGGAGAGCGAAGCACTTCAAGCCAGCAATGATACATAGCGATTCGGTGTCGAGAGCGTTGGAGCGACGGATGGCTTTCTCGAGTATGCGCGAAAGGATGACTTCAGCATCTGTGGGACTAGCAACTCAGTCAGATACAGCGAGAAGTTGGTGAACTTTGGAACATGTGTACCGGCCAACTTCAAAGGCTGGAGAAGCCATTGGAGAGAACTCTGTGACTATTTGGAAGATACCGTCAAACTTGCGCTCTGGTAGTGGTGTCGTCACATCTACCGAAATGCGCGCGATGACCCTGAAGAAGGTTAACTTGCGCACTCGGATCCAAAGAATATTGTGTACCTCGTCTTGCCCAGTTGAACATCTGCGACGCCATACTCGTCGCCAAAGGTGAGCTCAAGCGGACGGAAGGCGTCGAATGCGCGTCGGTCGATACGAATCTGCTCCTGCAGCGCTTGCTTGATGAATTCGCGCTCATTGAGCGATATTTCAGCTTCTCTGGGCATCTTGACCTTCTACGACAGGTACGTGAGGTTGTCGTTGGTGAAATCATAGCTGTTCAATAGCCATAGAAAATGATGCGCGGGGACCGGCGCCGATCCTTAGCGTGATTTACGACTTGGAGCTTCTATGCGCCATTTCTTTCACGCATCAACAACTCACCACCCCAACTACGCGCAAGACTTCCGAAACCCGTGCCAAATCAAAATCCGATCAATTTATAAGAAACCAACACAATGACGACGGCCCACAGACCTACGTTCGATCCCGCACGCGGTAAAGAGGCCCAGCGAGGACCCGCCTATCATCAGCGACTTCTACCAGCGCATACAACACTTAAGCACAGACAACCAGGCCAAGGCGGTGATGCTGACGCTCAGCGCGACCTTCGCGCCGAACTTCTCGAGGCTGAGGCGCGTCACATCGCGAAGAAGAACGGCACCTACGTTGAACCGGAGGCGGCAGCTGAGCCGAATGCGCACAAACGTCAGATCGATGCTGTACCAGCAGCCGAGGAAGGAGAGGAAGATGAAGCAGCTCAAAAGCGGCGGCGCATAGAGGTGTTAGAAAAGTTCAGGGACGTAGATGCAGACGACAGCAGCACCGAGGACGAAAGTAGCGATGAAGAGTAAGTGCCGAGTCTGTCCCGGCTTTCAATCCCTTGCTAACATCGTTCCAGGGACGAAGACGAAGAGGACGAAACCGCGGCCCTTATGCGCGAACTTGAGAAGATCAAGAAAGAGCGCGCTGCAGCCAAAGCCAAGGAGGAGGCAGAACGCGCCGCAGAAGAGGAAGAACAACGCGAAATCGACGTCGCCCGAGGCAATCCTCTGCTCAATGCGAAAGACTTCACCATGAAGCGCCGATGGGACGACGACGTGGTCTTCAAGAACCAAGCACGAGGCACCGAAGACAGGAACAAGAAGAAGGAATATATCAACGACATGTTGCGATCCGACTTCCATAAGAAGTTCATGGTATGTACCCCTTGAATGTGCCACGCATAATACTCACTAACACTACGCGACAGTCCAAATACATCCGATGAGGTCATCGCCTTTCGTAGTATTACTTATCCGACTTTCGAATATCATGCATTGCATTGCGGGCGTTAGGGTCCTTGGCGCACAGGCTCTGGAACTTCTTAAGCAATCTACAAAGGAGTGTGGGATACCCCAGATCTTGGCGGGTATAAAGTAACCAGTGACGAGACGGAACCTAGCGGGACTCTTATCGCTATCTTGGATCAGCGGCGACGACCACCATTTCTGGATGTCAGCTTTATCTCTCGCTTCAGACCATCGTTACTAGGAATCGATCGAATGAACGGCATCTATCGAGGTCCAAATCTTGTTTCAAAATATGTCAGAGAGAGGCTTTGCCGTGTAGCAGAGACAGACTGCTGTGTTTTGCGCGAAGAATAGTAGCAGACGCTCCTTGAGCGGCTGTGGAAGCGTAATTCCGTACAGAACCGATAGCTGAACCTTGGGCCTAGTACGAGCCACTATCTCCTCCGATCCACATAAGCGGAATTTAGCGTGCCTACAGGGAACACCAAGCACACCTTGGCCAGGTCTTCCACCCTCTTATAGAACTTCTGCTGCAGATGATCTACGCCTCCCCCAGCAAAGTGACCTCATAAGGCTTTTCTGCCTTTGCCAGATGCTTGTTTATGCTGGGGGTCAGCACACGGCAGATAGTAGAGAAGGAGGCGCAGATATTATATAGTCAATCAGATATCTCTGTGAAACTGCCCAAACAGAACTACCATTCCAATCAACTCTACGTCTTCTCCACATACTCCTATTCTGTTCCCCATTCTCTAGAGATACACGCATTTACTCACAGTTCACCGCACGGACAACAACGACGACAACAATGGCAGGCTACGGGAACCGCACAGCACCAGACTACGCCGCAGAAGACCTCCAAGACCAACACACCAACACCCGTCTCGGCCTCATAGATTCAAATACCGCCTACCATGAGCCCCATGAAAAACACGGTTCAGGCATAACAGGCGGTGCTGGCTTCGGTACGTACCTGATACATCTCCTCATCTGCGTCCCAAGAAAAAAACAGCTATACCTGTATATCCCTTCCAAGAGCCAGACGACTAACGATGCCCACCACCGATAACAGGAAACAAACGCTCCTCATCTATCCCTTCAACCGACAATTCTGAATTCCGCTTCGGCTCCCATTCAGACACGGCACCGTATTCAAACGCCACGCCCATGGGCAGCGGCTCTACGGGTGGTGCAGGGTATGGGAATAAAACCGGTGAGATGAGCGGGCCAGGTCATGATTCTATGATGGGCAAGGTGGTGGAGAAAGTCGGTGGTATGTTATTCCCTCTTTCTTGTTTGATCGTGGCGATACCGTGGGTGGTGGTGATGAGGATGACGGTTCCAAGGCACAGGTGAGTTGCATTAGAACTGACTCGATGACAGGTATTATGAAGAACGAAAAACTATCGGAGAAAGGTAGGGTGATGCGAGAGAAGGAGGGGTTTGGCAGTGTGCCGGAATAGGGCGGTGTGTTGTTTCCTACAACGGAGTATTTGAAGCTTTATTTATAAATGATCCTTATTTCAGAGGAAGAGCGGGTGCGCTTGTTTTCTAGTTCTAGTGGAGACGGTAGTGTCCATCATTTGGAACACCGCAGATGATATTGTCCCATTCACATAAATCAAGAACCTGTTCGCAGATTTAGGACAACAGGCAACGTGAAATTGAAGTATTGTGCTGTAGCTTTGACTGTCCCCATGTCCTAGCCACACAGTGTTTCTACTTGCCCAAGAGCGCGCGTACACAGCATGGACTCCTTACTTCCTTCCTCACTCTCTCCCTACACACAAGGTACTCCAGGAAATGCAAAACAGAAAAGAAAAGAAGAAAATTCTCGCATGCCTCGCAACCATGTCCACTGATGCAAAGCAGTAGCAGCCGCAAACAAACTTAATATATGCCTTGTGTGCGGTACTGGAAAGTATCGTAACTATCATCATGTCAGTAAAACCGCCGTTGTCGTCCAAAGAACGAAAAAAGAGAAACGAAAAGGGCAAAACTCACAGTCGGGTATAATAACTTCCCACACTCTTCGCAACCAGCTCCTCGACGAACCCTTCAGCCTCCTCCCTACTCAAATGCAGCATCAATCTCGCCCTTAGACTGTTCGTCACAGTCTGCGCACCCGCCTTGAAACAATCCATACTACTATTCTTACTCATGAGATCAACTAGCATAATCAGCCGCTCTGCATCCTTTCTCAGCGCCTGGAACGCCTTTTTACACAACGTCTTGAATTCTTCGAACGCAGGGCCTGTCACACCGCCTAGCACGTCAACGTAGTCTTGCGTTAGCTTGAAAGGCGCGGCTTCAAAACCCATGCTGCCGGGACTGTTGGACAACATGAAGCCAAAGTCGATATGGATGATGTGGCCCATGTTGTCGATGAGGAGGTTGCCGTTGTGGCGATCTTTGAGCTGCAGCACGTAGCAAATCATGCTGTAGGCAGCGAGGGAGCGGGCAAAGCAACCTACACCCGCAATATAAGCTTCCGAGTCTGGTTCGCCAAAGGTCTTGAGCCAGTGATCTTTCAGGGTCGCGATGCGTTTGCGGGGGTTGGTGCCTGCTGCTATGCTGGCTAGTGTTAAGCTTCGCTTCAGCGAGTGGAGAGACACGCCGTTTGTAATGGTTTCGATGAGTCCGCAGGATTCGCCTGTGACGAGGATGCGCATGCGTTTTGTCCAGACGGGTACATTTGCTTCTTCCCAAATCTTGGTGCAAACGTCGATGAGCTGGCAGGCAAAGGCTTCTTGACGTAAGTCGGCACCTGTCTTGACAATGACACTGATGAGATCCCAGTTCTTCATGTGGCCGTATGGTGAGGACCGTCGTATCCGTTCTCGTTTTGCACTCCATTCTTCACCGAAAGTCGCGGCACTGGGATCGTCACGGTCACCCTTCCGCCGCATACCACCCGTCTTAAGATCATTCTCCATACGAGCTGCACCTGCACCCGAGTTGGTCGCGACCGGTAGACCATCTTCAAGCTCTTCTGGTTCGCCTGTGATTGCTGTTGGATCTGATTCTGCCATGATTGTGTCAAATGTTGGTCCCTGATCCTCGTTCAAGAAGTTTTGCTCTTCCAATGTCTGCATACTAGCAATGATCTTGGCTTTGATGGCTGCCACCTCGCCCTTTGGCCGTTTTGCGCCGCTTGCTTCAAGTTGTGCGAGCATCTGAGCAGCAGTGCGCATGTGGGTTGCGAGGGCCGAGAAGTCTGGTTGGTCGACGGCCTGGTTCCGTGAATTGAGGTTTGCTGGAATTGTCATACGCCTGATAGGGCCAGGGCTGTTCGATCTGCTGATTTGCGAGTCGGACGTTCGTGGCGTAGAAAGGGTAGCCACTGAAGATAGAGTGTTCGCTCCGCTTGAAGACCTTGGGGCTGTGGCCTTTCCATTGGCGGTTGCACTAGGTAATGTCACGCGCGCCATTCCAGACGCAATGTCGTTCTCATCCATATCCTTGATGAGTGAGGTACTACCCAGGTCTCCAGTAGCAGGCTCGAACACACTGTCGGATCCATTGGGCGGCGTGCGATCGAATGCAAGATACTCGGCATTGGTAATGTCGAAAAGACGTCTTCTCGAGGTGCCCTTCTCTAGCATCAGCTTCTCGAGCAACTGCTGATTCTGTTCGGTGTCTGGGTCGAAATCAAAATCCTCCTCCAGAACCTCAACCATGAGCAGGTAAGGTACTCGCTCTGCACTGTTGAGACTAGTTGATTCCGCGGGGTTTATGCGCACTATACGGTGATGCTGGCTTTGCGACGGGATCCCGTCCTTGAGAGTCGGAGGCGATAATAGAGGTATGTCTACTTCGGCTGGCAAGTCCTGATCTATCAACGCTAGCTCGGCTCTCAGCGCGCTCAACCGTGCGGGTTTTGGAACAACAACCAAGCGATTTGAGATGTCCTCGAGAGCGCTCAGGAACTGGGTTTCGTTGCGGAAGTAGTTGGATCGTAGAAGTCGAATTTTCTGGGTACGGGTCAAGGCAGTAGGTGTAAGAGGCCTTGGTGGTAGTCCCGACTTGCGTAAGCCATGTTGAAGTGGGCCTGGTCCTAAACCAGCAGTCGCTGGGGGAGTAGGGAGGGGGGACGATTTGCCGTCTCGGAAGTCGGGTAACGATGACGAGCTGAGCCGGGCTTCTGACGCTATTGACAACAAGGAAGGGCGGTGTTGCATCGAAGGGGCCCGTTGAGCAGCTGGTGGCCGCGCTGCCGCCTTCCTCAGCTCTTTGGGGTCGCGGGGTCGCGAAGACGAAGCCTTGATGGAGCGCCCATCTTCGGGGTCTGAGTGCTGGGCGGCTACCCTCTTCTCCTTGCTTCTTGACGATCCTCCCGTGACAGTCTTGCTCCTTCCGACCTTGGCCGTCTGCACGTTATCCGAGATGATGTCCTCGACGGGTCTGGGTTTCCGCGCCTGCGCAATTGCCAGAGGGCCGGCGTGAGCTGGGAGAAAGGGTGCGGCTATGCTCGCAAGGACCAGACTGGAGAGCACGGTGACGGGAAGTACGTTCTCCTTGATCTTCTCTCGGCGCTGCGGCTCGGCGGATCCGAAGACGATGCGCTGGACCCGGTTGTAGATTCGGCGACATGTCTTGAAGGCGATGGAGTTGGGGGCGCTTGCGAGATCGTGGAGATAGGTCTGGAATAGCCAAAATGTCTAGAGGGCAGAGGTTAGCACCCGCAGCGGCTAACAAGACACGGTATCCGCAAGCCCACCAGAAGCGCGCCGTTGACCGACTCCTCGCACAAGTCTATTATGAATTCCTCCAGAGCCATGGACTCGTTGTCGATGCTGATGAGCAGGTGACATAGCCTGTGCCCCGCGTATGTAAGCTAGCTGTTCATGTCGTCGTAGTAATAGTGGAGTGGGCTCGCGGCGACGTACTGCGGGAGGAAGAACTCGAGCTCCTCGTACGCGAACTGGCGCAGCTTCGAACAGAGCACATAGTGGATTCCGACGTGATCGGCATACCGGCTGTTGAGATATTTGATGTCAGTCTTGGCTCCCAATGCGGTCGTCTCGGTGAAGGGACAGGGAGAGGGAGAGCGCCGCGGCGGCGGTGCTGCGGGCAACGGTGGCTTCGGGGAGCGGCAGCGACTCACGCAAGGTATGCTACTGCGAGGCTCGGATCTTGGTTGAAGTGCTCAGATTCTATAAAGCGCTCTAGCAGATTCCAACTCATCTGGGACGGCTCATTGGGGCTCAGTACGGGTGGAGGGCGACAGCATGCGGTGAAATGCTCAAAAGGGTCGCATAGGGAAAGATGGGGCGCGACAGGGTTCAGCGGGCGGAGATGACCAGCTCCGCCTTGCTTGGGAAGATAGCTTAACAATGCGATCGTCCGCCTTTAGTCTTATATTACTTTCTCGCCACTGATCCGTCCTCTTGACGTTCCCATTCGCAATTTCACCTCCGTGACATCCGCCCTTCGTTATGAGCAATAATACCAGAAACGCAAAAGGAAACACAGATACCCGCAACCCAACGCCGTGCAATTGGCCTTTGCAAGAGGCCCAGACCTGTTCGCGCGCACTGAGCAAAATATCGTACACCAGCAAATATATACAGCAGGCACGTCGGATTAGTCCGCTGCGTGCAAGTCGACAAAAATGTTGATAGCAGCCACCAGCACTTCAGCAAAAATAAGAATAATGACGATCCACTCAAGCAATTCGCCCTGCATCCAGTTAGCAAAACACTTGTACATGAAACACGGCATTACTTACGTGCGTCACAGTCAATTGGTCCTTGAGAACAGCAAGCAAGTCCCCAATGACGTTCAGTCTTTCGGTCAAAAGACTGACTCTCTGATCCATTTCCAGATAGCTTCTCACGGCTTGGTACACAGGGTCTAGCTGTGGCTCGGCCCACATAAGCTCTGGCGCGTCCAGAACCGATCCTTGCAGATGTATACTAATACGGAGGATGAAGAGCTCTCCTATCTGCATGTTGATTTGCTTTTTGTTCAGGTTGATCTTGCCAGAGCTAGCGATCTCGGCCGGGATGTCTTTTGTCTCATCGATAGTGTTGTCTACTAGATCCTCAAAAAGCGATGTCTTGACACTCTGAGAAAGGCCGTGGCTGATGGCCAGCTTGATCATGTAGTTCTTCTTGTCGCGTAGACTAATGAAGTCGTTGTATATCCGGGCCTGATACTCGCGCGTGTAGTAAAAGTTGAATTCTTCCGTCTCGATCTCGTCTTTGCCGAGCTTGTCGACTTCGAACTTGGCTATTTCCTTCAAGAACTTCTTCTCTTCTTGCAACGTCATACCCCATATGACAACAGTGCCATACTCGAACAAGAACACTTCCGGAGTATGCACGCGTGTATCGAAATCTGGCGCGTCCATTTGCGGATCCGAGTCGGCGTGGGTGATCGACGGCCGTCTAGGGCCAATAGCTTGCTCATTCGCAATGTCTGGCGCATCGCCATCCTCGTGCAAGTCGATGAGATCCTGCCTCCTTCTCTCGTTCTCGTGCTCCACCTCAATGGCGCTGTCCGAGAACCTTCTCGGCCTCTCTTCCGTAAAGCCGTCGAGTACAGCAGTGCTGCTGACGTCTTCTGGGCCTTTTGTTGATCCATAGTTGTACGGCGAGTATATGCATTCATCGAAGCGCTTCGGGGCGGCTCCTCGGATCTTTTGCTTGCCTTTCAGAAATCGCATCATTTCATCGAGCTTGTACGACGCGGCCGTGCAATATGCCGTCACTCTTGGCAGTCGCTCCCTGTCTGCCTTTCCTAGTCTGGCTGCATCCCTTCGCGCTGTGGGGTCCTTTATCCTGGTGTATTGCACATAGACATCGCGTCCGCTCTCTTCGTCTTCGGCTTCATCCGCGGCCGGGTCGGGAAGGAGCTTGAGTTTCTGGGCTGTCCTCGTCGTTCTCTGGGGACCGATCTTGGGCACCGGCGCGGGGGGGATTCTGGCAGGCGCACCAGAACTGTTCCTTCTCCGCAGCTTACTGTTCAATGTCGAAAGCATGGGCTGTCCACCCTGGGTAGTGGCACCATGGCCGGAAGCGGAGGCGCTGTGCGAGATTGACCGCGACGGTGGTTTCGGACTAGTCGATGTGACGGTTGGGTTGAATGTGACAGTTCGCTGAGGCTTGGGAGGTATCGCTCGACTTGAGCTCGACATTGACGAGACCAAGGGAGTCGTCTCGGTAGAGCTTGACGCCATGGTGATCAATTCCAGCCAAGGTGCGAATCAACAGCGAAGGTGAAAGTGTCACTAGACAGAGAAGATGTCACAGTCGCAGATGCCCCGGAGTTCTGACGGCGCCATACGTCGGCGTTAGTGGATGCGGTTGGTGACAAGCGCGTAAGCTGTTTGTGTCGACGAGACTTCGAGCAATGACGTTGTAAGGATCTATGCTGAACTAACGGTCGCAGCACGGGCCTCCCACGTGCAAGAGAACGCTACTTGCATGGCGGCCGTTAAAAACCAACTTCCAGGAACCTGGATGTTGTGTGACTCCCAAGGTTCTTTTTAACGCCTTCGCGCTTGTGTGAGTTTGTACGAAGTTCGACCGCGCGCTTGCGTTTTCAAGATCTGCATCGGACGCACTACGTACAAAAGCGGTTATGATTCGTCGAGCGTCTCTTGATACTGTACGCAATACGCGTAGGCAAGCTTGGGGGATATATTAAGTCAAATATCAATTATAACTCCATGACCTCAGTCTCGTTTGCTTCTCCATTGTCCTCCATCTTAGGTTTTACAATTTGAGCTGGTTGCTCCTGGGTGATGATACCAACCTCTCCTAGCATAAAGCGGCCAAAGTACAACAACGCGTCTAGCATCTCCTCTCCGGTGGGTATGATGTTTTCTTTAGGGAGCAAAAAGCCGTAGCTACCGGTGTCTCTCAACTTAATCTGGTAAGAGTATCTGACCTTGAGCTCGTGGTAGAAAAAGTCCAGTGCACTGCCGCCACTGGACTCGATACGTGGAAGAATGGTCTTCTTCTGGTTGGCGAAGGCAACATTGCCCTCGCATGCAGAGTTGACCTTGTATGTTTGTCCTTTGCGGGACACGCGGATAGCTTTCGCCAGGCCAAGAGCGAGTTCTTCGAGGTCCTCAATTGCTGGGGGTTCCTCATTGCAAGAGTAACTATATGGGTACAGGATCTGTTGAGAGTATGAGTGCAGGTCTAGGAAACCAACAATTTCAACATTGTTGTTGTCAGTCTCGTTCCTCGCCCATTCCGCGAAGCGCGCTGATTCTGCGCCTTCGAACGGAGCGCTACCAGGATATGATTCGCTGCAGGGGTTCGATTGCAGAGAAGCGCCGTCCCATTTGAAAGGGTAGCTGCGGTCGAGGTCAATGCCATGGCAGAAACGAAGACTGGTGGGCTGGCGGTTCTTGCGCCAAAGACGATCGGTCTCCCAACTGTAGACGTATCCGTCTGGGTTTAGGGTTGGGACGAAGACGAAATCAAAGTCCTCCATGAGACGAGTCATTTCACGGTCCTTGCCGTAAGCATTGATGAAGCTCCAGGCTAGGTAGTTTACGGTGCTTGTGGATATCCACTCACGCGCGTGGATGCCGCCGGTAATGAGGATCGTCTTCCGCGGCTTGGACGGCTCCTCGTTGTTTGTGGGGTGCACGCCAACACGCAGGGCGGGTATGTCACGGCCTTCGTAGCTTATTCCAATGTTGATTCGGCGGACGTGTGTGGTGAACATGGAAGCCATCAGACTCATCCATGGGTTTATGACGGAGAGTGGCTGGTAGTCTTGGAAGAAGATGTTGCCCTTGCCCGATCGCGAGGACGGTCGGAGGTTTGAAGAGAAGCGATCGTTGTCGGAGGTAGGTGTAGAGTCGGGCGATGGGTAGGAGTTGAAGATTGCCTGTGCAAGGCCGATGTCTTGAAGGAGTGGTGCGTGGGAGTCCTTCAGCGATGCAGGCAGCAGGCCTAACAAGGAAGGCACGACGTCCTTGGATACCCGCAAGTCTGCCCAGTCCTCATTGAACTCCCATACGTCGAGGAAGAGGATGTCTGCCGCATCTGCTAGTGCCGAGGCTTCTTGGGCGGTGCCTATCTTGAACCTCAACACGACATCATCCCTATACTGCGCGACCAGCTTATCGCCCAGCGCATCGCGGCCAGTCTGCGCACTCTGCCCACCCAAGCTCTTTTGGTGCTCGGGCAGTCGCCAGATGTTGCGTATTATCGCGTCGGAAAGCCGCCGCCATGGTCGTGGGGACGGATTGTGGGTCGAAGCATAGGTTCCTGCATCGTACGGAGACGGCGCTGCGTCGTGCGGGGCGGCCGTTGCCAGCTGTGGCCCGAGAAGCAGCAGACTCAGCAGAGCGCAAACGGGCTGGCGCATTGCGGGTATGGGTGGCCGGGCAAGCGGTGAGCCAACTATGTATGCGATGCTATGGTGGTGGCCAGCAAGCGCCGGGAAGAGGGTGGAGAAGGTGTCGTGTGCCTGAGCATAGCATGCCTGGAAGAAACGTGGGAATTGTGGCTGGTGGAGCTTGCGAGGCGCGGCCATTTACGCCAACGCTGCGCTAGGCACTCTCCACTGCGCTGCAGAGAAGACCAGTGCGCTCGTCAGTGCCTTGGTGACAGCTGATCTGCTACCCTTAGGCCTGGTATCCTCCCCCTATACAACATAGCGAGACACTGTGACGTCGACTGCCCTATCCAACACCTACGTGTCCAACGCCGTGCCCAGTTCCCGACCGGCTCTCACATCTCACCTCCCCGACTAATCCTAGCATCACTCCGTCAGCCTTGTGGGCGTGCCGCATCCGAGCCATCCTACAGTCCAAAGAGCCCATAAAGCGACGCCCTTGACTGACCCCCTCCAACTGCCCACCCCGCTGTGCCATGTCAAGCACTGTGACGCCCTACTTGCATTCATGAGCTGCTAGTTGGCGCGAGCAGCCATGCCTCTGCGCTCCCTCCGCCCCGGCCGTAGCGAACGAGACCTCAAGCGACGGAGTACCCTCGACCCTGCCGGCTTCTTCAAGCGCGCCGACAAGGACGCACGCTTCGACAGGTCGGCCGAGAATCTGGACCCAGGTCGAATCGCTGCCTCTGAGGATGGCTACCGTCCAACATCCACCGACATTGCGCGGCCCTCGACAGGCCACGATGATGATGATGATGATGATGATGACGACTCCCCGCCTTCTCCACCCGTACAGGAACACACTCCCAACACCAAGCGCTTCAGTCTGATGCGCTTCCGCCATGCCTCTGATCCGCAACTCTCCGCCAAGGCAAAGGAACATGCCGCCCGGGACGACGATGCACCGCCCGTCCCTCGCGTGCCCGGTAACCCTGCGCGTACGTATATGGATGCATCCCACATGGCAGAAGGCTGTCGTACTGACGTAGAGCTGCGCAGCGCCCGCAATCATCACCACTGCACCCACCGTAGCCGACCACGAAGACGAGGATAAGACTCCCCCCAAACGGAGCAGGATGCAACAGTTCGCCCTGCGCCGGCGCTCATTCGATCCGAGCACGTTTGACAAACCGACGACGCTGCGCAAGTCGATGGAGAAGAAGCGGAAGCCACTAGGCTTCAAGAAGAGTCATGGAGACCTCCTGGACGAGAAGGCGCGAGCCTCGACGAGCAGCCAACGCCGCCCCGACGTGCTTGCCGAATCGCGAGAATCTGCGGAAAGCACCACCTCTCTGGCTCCTCCCACCAGGGCATCCGAGTCGTCCAGGTCAGATGGAAGCTCCGGCGGACACATTTCCTTTGAGTCGACCCCACGACCCGCTCACCCGGCCCGCGTTGGCTCTGGACGATTTGGCTTTGGCCGTCGAAAACAACGTGCATCATTATTTCCACTCCCTATGAAAATCGAGCCTCCGCAGTTCCCCGACACAGCACCTGCTACACCACGCCAGTCCACCGGCGCGAGGAGTTCGGCCTCAATCCATCATTCACCAACCGAAAGTCCCCCATTGACCGCCCGGCGCTTCACCCATGGAGAATCTGGGGCACAGACGCCACCAGTCCCTTCTGCATCGCAAGTTGCTCTAGCTGCTGGTGCTTTGAATTTAGCCTCATCTGGTCCAGGCACTCTCTTTCGCAACGACTCGTACAGGTCAACCCGATCCGCTCGTACCTCGCCAAACAACAATGGTTCAGCTCGCATGGGGCTTAGGGGGCGCTCATCGACCATGGGATCGATGGGCGGGCGGTCGGACGGCGCAGGTTCGCCAACACCACCCGGTGGACCCAGCGGAAGAAACTCCACCTCCACAGCAGGAAGGAGTAGCTTCAGCAATTTGTTCGGCCTGAGTTCAAGATTTCGTCAGAACTCCGAGCCCCATTCACCTAGGCATGCATCACCTGCTCACGGCCTTTTAGGAAGCTCGGGCTTGTCTTCACACCAGAATTCCATGAACATTAGCCGGGAAACACTCATATTACCAGATCGCGAGGAGGGTGAAACACCTGGGCGGTATTTGGAAAAAATCGAGGCCAACAATTTCGACAAGAGCGTCGTTGCAAGCTATCTCAGCAAGACTGACGATCCGTTCCTTCTTGCAGTATTACGAAGCTACATGCGAAAGTTTGCTTTCTTCGGTGATCCAATCGACATGGCCATCCGCAAATTACTCATGCAGGTTGAATTACCCAAGGAGACGCAGCAAATCGACCGTGTTCTGCAGGGTTTCGCTGATCGGTATCATGAGTGCAACCCCGGCATCTACATTAACACAGGTACGAAGACAACTATTTGCATCTCTCACCATGACTGACACATTACAGACAAGGCTTATTTCATATCCTTCTCAATCATCATCCTGCACACAGACGTATTCAACAAAAACAACAAACGCAAAATGCAAAGGCCGGACTACATCAAGAACTCTTCCTGTGATGGCGTCTCGGCTGATGTCTTAGGTTGCTTTTACGACAATATTGTCTATACGCCATTCATCCACATCGAGGACGAGGTCGACCTTAAGAACATCACCTCAAAGAAGAGCAAGAGAACTGCAGTGCTCAAGGGGCCAATGAACGATCCAGCGCGCAAAGCGGCCAAGGAACCCATCGATCCGTACACTCTTATCTTCGAAGGAAAATTAGACGCCCTCCGTCCTACGATTCGAGACGTGATGCAATTGGACGATCCTTACAATTACACTGGCACTACTGCGACGCTAGATACCAAGAACGTTTACAAGTTATTCTCCAAATACGGCGTCATACAAATCGTCTCCTCTCGGTCAAGACCAGAAGCTTTCATGTCCGATGCTGCCCAAGAGAACCCCTTCGGCACCTCAGTTGGTATCGTCGAAATGCCGGTCACAAAGGTTGGAGTCTTGTGGAGAAAGGACACAAAGAAGAAGAAGGCACGATCGCCTTGGCAAGAATGGGGCGCTGTTCTTACGCGGTCAGGATTGTCTCTTTTCCGAAACTCTACTTGGACGAAGAACTTGATGAGCCAGCACGATCAACATCTCAAGCGTGGTGAAACTGGCCCAGTCGTATTTCAACCTGCACTTCCCGACTTCAAGCAAGATCACATCATACCCATGGATGGTGCGGTCGCGCTCGTTGACAACACATACAAGAAACATAAGAATGCGTTTGTCATGTTTTCAAAGGCAGGCGAGGAGACGTTTTTAGCCGATAGCGAGAAGGACTTGAACGAATGGCTAGGCGTGCTAAACTATACCGCTGCATTTGAGACACTCGGCGTTCGATCAAGAGGCATGATCGGTGGGCTGTACGAGGGCCAAAAGAACCGAGGCATGCGACGCCTTGAGTCATCGCATTCTACCAAGACAATACCAACAGCTACTGGCGATGTGACGATACAAAGTGGCAAGATCGACAGCCAGTTTGCAACGCAAATGATGAACGCCCGAAAAGATCTCATGCAAGTGCGCATCACCGAATCTGAGGACAGGCTTACCAATGCTATAAAAGAGCTGGAAGCACGCCTACGGGATGCGAGACACCTCCAGATTCTTGCTCCTATCCAACCGAAAACCCGCGAGCTCGTGATTCATGCTGCGGGCCGATTGTCAGCGAAGCTGAAATGGATACGTATTGACATTTGGCGGATGAAATGCCACCGTGACATTCTGGCTCAGGAGCTGGAAGATGAGAGGCAAGGCATTGTTGAGCAACAAGCACAGAGTGACCGAGCCTCAGAGCCTACCCAGGCACAGCAGCCGCAACTTTCTCCACAGCAGTCGAACAGAACGTCAAAAGTCAGTGGACTCGCGCGGTTGACTTCAAAGACCAGCTCAATGACCAGTGGACCTAAGCAGGTTCCACTGTCTCCTACATCATCAGCTCGTCCAGGTACCAAATCCTCTAGAGACACTGATTTTGGTGGAGATGAAACTTTCAAGACACCACCAGAGACGACACAGTCAAGCCCTAAAGACCCTTCAGCACAGTTTCAGGCTTCGCCCATGTTGTTTTGTCCCAGCACATCTGACCGTCGAAGCTCGTTTGCCAGTTCCTCAGCACAGTCTCCGAGAATGTATCCTTCTGACCATAGGCCTTCGATATCGACAACTGGCGACGGCACATTAGGCTCAGATTCTGACTCCGACTCTGATGATGATTCTCGCTACGCTACTCCACCTCCAGGGGAGGTGGGTGACCTGGAACCGAGAACGCCAGAGCCGACACCTTTCGAGGGCACTCAGCCGGAATCTGCCATTGATGTCGACTATGAGCAATCTCTCGCTGCTCTGACAGGGTCGCCTAGATCTCGTACAAAGCAAAGAAGAAGTCTGCATCGCACTCTTCGAGAATCCCGTGGCAGCTCTTCTCACCGCCGCGGCCACAAGGGTAGGGACTCTGCCTCTACGATTACCAGCGAAAGCACAGAAGGTGACGGGGGACTGGCGCGTAGCAAGGGTAGCTTTACCGTCCATGGCAAGAAGGCGTCCGTCATTCAGTTTGGTGGCGATTGGCACAATACCACAGCAGAAGAACGCTTGAAGACAGTAAAACAACTCCAAGAGGCGGCGGAAGCAGTCTCCCCTGATGAGAGGGATGGCAGCGTTTTCAGCAATGGCACGGCGGGTGCGCTCTCTCCCGGAAGCGACGGTAATGAGCCGCTTTACGTCTGCAAGATGTCTGCAGACACTACGAAGTCGCGACACGTGTCATCCCAGACAATCACGCCTGCAAATTTCCGCGAATCATTCAGAATAGACCAACATGACTCTGATGGCGAGTCTGACATGAGCGATATTGCGGAGGAAACCCAACGAACCTCAGACGACCAGCCAACGATGAAGGGCCAAAGTCCAATCACCGAACACGTGGAACGACCCATACATAGTCCAAGGACGACCACAGCATAATATTTGCTTCTCTCCCCTCTTTTTCCTTTGCATTTTGGATTTCAAAAGTGAATTTATGGACATACCAGCATCGCTAGAGCGCGTTCGTGTTTCTCCTTTGTCGACTTTACCTACTCTTCTACGGAACTTGCACGCACCTTCATACATAGCATGGCGTATGTGGGCATTGAATTGAATTGCGACGGGGGCGCTTCATATGCATAGACGGACTCTCAGGATGGCGTTTCCTCGAGGATAGGATTGGTCGAAGACACAGTGAGGATTTGGGTTAGCGGATATGGTCGATACCAAAGTTGATGCTGCTTGTATGTGGATGACGATATTTCGATTGTGGATCAGAATCGAATAAGTGATTGAGATCCCTGTTCTCATCGTTGAAGTGAAGATGTTCCTTCCCCATGACAATAGCGCTAGTGTTGATTGGTCACTAGCCTTGCAGGACAGTTTCCTACCCAACAACAACTTTCCTCCACGATTACTACCGCACAAGCGCATCATCCACCATGTAATACAAAACCACATGTCCGCGAGGTTTCTCCTCGCTCACACTCACCAGCTCTCGCACCTCGGCTCAGCGGCATTTAGCAACTCCTGCAAAACTCCCTCAGCCCCCTTCTTAAGCCATCCTGCATCCCTCTCGAACAGCCAAGCTATAGTGGCGCACCATATTGCATGAAGAGAAAACTTGCCTGGCTCCGCAAGGCTCTATACAGACCCACCCTCTATTGGACGAAAGAGTGAAGTTTTCGGAGCTCGGCAGCCGCCTATGGCTTAAGCGACTTGATGTTGCTCGCATCGCGAAGATCTCAAACCTAAAGCGTCGCGAAACTCCAAACCTGACGAACGTGACAGCCCTGTCAGGATTGTCGCAACGCTCTTAGTGATACAGGGACACCCGCGAACGTGTGCCTGATTGCCGTTCACGCGCCTAATACGATACCTCACGATAGCATGATGAGGGCGTTTATAAGAGAGGCGTGATGGCGCGCTGTTTGTTGTCTTTTCTTGGTTATCGATCATCGGTTTCGTTCCAAGTCAGTCTTTACGTTCTACATTCTTTTCCTTGCCCTCCGGTAGGGTATCTTACTGCTTGTTAAACGTTCGTTTCTTGCTCCACAGCCAATCACGTATTTTCTATTCTTCTCACATATAAGACGAGACATTCATATACTGAACCGAAGATGTACACCAACGCCATTACTATCCTCACTCTACTCAGCGGTCTTGCTATCGCCGCTCCGACTGCCAACATCACACCCCGCCAAGGCAACGCGTGCTTCATCATCGGCAACGAAGTCCTCCCTGGCGAAACCGCTGATGTAGTCAACCAAATCCAAGCCGCTGTAACTTGCGATCCCAACGCAAAGACACTCGAAAATGTTCCCGACGTGACTTCTGGCAGTCAGACCTTCTCTAAAATCGACTTCAGCACCTCTGGCCAGACACCTCTACAGTTTGCTACCAGCACTTTCACAACAGCGGTGCCGCTTGCCGACTCCAACCTCGAGGCTTTTCAGGACGCTCTTAATGTCTATCTAGCTACTGAAGCTGGCTTGCGCTCTTCGGGTGGTAACTTTGGGTTAGTTGTTCCTGTACAAACTGAATACGAAACACATACTGACATGATATATCTTAGATTGATCAAGGCGCCAAAGTTCTTCTTGGAGATGCAAATTAGTAGGATAAACACGGCGAGGGGACAGCCGCCTACGGATGCGGCACAGCAGGTCGATCATCTGAAGGATAAGGTTACGGAGAACGCTGTTCGAGAGGATCAGGCAATTCTGGACCAGGTCGCACAATTGGCTACTCAGCTATCGTAAGGGCGATAGAGAAGTTGTGGTTGGAGTGATGGAAGGAGGAAGAGTGGATGGATCTTCACAGGTCTTAATCAACATTGACCATTATGTATCACATTCGTCAACTAATCAAAATGATACCCATACACCTATCTCACAACTTGTGTCTCCTTCATAATTTACTATCCCCACCACCAACCTTCCCCCGCCATCCTGTTAAGGTTGCACCTCCATCCATCTCCACGGCGTTTCCGGTGATATGTGCACTAGCCTTGCTACTCAAGAAGAGCACCAGCCCACCAAAGTCACTAGGTTTGCCAATCCTGCCAGTTGGTTGTCCAGACGTCAACGCATCAGCGTATTTCTCCAAGCCGAAATTCGTCATGCGGCTGGGGAAGACTCCTGGACAAATGACGTTGACCATGATATTCTTAGGGGCGAGTTTCGAGGCTTGCATTTTGGTTAGGTGGATGCATGCGGCTTTTGCTGGACCGTCTGTTCACACTGTCAGCGAGGCAAATAAAGACCTGTTGGGAGGGACAACATACAACTGAATGTGCCAGTCCCTGGTTTACTCAATCCACCTCCCTCTCCGGTCGTAACATCCACAGTCGTGATACCAGCCATACTGGCGATATTGATGACTCTGGATGGATTGTGCATATCAGCCCCCTTGGTCAACAATCCTTCACACCCCACTGTCATGTAAAATATGCTCTTCACATTCAGTGCATATAGCTTGTCCCACGCATGCTCTGGATAGTTGTAGTAATCATCTCCCCAACTCGCCCCCGTATTGTTGACCAACACCGTCAACCTATCCGTCTGCTTCTTCAACTCTTCACAGAGACCTAGACATCCGGCTTTGTCCTTCAGGTCCGCGACAATATAGGAACAGCGGCCTGGGCCGAGCGCGTTGAGGCGGTCAGTGGTAGAGCGCAGTTCGGATTCTTTGCGTGAGGCGATGAAGACGCGGGCGCCGTTTTGGACGAAGGCTTGTGCGGCCATTTCCCCGAGGCCAGTCGCACCGCCTGTTACGAGGACGACATGTTCGGTGAAGGAGAAGAGCGTGGTGACGCGTAGGTCGTCTTTCGAGGCCGCGTGCGTCATCTTGGGGGTGGTGTGAAATGTTACACGGTGGTTGTGGGAGTGGTTCAGGTGCAATTGAGGTCAACGGAGTACAGGTGAGCTTCAAGGGGCCATGTGTATATGCGTAAGCATGCGCGGACGCGTGACGATCGATTCAGCCATGTCGGTAGAGCCGTAGTGGAGAGATGGTATGAACCTCGGCATCTTGGAGATACTATGCGGGGTGCTAGCGCGTCGCACCCACTCGACCTTGAACATTTGACATGTTTTGTCGTTGAATTACATTGCCGATGCCTTATGTAGCGCGACTTTAACTTGTCCATCGTACTACCCTGGGAACAGATCCCTCATTTCCCGTTCCAAGCTCAGCTCTTAGCTCATGCAACTTTTCTACTGGGTTCTCTGGGCTCTCGGAATCGTACTCGATCGCATCTTCTAGATAACCGATAGCGGCATCTACGTCTCCGAGTGCTTTGCAAACGATATGCGCCTTGAAGCTCATCAAGAACTTTTGCTTGCGAACCGGTACCTGCACTGCGTCCGACGTAATAGACTCTTCTTGCGCACAAAAGGGCTTATCCGACAGGAAACTAATCATCTCCTCGGCAACCTTGCGCGCCTCTTGTAGCAATGCCACACTGTCCGATGCATCCGCTAACTCTAGTCCCTTAGGACCAAAGGTACCTGCGAGATGACATATGACCTCGACTAGATCCGCAGCAATTGTGCAAGTTGCGGACCATAGCATAAGAACCGTGTCTTCTGTCGACGGGCTAAGGAAACCTCCATAATTGCTGCGAATGCAGTCCAGTTGGCAATCGTAGACTAGGCGGGCGTACTTACAGACCATCTTGTATTGTATGACTGTGTTCTCTGGGGTATCGCTATTCACGTTCCGCCTGAACATGTCAATCTTGAGTAGATAATATCCGGCGCTCCCTTGTCGCTGCCAGTGCTTCCTCAAGTCCGCTGTCAGGAGTGGAGGTATCGCGTCATTGGTGCTGACAGCAAGAAATTTGTGACGGAGAAAGGGATTCTCTAGCCAAGGGCCCACGAGGATCTCCAGGGCTCTGTCTTTGGAATAGGAGAGTGTTTCGAGAAGTGTGAACGTAAGAGACGTATCGAGCAGGCTAATGGAGATTAATAAATGGAAAGAGTGTACAATGTGTACTAAATACACTCACGAAGCTGAACATTTTCTGGCGATCTGTGTCAATTGCATCATGCTTGTGGCCGGCATCAAGCAGTATGGAGTGCTCTCTGCTAGCAGCCTGCTTCGAAATACGCAGCTGTCCCATTCCATAGCAACGGGAAATCTAGAGCAATCTTTTTTGATAGCTCCGGAGCGGGACTGCAATTGCGAAATGAGTGGCAAGCGGTAAACTTGTTCATCGAGTATAGAATTGCCGAAACGCGAATAATTGGTCTTGACCACCACGCACAATTGACTGCTCAGAAACTTCAACACTTCTGTGTTGACTTGTCGGTTCAGAGTGAGCAGCTTGCATATTGGCGAGGACAGTGCGACATCTTTGGTGGCTGTTTCCGACGGAATGTAGGTGAGAAGCTCGTGGTAAATCTGCTCACGAATGGTGATTGGAACAGTCAGAAGGGTCTGCATGGTTGAAGTAGAGTACAGGTTTTAAATGGGCAAAAAAGGTTGCGTCTTTCATCAGCGGAGAAGACGAACAAAGTTTCTTTAGTATCTACGATTGCTACTAGGCAGCTGCGCTGCCGTCTACGAATGAGAGACGATAGAAAAAGCGGGCCCTATGTAGTGTAGTTTCTTAAGTTAGGCCACCACAGTCCAGCGTGATCCCCACCATAAGCTTAGGCAGCCCGTAATCCCTTAAGCTGCACCCCTCAGTGATATGCTACATATCATACCTACCTCAGAAGGCATGGTATCGTATCTATCTGAATACAGGTGCAATGTTACAGAGCGGCAAGTACTGTTGGTGGTTCAGCTTGGAAGTAAGCTTTTGTTGGCTCAACAACGTCTTGATATTTTCACAACTGGAGACTACCATACTCAGCTGTAGCATATTCTTTCCCTGAACGAGAGACGGAAAACTTATTGCTAGTTTGGCTCGACTTGTGGAGACTGACATCAAAGATACCAGGCACAACCATCGGCCTCTTGAAATGCACTTCCATCCACAACGATGTATCTAGCAGGAATGTTGAGCCTCCCAAATTTGGCGCACTCTGCAGAGCTTTGGCCACGACGTGATTTCCGTGCGCTATCTTTCCTGGTAAACCGAAAACTTTCGCAGCTAACCCTGATAGGTGTATGAAGTTATAGTCTTTGCAAATTGCAGCCCATCTTAGCGGATCGTCCACGGACAGCGATACCTGCGTAGTGCTTTCGAACAAAGGTGTTGTCGCCATGCTAGGCGGTGTCTCATCAGAATTTCGTGGAACCTTCTTCGTTTGTACTTTGCCGAACTCTAGCATGGTGAAGATTTGGCGAAATATGGTATCCACAGTCCCATCACTCCTCCCTGTAGGAACGTTGATCATGACCTCCAAATCCCACTCGATACCTCTTTTAGCCTGTCTTGGATTTTTGTGTACTATAGCCTTCAAATTAGCTGACCTCATACCCACAAGCGTCGCTATGTGGCATAGATCCTGGCGTAGTATCTCGAACCTGTTGCGGACGTTGACGGCACCCAGGGGACTGATTGGACACCAGGGGCTTGCGAGGAGGAGAAGCATCGCGGGCTCAGTCATAGCGGACAAGAAAAGTATGAGTTGAGCTGGTGGAATCCTTAATCCTGCGCCAGTTCCTCGTCCACTTGCTATTTGATATCGAGCGACGTCTTCCACATCTATGATGAAAGGCGAGTCGAGCTCTAGTCTGGAAGACTTTACGCGCGGAACTCCGGGTATCGCGTACAAAATAGATTTCATGATCATCGCCATGATAGCCAGGATGATCTCCTCCATTCGAAGTGAGGCTGGGGAAAAGGATAAAGTGACTTTTCTAGGGCTGAACAGCAAAGGAGTCAGGCGATACCCAAACGAGACGAGCACGCCGAAAAGCATGCCGGCCACAAGCATCAGCATCATGGTTCAATATATTTGTGATGATATTTGATGCTGAAAGGTTCATGTGGACATGATTCAGGTGTGACAGGAGCCACCCGGGCACTTCTGCCGCTAGCGGCACCATGATGTCATCACTAGGTAGTGTGAAAGTCAAACGCGACAGCTCCCAGCCTCCTGCATACCAATCGCAAGGAACACACTCCATCATCGCGCCATAGAAGTAACATCTCTCAGCAATAATCCACAACGAGCGACTTCGACCGTTTGCTTAATCTCTTCGATCCAGTTCTCTCCAACCACAACTCATCCGTTCGCGCCAGCCCCATAATGGCACATCTCCTCCGGCACTTCCGATGTCCACAATCTGGGCATTTGTTCCCAACCTCAGTAAACGACCATATTTGTTCGCCTGGTCAGGTCAGCAGATGGTTTCACATAAGATGAAGATGACATGCAGTGATGACAGCGCCAGCTATAAGCGGTATCTGAAGCTGTACTGCTTGTAAAGTTTCCCATCATACGCATGCAACTCTCCTCAAGATTTGAGGGGGCTGGGTACCTGGGTCGCGTTGATTCTGAAGAAACGGTGGTGCGGCTGAGAGAAGTATGTCTGATTTGTGCAGTCGTCGCACAGGAACTTCAAAGCGCTACGAGCTTTGGGGAGTTTGGATCCTGAGTGTATGTGTGCTAGTTACTCATATTCCACTGCTTGTATACGGATATAGTTTAGAGTTCTGGAAGCGTGGCGTAGTTTGAGTTGATTGCTTACGTTGCTTAGCGTAGTTGCTATGGCATTCACAGATCATAGCCAACAAAAGTTGTAAACGCTGAACGATCTGTCCCCATTATGTTTCGCTCATCTGGAGCGTGACAGGCTATCAAGATGCGCTTTACCATACATGAAAGGAACAACAAGAGTAAAGGTGAAGCTACGGCTTCGACGTATGATTTCCTGAATAGAGCTCTGAAGGCCCGTACTCAGAAGTATTACCTGGCATCTCTGCAGGACTTTGACCGCAGCTTTCCGTTTGGTGGTGCCAATCATCGGCCATTTCAAAGACCTGTAGAGGGTACGCATTCGTCTGGGTGTGCTCGGATTTTCCGTCTTGATACGTGAGACCTGTAGGCTGGAAAGGATGTTCGTCTTGTCCTGAATCGGCTCCAGTATATCGCATTCTGTCATTCTTCTGTCTCCTTTTTGATAGGGACCACAATAGCACTGCAAGTAGTGCTAAGCCAACAATCGGCCCTAAAACTGCGCCAGCGATCCAGGTTTTGTTCCAAGAATTCGAATCTTGAGGTAAGGGTGTATTGGTCGCTGTTGCGGATGAGGTCGCGCTTGCCATTGCGTTGCTCGGAACGGTCGATGATGCTGATGCGGACCCTGAAGAGCCTGTGCTTCACTTTAGACCAGACTTGCTTCAGCACATGAGGGACTTACTGCTCAGCTCGGCTGTGACTGTATTCGTAATAGTAGATGGTTGCGGGGGGCCATTGATGTAGAATCCTGAAGACGAAATCTGCTCTGGATACGGATCGTCCGGCCCAACTGGTGCGCCAGCAGGTGTGAAGCGCAATACCCAATAATCATTTGCTGCTAGTGCTGCAGATGGTATGTTTACATCCCACTGGTATGATGAGTCAGTGGTGATGTCGATGCTACCTATATCAAATGTCAAATCAGTCACTACATCATGCTAGCTCTTATGACTGAGAGGTGTCGCTTACCAGCGATCTTGAAGTTGTAACTAGCATCTTCAAAACTTGTAACCCAGAGATCGAGCTTCTTGACGTCGCATGAAGTACAGTACATACTGAAAGCTTCTTGCAGTTCTGATTTCCAACGAATGGTGAATGGAGCACCGCTTTGCAAACTTGTAGATCCATCAGGAGTTGCGGGAGCAGTCCAGCTGTCCTGTACGGTTTGACACCATGCCATAGAGGCTGTTATCGTAAACCAAAAGACTAGAGACAAACAGCGAACCATTTTTGTAGAGCGTACGAGCACTTGAGGTATCTCGTTTGGTATGTAAGAAACATGCAAAGAAGCTTATCTTTAGTGCTGCGGTGATCATTCAGAAGCGTTGTTCCTGAGCGTCAGCAAGAAGAGACCGTGCATTTGCATCAGGGGTTGATGATGTAAATGAGAGAATGCCGAAGGATCGGAGTTGCAAGGAGTATACATGGCTGGGGTGTCATGATAGAGACGCCTCGACCAATGAGCGCGACGCGAAAGAGACAACGCCGCAATTTTGCAGTGGTCAAAACACGCCAGCTACGCGCTGTGTGTGGCACTCTGGAAGGCTCAGACCAGGGAACGATACTCCAGTCTGTGATACTATGAAGTCAATCTGTTGGCATCGTTGTTGAGGACTAATAGTTCACTCATCTAGAGCGTTGATGGTCTTCAATGTGGTTGAGATGGGAAGGTGGGAAATAAGCCCCCAGAATAATTTGCGGCACAGTTACGAAGGCCTTCTTCGTCTTAATGTGAAACGCTCCAAGGGCTATAACAGGACGGCAAGCTGTAAGTTGCTGCGGCAGTGCGCGTGTGAAGTTTCCGCTCAACTCGTCTCCTCGTTTCCCTGAGCGCCTCCGTCGTGTTCCCCTCCCGGAATCTTAGGGACTCTACCATGTTTTTCAGAAGATGGAAATGGTGTCTGGCCGTCATCGCTACCATTCTTTTCCTTGTAACAATATCCTCTTTCTCAGCTCAGCTCACACCTTCGAGAACATCCATTCTTCCGCTAGGACACCACGATCAAACGCCCCCATCGCCGCCGAAGCCACAACAAATTCCAACTGGAAATTCTCAAAGCTCGCATGCGTGCCCAGCGATACCGCCTAACCCAGTTGTGACTCCAAATACTGGCGCTCGGTTTGATTGGAGAGCGATTCCGAGTCACCACCCGGTCGACCACTATGTGCAACTATCGTCGCAAAAGCCTTCGCCTAGAGAAGCTGTTCAACGATCTCCTAATCCAGCGGCATTGAATGCGAACAAGACTGCCTTTCGCCGAGAGGCTGTCAAACAGACTTTCCAGAGGAGTTGGAGATCTTACAAGGAGCGTGCATGGATGAGAGATGAGCTTGCACCTATCTCGGGTCAACCTCGAACCACTCAATTCGGTGGCTGGGGAGCCACCTTGGTTGACTCATTAGATACTTTATGGATTCTGGATATGAAAGATGAGTTTGCAGAAGCTGTCGAAGCAGCGCTCCAGATTGATTTCAAACCAAGTGATGATCGCGAAAGCGAGATCAACATGTTTGAGATCATCATACGCTATCTGGGAGGCTTCATAGGCGCCTACGACGTGTCCGGTTGTCATGACGCCCGCCTTCTGAACAAAGCACTCGAAGTGGCGGATATGGCATATGCGACATTCGATACATCGAATCGTATGCCGGTCTCGAGATGGAAATCAGGGAAAGCAGCAGGTGGAGAAGAGCAACTGCCAGCACGCTCAGTGCTCATAGCCGAAGCAGCGTCTGCTAGCGTAGAGTTCACTCGTCTCTCCCAAATTACAGGTGATATGAGATATTTTGACGCCATCTCCAGAGTTACGAACGTCCTGGACGAGCAACAAGGATCTACCAAGCTTCCTGGCATGTGGCCCATCAGCGTGGATATGAGGACACCAAACTTAACCTTTGATGCTTTCTTCGGGCTGGGTGCCATGGCCGATTCAGCATTTGAGTATCTACCAAAGATGCATCAATTGCTCAATGGTTTCGATCCGGCTGACCAGTATCGCAAAATGTACGAATACGCAATGGACACCGCGATTACATACACCATGTTTCGGCCGATGGTGGAGGACAAAGCCGATATTCTGATCGCTACCGCTAAACACGATGGTCCTGACGGGCAGAGAGATGATACTGGGCAGCATCTAGTATGTTATGCGGGAGGTATGCTGGCGCTTGGAGGGCGGCTCTTTGACAATCAAACCCATTTCAACGTGGGCCGAAAGATCTCTGATGGCTGTGCATGGACGTACAAAAAAGCGCCAAATGGAATCATGCCTGAGGTTTTCTCCATGACGCCTTGCCCGTCGCAGTCGGAATGCGATTACATACCGGGCGCTGCTCCGTTCAGCGCCGTGCATGACGGTCGTTATATCCTCCGACCAGAAGCAATCGAGTCGGTCTTCTACATGTTTCGACTCACTGGAGAGACCAAATATCAGGACATTGCATGGGATATGTTCCGGGCCATCGAATCAAACACCAAAACTGAGTTTGGTAGTGCCGCACTCCAGGATATTATGAAGACTCCACCAGATAAGAGCGACAGCATGGAGGTAAGTCTCGAATGCCTAACGCGCGTGAAACAAACACTGACATGTCCGTAGAGCTTCTGGCTTGCTGAAACTCTGAAATACTTCTATCTCATCTTTAGTGATCACGACCAGATTAGCTTGGACGACTTCGTGTTCAATACTGAGGCACATCCTTTCCGGATACCTTACCGATAATGATATGATGGCGTGAGGCTTAAAGGAACTTCAGGATGTTCGTTGGGATGCGAGCGACTGGGTTGCGCGCGAGGGTACGCGACTGCGCGATATATATTATGACGAGGATAAAGATATCTGTCCTGGAACGTATCCCGTTTGTGCAGCTTTATCGACGTGCCGTAAAGAACTGTGGTGGCTGTGAGACATGTTGGCCGGGGTTGACCGGATCCGGGAGCGGGAACATGCGCCGCGACCAAGCTTTTCCCTGAAGCTTGAGCGCGGATGGCGTTGCTTCGAGCCTTGACCTTTGACACGCACAGGAGACGCGTACGTTCCACTTCATAGCATCAGGCTTGCAGAAAAATCGCAAACTCGAGTATTGCGACCTACAATTCCGTGCTAGGTGCCGACTTGCCTTTCCGTTCACTCCTACTCCTCATTTATAGCGCGACTACGCCAGTTCGGTGGGTACTCAACGAACATGATAAGCCTCGGTGTGTCGCTGCCGAGTTCCAATTCCGCTTCTCGATTAGTAGGATGACGAAAGATAGTGACAAAAACGTGACGACGACGGCTAACGACCCTTGTCTGAAACCCGAGGGCTAGCGACCAGCCAATAGTCCTACATCTGGGGTCTCCACTGGGGGTCCCCGCGAAAGTCTTCTTCCGCTGTTTAATCGGTATGGGGAGAACGGGTACATAATATGGGGTTGCCACCTAAACAAGTGTGTTCGAGACTGCTGGCCTTTCTCCCTTGTACTACACCTCCCCGCGGTCCACCCACAGGGCCTAGACACTGAGAACCACCCATAAGTCATGGAGAACGACAAAGAGATTGTCGCAAGCGAGCCGGTTCGTAGCGAAGATATAGAGCGTCTACCTACTCATGGTACCTATCTCGACAAAGATGAAGCAACACATCTCTCAGAAGAGCATCGGCAGTATCTCTTGGAAAGACATGGCACACTTGAGCTCGATCCTATACCCACTATGGGTACGGCCGATCCATACAACTGGCCCCAGTGGAAGGCAAGTCACTACGAACACATCAGTTGGACGGCTGTTAACGAAGGACACAGAAAGTGATGAACCTCTTCTTTGTCGCCTTTCACGCTATGATGTGCGCATTTCCTGCTGCAGCAATCATTCCGGCCTACGAGGACATCTCCGAAGACCTAGGTGTTAGTCTCCAAAGAGCATCGTATCTTACCTCTTTGCAAATTGCCATCCTTGGAGGTGCTCCGCTGTTCTGGCGGCCACTCTCTACACGATACGGACGCCGACCTATCTTCATTATATCCTTGATCGGTAGCTTGGTCTTCAATGTTGGCTGCGCGAAGAGTCAGACATACGCTGCCATGGCAACTTGCCGAGCTTTCCAAAGCTTCTTCATCTCACCCCCGAATGCAATTGGCAGTGCCGTGGTGGTTGAAACGTTCTTCAAAAAGGAGAGAGCGAAGTTCATGGGTATCTGGACGGTCATGATAACTCTTGGTATACCTCTGGCACCGCTCATCTTCGGCTTTGTTACGTACAATGTCGGCTACCGCTGGATCTACTGGATCCTTGCGATCGTGAATGGTGTCCAAGTCATCCTTTACACCCTTTTCGGACCAGAGACGCGTTTCATCCGACACGGCGACGTCCAACATGCGCGATCCGGTCTCGCAGCCTACAAGGAGATGTACTTGAAGTTCCGTCGTATTGACCCTACGCCGATCACCCTCTCAGAGTTTATCTCGCCCCTTCGACTGTTCAAGTACCCATGTGTAGTCATTCCGGCTTGCGCATACGCGATGGTATTCCTATTCGCGTCTGTTCTCGCAACGGTTGAAATTCCGCAACTCTTCGGGGAGAAGTTTCACTTCAATGCCCAGCAAATCGGCCTACAATTCCTCGGCGTCATCGTCGGCACTGTTATCGGCGAGCAAATCGGCGGACACTCCAGTGACCTCTGGATGCGATGGCGTGCAAAGAAGATGGCTCCCCTCCGGCCTGCTCCAGAATTCCGCCTTTGGCTGAGTTACTTTGGTATTCTTCTCACCATTTGCGGTGTGGTCGTGTTCCTCGTGCGCATCGAGCAAGCCCCCGACCTACACTGGAACGTAACCCCCATCGTTGGTGCTGGTATAGGTGCAGCAGGCAACCAAATTGTTACCACAGTTCTGATCACATACGCTGTAGATTGCTATCCTGAAGAAGCTGGTAGCATTGGCGTGTTCGTTACTTTTGTGAGGCAAATTTGGGGCTTTCTCGGTCCGTTCTGGTTCCCTCCCATGTTTGAGAATGTAGGAATTGCGAACAGTGCTGGCATTGTTGCGGCATTGCTTGTGGGCGTTAGTCTTATCCCGGTCATGTTCACGCATTGGAAGGGCTATACTATGAGGGGCCACATGTCGGAGAGAATGTAAAATCAGCACAAGGCTTTCCCTCGTGTCGATTGCACCGAACTTCCGCACGTCTGAGTAGTGTATCGTCACATCAATGACACCATAGGCATCTTGCCAAGAAAATGCTTGTCGAAACTGGTAGTTCTGTAATGCTTCTGGTTCTTGCATGCAAAAACCAGAACCATTGCGCTAAGATACGAATCCGTGATGACTAGCTCATAACTTCGCTTCCAGTCCTTCCTTCTGGCACAGCTCTTCCGCCTCTGCTACGACATCGACGCCATACACCCGCGCTTGTATATCCGCATCAGCCCACCTGTCCGGCACCTTCCCTGAACCTGCCTTCATCGCTGCGAAGATCTTGTCACGTTCCTCTTTGGCCTTACCCGCTCCGAGGTGCATTTCTCTTCCGTTTTCCGCTGCAAGCTCGACGAGTGCCTCCGCCCTTGGTTTCCTCAGCTTCTCATATAGTCGCAGTGCGTGCTCGATGGTCTGTGGCTTCCCGTCGGCAATCCGCTTAGGAGACAGCACAACACCCAGTACAGCACCGTCTTCGATCGCCTGGGCAGCACCTTGTGCCATGTGCGGGAGCGTAGGATGGCAAGCATCACCAACCAACGCGGCTGTACCATGCACCCAGGTAATCAATGGGTCATGGACCCTTAGCTTCCACTCGACTACTTCACCTTCTGGCACTAGATTCAACATGCGATGTATCATGGGACAGAAATCGCCGTAAACTTCCAACATGGCCTTCTTGCTGCCCTTAGTTGTATATTGAGCGTCCGGTGCGCCGGCAAAGCTGATATCGGGCTGTGCGGTAGAGATGTTGTATATTTGCTTATTGTGGATCGGGTAAGCGATGATATGCTTCCTCTCACCGATCCAGCGTGTCACGGTATCGGATTCGATCAACTTGAGTAACTCGGGGTCATTCTCCATCTGGTCGCGGTTCAACATAATTCGATAGGCAGCCTGACCCGAATCGCGAGCAGCGCCGGTGTGACCAAGTTCCTTGAGCATAGCGACGCGTGTAGAGCTTTTTACACCATCAGCACCGAGAAGAACATCGCATTCGGCTTCTGTTGATTCCCCTTGACCCGAGGATGGCGAAATAGTGAACTTTGGTCTTGCGCCAAAACGCACGTTGGATATGTTGCAACCCAATCTGAACGTGATACCACTCTCTTTTTTGCAACCCTCGTACAAACCGTTCGCCAAACTAGCTCGATGACCAACCATGTGTGGATATCCGTACTTGTCGCGGACGTATCCCAGATCTACGTACCCTAGCTCTTTGTCTGTTGTGCCTTCCCGGATGGATGTGTTTGCGCATTGGACTGCCTCGTCGCGGATTGGTCCCCAGCAACCTAACTTGTCCAGGATACGAGCCATATTGGGTGCAAGTTGGATACCAGCGCCCACAAACCCCATGTTTGTTGCATTCTCATATATTGTGATGTTCTTGTGGCCTGCTTTCGCAAGTGAGAGTGCTGCTGCAAGACCACCCATGCCTAGTATGTTGTTAGATGCTATCAAATTGTATAGAAATGAGACGTTGAAGATATCGTACCTGCTCCAACAATGGCTATCCTTGTGTTTTCCGCCATTCTGGACGTTGTGCTTGTGCCTCCTTTCACTTCTTGGATAGTGCCAACGATGGGGTATAGGATCGGAAGTTGTTGATAGAATGTGATCGTAGTCTGTTCCTGGATTGATATCCTCCGAGAAATAGAGAACCTGGCAAGAGCTCTTAAGACACTCTTCAGCTGCTTCTATATTTCTGCGCACTCGACCTTACTCCAGGTTCTCCACTACTTCCGAGCTCTTTCCCGCGCGTAATGTTCAGCCACCGGAAGAGGTATTAACCGGAAGTCTACGAATCCCCAACGTCTTTCAAGAAAGCAAATACGTCAATAAATGTCGCAACGGCCGAAGCTCAATCGTATCCACTAAGCATGGACGTCGTCGTGAACATATATCGGAGAATCCTTAAGGCCCGATTACACTTGAGATGGAGTCGCTGTGGCCAGCTAACACCCCACAGTGGCGGGGCAACGTTTCGAAGGTTAGCGCATCTTCACCCAGCTTCCTGGCCCCACCGCCGTCATGGACGAGCGATGTTCGGCATATGCGGAGTCACGGAGTGCGGGTGTGCCGACCCTGCATGTTACCATCGCATTGGTCGTGATTGCACGATCTGCGAGTGAGGCTCAAGACAATGCTGTGTTTGTCTTTCGTAGCATTTAACGTGATGACGGATGCCAGAGCGTCGATGGACGGGTCATCACATTGCGATACTATCTGACAGTATGTATCAAGCAGGACTGCGACTACGCCCGATGAATGCTTCACCGCCGCATTAGAACCACCCTCCACTTGGAGACCCATGGGAAGCGCATGCGTTCTGATGCTAGATTGCTCTTCCTCCGCCATGCTCTGCTGCGTATCTTCGCTGCTTCTTCGGAAGCCCGCATCGATGATGAGAGTTGCTCATTTTAGATTCGGATACTCCGGATACGCAGCCACAGATGCATTCCTTTTCGATGCATTAAGTTGTTGCTAACGTGCGATTGGCATTACGGCTGCAATTGCTACAAAGCATAATCAAGCGCCAAACTTGACGGCAGACACTCAAAGCATTCACTTGAACATTTGGCGACACGATCGACTCCATATCGACATTTGGGTTTGCCGATCAAACATCCGATGAGTACTGGCACTCTCTTTGAAGCGGTGATGACATTCATCAAAGATAACTGCTTCATAGCGTCCTACATGTAAGAAGCGAGGTTATGGCGCATACAATGCTCTAGCGAAAGGTGGCTGCGAATGTTGCATTGTTTCGCGTTCTGGTTACAAGCTACATCAACCTAGTTAGCTCGTACACAACAGATCGGGGTCGCGACACATAGAGAGCTCTATGTATATCGAGCCGGAAGCCGACTTCAGTCCCGTGGATACGTGATGAGGGGCTGCCATACCCCGCGCTAGCGCCTATCTTCCAATGTGGGGTGACTTCCCGAATATCTCAAGGGGAGACAGAGAATTTCCTACTCTCCACCGATTTCACGAGGGTGGTTGTGAGTTCATCAGCCGTTGCACTGAAAATAGCTGCATGCTCATTGGATCCTAGATCCGGCCATCAGAACAGCCACTCATCATTACGTGTTACAAAGTTCGCGTGGAGGAAGAGCGTTCACCCGGAGCTGGCTTCCAACTCCAGAAAGCGAGAGAAAGACCGACGCAGGCATAACGTGACCTTCGGCGTCAGATCAAGCACCTGAAGATAGTAAGCATCGTCGCTGTCATCAGGATTATAGCTTCACGGAAAAAGCTTCTACCTTTTACACCAGCTTTCCCTCGCAAAGAACGTCAGAAGAACAGGGTCGTACACGAATTGACACATAACACTCAACCATGGCACGACGAAATTCATTTGACCAAGCGTCAGCTGGCTTCCGTGCCCATCTACCGGACCTTAGCAGTCCGCGTTTCACAACAGCGGCAGAACAGAACATCTACGAGTATGTTCAAGATATGCAAGACAACCGTGCTCCACCATGGCTATACGATCTGACAAAGGTCTGGGAAAAGCTACTGGAAGAGCCATACAAAGGTATCACAAATGACGGAAAAGTAAGGGAAGGTCTCTTCAAGGCACAAGACGAAGGCGCGGATGTGAATGGTGCGGTTAAGAAGGCCGAAGAGCTACTCGCCGGTCTGGACGGTGAGCAGAAGAAGAAGGTCTCATATCCAATCAATGCGAGAGAGTGGAGAGCATGGAGTAACCCAGAGTTCCTTCTAAGACCATTTGGGCTGAGGTTGGAAGAAGGTACGCACACAACGCCTAAGTGCTTGGTTGTATGTTGACTTTCTAGTTCCCGAAAGCACTGCACAGTCAATCCTGGCGGTGGTAGAGGCATCTCTTTCACCAGAAGGCTACCAAAAGGCTCTTGCGGCCATGCGTGTAAATCATTTCCTGGGCGAAGTCTGCAAGCTACCCAACATCTTGAACAAGTACTCTTACAACTTTCTGCTGTTCGGCACACCCTCCACCTCCGCTACATCGCCTTGGGGCTGGCTCCTCTACGGCCATCATCTTGACATTTCATGTTTCTACAAAGGATCCCAGGTCATTATGAGCCCCTCATTTACCGGTGCAGAACCGAACATCATCGACGAAGGAGAATGGAAAGGCACCAAGATCTTGCACAAAGAAGGAAGCCTGGGCTGGAAACTCATGCAAAGTCTCAGCCATGAACAACAGCAAAAAGCACAAATATTTAAGAAAATGAGAGACGAAGGCATGAAGCAAATTTACGGCAATTCCAACAACGACGAAACCAAGCGCGATGAGCTCATTACTGATACCTGGGGTCCGGACGACCAGCGGCACAGATGTGGCGCCTTCCGAGACAACCGTATCGTTCCTTACGAAGGCGTTCAGGTCTCGTCCTTCGACTCCTCTCAAAAGGAACTCATCTTATCCATATGCCAGGAGTTCCTGCTGTATCATCCAACCAAGGCGCGCCAGCTCAAGCTCGAACAGATCAAGCAACACATCAACGAAACGTACTTTTGTTGGATTGGAGGCTTCGGCGAAGACGACGCGTTTTACTTCCGTATACAGAGCCCGGTCATTTTGGTCGAATTTGACCATCACTCCGGTGTATTCCTGACGAACAAGGAGCCAGCGAAATACCATACGCATACCATCGTAAGGACACCGAATGCAGGGGACTACGGACAGGCCATCAGGGAAGGAAATGAAAAACTAGAGTAGGTCACAGATACCAAAAAAAAATCAAATCCACGTGTTAAGAATAGGGCAGAGGAAGGCTGCACCGTACACCTCGGTTGTAAAAACTCCTGTACTGAATAAGAAAGAACATGAACAGCTATATGTGTCAAACCTCACTCTCATATCACTAATGTCCTCCGCTTAAAAAGATACAAACTCTTAGATTGTCCGAGGCGTCTCCATCTATATGACCCTTCTCCTACGTTAAAAGTTTCCACTAGGGCTGTATCCTGCAGGCATGTAGTAGACAATCTAAAAGCCATCTTCTAGTACATCAGGAATATCAGCGATAAGCGTAAACTTGTTTCCTGGTTCACCGTGATTCTTTGTCAGGGCGCTCGTGTGCATCAAACCTGGTTCTTGTTGTTTAATAGACTAGAGTAACACTGCTCGGAATTGTTGTGGCTTGTTGGCTAGAGGAAGAAACTGACATTGATCGGTAGGTCGTCAGGTAACCGACGATCATCTAGTGTTCGTCATTTACGTGGTGGATTTCTATGGGCGCCATGCTGCGTGTGTTGGTGATTGTAGATTCGTGCAGAGCGTCGTAGCTTTGTAGACTACGAATTTCCTTGCGGGTGAGTCAGTTGTACGATGTCATCGTGTATATCAGTAAGTGAATGGATGTGTGATGGTCTTTTAGCTGTTGCTTATTCACTTTTCCGCTTCTATGAACTTCCAACCTTCCAATCAGTGTGCGCATGCACAGTTCTGATAGTATACCAGATCCACTCATGTTGTAACCCTAATGGATGATCAAAGATCACCATATCACCATTTCCGTCTCCTACCCCTGTGCCGGGTATAAAGTTCAAACGCATATCGCCAGCCTCCATCAGAACTCCCATTTCCAATATCATAAGCCTTCGCAGATCCCGCTTGGCTTCGGCCATATCCAATTGTGGTTTCTCTGCGATCCTGACAGTCGTCTGGGAACCGCGATCCACCTCAGCAGTGAGTATAGCCACCTGCACATTTTCTTGTGCAGCGTACACAGGGTTCATCACCATATGCCACACAATGCTTGTGTCTTCAAAAAATGGATAATCATCCGGATTCTGAAAACGTCGAGACCGAACGCGGATAAGTGGAGTTCTGGAATTCATTCTGGAACTGCGCACGACAATGTAGACAGGAACTGTGGCCATGTTCGCGGATTAAAGGCGAGAGAACGTAGGTGCACTCTCTAGAGAAGATGGGCGAGTCCATATAGGTTGCTGGGTTGCTACTTCACCTGATGACCGACTGCGCATGACTGCAACAGGCTACGTGATCTGCGCGAGACTGAGCTCCTCAATCGAACTAAAGCGATACATTAGAGAATATGACCTTCACATCTAAAGTGAGAGTGAGAACCAAGACGCTGGCACAACGCTATCGAATTACACTGTATTGTATCAGTGTAAAACTGTATTTTCTAGACACCTTGATCTACTGTAGGCAGCTCTATACCAACACAACTACCTTTCTCTGCTGACTGTATAGACTGTCTCACCTGGTCAATCACCCACCATCGCCCAACTTGAATTGAAATACCAACATGCTATCGACTGTGAACAATAAGATGTACTCGCTTCACGACAACGATCTACAATCTTCATCCTTCGGCAGTTCCACTTCGATGCATTTTGAGGAACTCGCCTTTTCTCTAATAGCGCCGCTGTCAACGACAAACACTTTCGAAGAAAACTATCAAGAACGAGCTCGCACGCCCCTAATGTGGCTGGTTTTGTCGACAAGTTGGAGGAATTCAACATTGCTACCATTGATTAAGGACATGACATGCCCGTTCTGCTATCTTCCCTCAACACTACCACAGTAGAATACGGGTTATCGATTCTCTAGATGGGTTATCGATGTGTAGGAATCTGAATTGCGCACAAAGCCGCCAGTTTGTAGAGGAAAATGGCAATGCGGGATATGCGGCCTCGAATACGTGATCGCATCACGTAGCACACTGATAATATGATATCTTGACTTGATATATATTGATACGTATTTCAATGATGTGTGATTCTCTTATCTAATGCGGCCGGCGCAATGGATGTGCTTCAGTGTTGCTGTGCCATCTTTAGTATCACCTCTAAAACGTGGTCCTCAACGTGAAAAGGGTCAAACTCACAACACGTATTTGTCCAAGCTGACAAGATCTGGTTCACTGAAGATCAGGTAGAAGTATTTGAGTGTCTCCGCCATCCAAAAGCTTTCACATTCATCCAGCTTGAGTGTCTCTTGGTCTTTCGGTATCGTCACGTCTGCGATAGCGGAATGCGCAAACTCGGCCATGGTAGCATTGTTGATGGACTCAAACATGCGCCAGGCAGTATCTTGGAGGGTGGTGTCGCCGGTAATGCGATAGAGGACGAAGACGGATTCGATGGCTTCGGGGCTGTAACTGTCGTTAGCGGTGTACGTATGAGGTGGTTTGCGTTCTTACCGTAGCAGGAATCTAGGGTCTCCAATCTTAGAGAAACCAGGCTGGAGCCCTATCTCTTTGATGACGTCTTGAACGTCATAGTGTTCAGCGTGGATGTTACTAGAATACGAGTACTTGACAGAAGCGTGCCACTTCTCCACGTCCCATGCGCAGTCTTCTTCGCCAAAGCAGGGCGTCATTCTGAAGGTCTCTGGCATGATACCAGTAGGCATCGCTTCATAAGCCCAAGTGCAACCATCTACCAGCTTACGAGCGATATCTAGCTCATCGGTCCGGTTGAAGATTTTGGCACCTAGAGCAACCATGCCACCCGTGAAGCAAGCAAGATGTTGGCCATTTGGTTCCAGCTTGACAGAGCCAAAAGAGCTGATACGGGCATCGCCGGAAACGAGGATATCTTGACCCTGTGGTACCCTGGGTCTGAAGAACAAGTGTTTCTTTGCTGGTTCGATGGCGTTCTCATAGAGCTTCTGGTATTGATCCGTCAGTCCCCCCAGCAGTAGATGCTGTTTCGGCAAGTATTCATATAGCGAATCTGTCATCCCACCCATTGTGAATGTTCCATCAACATTGTATACTTCCGGACCCGGGCTGACGAGTACGGGGAACAGGCCGGGCAGCTTGGTTCGATTTTGATGCTTCTCAAGCATATTGGTGACCCTCGCTATGGCATCATAGTATTTTAGGTCGCCGGTGAGTTGCGAAAGGCGGGTGAACTCGAGCGTCAGAGATCCAATCTCTGCGCTGAGTGCTTGCGCATCGGCTTCTTGGTGGCCATTCAAGGCAGCGCTGATTTATGTCAGTATGTACGGGTCGCCGGCGTGGTACAATCTTACTTCTCCCAGTCCCATCGTGTGATTGGCATCCTGTTGGGTGTATCAAATGCAGCATATAGCATGTCTCCCAACTCAGTCGCCTTGTGTAGTAGTGTATGGTGTTTCGCCTTGCTCAGATCGTATGCGCTGAGCAGACCGCCGAGGTAGCGGATAGTAGTTTCGAAGACATTTAGACGCGCGACGCCTGCAGTGGTGAAATCAATCTTCTTGATAGCATGTACAGCCTTGTCGAACTCTTCTTCCAATCCCATGATAGCCAAGGTATCGAGCGCGTCTACCAATGTTGCTCCACGCTGTCCAAAGCCATTCTTGAAGCCTCCTGTTACCGGAGCCACTTCGTCCTGTAGCCATGCGTGTGTTTTGTATCCTTCCCAACTATGCAGGAATGCCTTCTTCACGGCTGCTTGTCTATGCAACCGTTCCGCCTTCTTGTGCTCGGTCTCAACTCCGAACTCATGCTGTATCCGTGGGATGGTAACCGGCGTGCCAGTGGGTAGAGGGGCCAGCGAAGAAACTGGGTTTCGTATCGGTACGCGCTTCCATGCTACAGCATGATCGATTCGATTCGATGACGTGAAAGTCGGCGAGGGGAGCTCGTTTCGGGTGCTGAGTTGGCGGAAAGCGAGTATAACGAAGGTCGCGAATACGAATAGCACAGCAATGCGTCGGATAATGGGGCTCATAATGCCAAAATGTCTATTGAGGGTATCTCATGCGTCTAGCAACTAAAAGGGAAGAAACGCGACTGCTGCGTCGCAGTACACAGGCCTAGCATTCGAAAATGCAAAAGAGTGATCGGATCAGAAGGAAATGTATCAGAACTACAATAAGCAGAAAGAATGACAAAAGATACAACACACAGGACGTAATTGTTGATGGTGGGATGGAAGAAGAAGCCCCATGGTGATGCATGTGCTAAAGATAGGCTCAACTGCCGACTTCCGACCCTCCGACCCTGACCTAACAGGGGCTGGTGTCGCATCGCAGTCGTCGACCCCTTCACCATCACGATTAATGTCCGTATGTTACAAGCTGTGGACACGATGAGGAAGATACAACAGACTTCATCAATAGGCCGTCGCTTAGTTGGCCAATTGCATGCGCATCACATGATCTGTGGTAGGCAGCAGCTATCCAAAGAGCTCACGAGCAGCGCCAGACAGTAAGGCCCTCAGCCACCAATGTCATTGGTGCATCGCAGAACGGCCTTCCGTTCACGGGATGTAGGATCAAGTTGTAGTCCGACATGTCAGCAAGAAGCCGGGAATTTAACGTTGCCTCAAGTTATATGAACTGCGAACTTAAAGCTCTTGACTCTTACATTCTAATCACTGTATACCAAGTCTTAAAACCAAACTCGTGCTGACGGAAGACACTACATCATATCTTGACACAATGTTCAGCCTCTTCGGAGATCGCGCTCCTTCGTCGCCTCCGAACCCTGCGAAGCTCCAACTCCGACCCAACGAATGCCAAGTGCTCAGCCTACCTGACGGACGCACTCTTGGCTTTGCAACCTACGGCTCTACGGACCCCTCCCATCCAGTCGTCTTCCTCTTCCATGGTCTTCCAGGCTGCCGACTCGTCGGAAGAAGTTGGGACAAGCTCTGCAGAGACATCGGCGCACGTCTCATTACTATCGATCGACCGGGCTGTGGAGATTCGACTCTCGCTGACCGTCGCCTCATTGACTGGCCAAGCGATGTCGTGAGCCTTGCCGACTACCTCAATATTGATCGATTCAGTGTGTTAGGTGCTAGCGGAGGCGGACCATATGCTTTGGCTTGCGCACGCTTCATCCCCAAAGAGAGACTCCGAGCTACAACTGTCGTATGCGGCATTGGACCTATCGAGGCGCTCGTAGACTTTGCACCATATCTCCCATGGCACGCCAGAGACATAACGCTATGGTTGTTACGCCAGGGAGCCCTCCATGTCTTTCTGCCACACGTCCTCATTCGCCCCTATCTTACTAGGGACCCTTCTCATCTTAAGCGCGTCCTCGAAGACCAGGCTAAGACTGAAGAAGAGAAAGAGCAGTTTCGTGACGAAAAAGGAGAAACTAATCTCGATGATGTTGTTGCATCACTACTTGAGACCTTCAAGCAAGGCTCTGGTGGGTGCATGCATGACGGCGCTGTACTTACGGAAGATTGGGGCTTTGACTTGAAGGACGTGGACAACGAGCGAGTGTGGCTAATACATGGCGACCAAGATGCGCAGGCGCCATTGAAAGGTGCGCAGTGGGTTGATGAGCGGTTGGGGGGCGGAAAACTCAAGATCCTGAAAGGCAAGACGCATTTCACAATCTGGAAGAAACACTCGGAAGAGATATTTCGGCAAAGCGCTGAGGCGTAACCGAGTCCGGACGAGAGATCGGGGTACGAGTTGTACTGTACATGATTGTTTTCCAAGCTTGGTAGTGCAGTGCGTAATGCGCAGACAGTCTGCGTTGATGTTCCACCACATGTCCGATGCTGTCACTCGGATTTGCGGACCTGAGGTCGGCTCTAGACTTCAGCACCAAGAATGTCTCCAGTTCCCAACATAGTCAAGTAGGTTTCACACTGGGTCCAAAGGTGATGTAGCAGTATACACACATATATATACTGTGTGTTTGTTACTTTCCAGCAACCATAAAGTGCGACAGCTTCCCTAGCATACCATCTGAGAATCTTCACAATTACAATGCTTTTTTCCATATTCAACCCTACCTTGTTGGCTGCGGGTCTGCTCATCGCCGCCGCATCATGTGCACCATCTTGTTGTTTGTCGCCTTCATGGACACCACTTGCCCCTATCCCACTTTCTCCTCGCCAAGAACACACGACTGTTTTCGTTCCGCCATCCACTATCGCAATCCTCGGCGGCGTTGTCCCGTCCAACACTTCGTTTCCGCCTGTATACACTACTTCGTTGATGCAGTCTTACTCGATCACAGACGATATATGGATCACCAAAGCCGGCATGCCACGAGGACTAAATCACGCCAATGTCGCTGTGGTGGATGGAAAGATATATGTCTTGGGCGGTTTGGCGGAGACAGGCGAAGCGGACGGAGGAAAGAGGGTGTGGGGCGGAGTGCCCGACTCTTGGGTGTACGATCCTGTCACTGATTTATGGAAGATGATACCAGGTGTACCCGCTGGGGAAGAAAGAGGTAGTGCAGCCGTCGGTACCTACCAGTCAAAGATCTATCTCGCCGGCGGCATGACGGAACTTGAGCTGTTCGAGAACGGCACTCAGAATAGCGTCTCAGTTGTTTCTATCTTCGATACTAACACGAATACGTGGCTCTCCGTCCCAGAGGCTGCAAAGTATTTGCCAGAAGCCCGAGATCATGCAGGTGCGGCAGTGGTAGGCGGAAAGATGTATGTTCTAGGTGGACGAGATGACGGACAGGAGAACGTTCGCGACACGGTCTTTGTTCTTGATCTCTGTGATCTCCACGCCGGTTGGAAGACTAGCGCGGCGCGCATGCCTACTCCTAGGGGCGGTGTTGCGGCTGGTGTAATTGGAAAGAAGATATACGTCTTTGGCGGCGAGGGCAATGCGCGATCGGAAACTGGGGTGTTTGATCAGGTTGAGGCATACGACACTGTCCGGGACCGATGGGTGAAAACTGGGAGAATGAGGCTACCTAGACACGGAACCTACGCTGCGAGTGTAAACGGGAAAATTTACATTCCTGGGGGTGGCGTAAGTCAGAGCGGTGCGCCAGTGTCTGACTTCGACGCCTTTGTGTTGTAAACCTGGATGATGGCATGATAAGGAACCGGTAGCCGGTTGCGACCGGCGTGGAATGACTCGAACTAGGAATGTCCTTGGGACAGCATTTGTGATATTTTGAGTGGAGAGAAATGCTGAGACAACAAGCTGGTTTCCTCAGATCGGGACGGTCTTGCTTCAATCACTTGCAAGAGTCGGAATGTCGATATGGGGTAGACCACTCGTTTTACTAAACCATATCGTGCGAAATATCTAGTCAATGTACTCCTTCTTTTCCTCAAGTACATCATGAATCGATGCGCACAGTGAGCGGTGCTAGCTTTTGGTCAAGTCTGAAACAGGATACCGGTCATAAGGCCCACAACAGCCCAGGGGAAGGCATCTAGAAGCCTGGGGCCTACAAGAAGTGGGATTCGCATAAGATTCGCTGTCAAGGGAAACGTCTGCGGGAGAAGCTGCTACGTGCAGTGCCCATGGTGTTCCCTTACTCGTGGGTAACGTGCTTGCATTCTGCCGAACTGCTGCCGACGCCACAAATATAGTCTTGAAATGTGTGAGACAGATGCTCGTGTTGGGGTCAAAGTAACGGGTAACCGGATATCATAGAAACAAAGGCTTGTTTAGATTAAGGTGAAATATATGGCACTAGTTTCACCGTCTGACATTTCTGGGTTACTCGCTTGTGATGTGCCGGCGGTAAGCAGGAGGTCTTGTTTCGGCAGATCTCAGTCCGTCCGGAAGGCGATAGGATTTCAATGAGTACCATCGTTCATCATCGCAATAGAGTTCGACGATCAACTATAGCTTTGCGATGGATACATGCGCGACGATGATCTTTGCGGAGCGTAGTAGCCGCAAGAAGCAGGAGACAGTTCAAAAAAGAGGTAGCGTGGCTGATTTAACGCTAAAAAAGGAACCTCGGAGCGAATTCACCACCATCAATGTCACCGCCAGGGTCATTGATCTGTCAATATCGCAACTACCACAACCTCCATGGAATGCTCTATTCGCCTTATGCGCCTTCGCTGTTTCTCTTTGTAGTTGCAAGAGCGAGAATTCCACTGCCGAGACTGCTTCATATTATGCTGCGCCACTGAACCAGGCCTTTAGCTAGGCACGTTTCAGTATCCGTGCCGTAGCCTTGGAATCGCCTCAGGCGTTTAAGCATTACTGGGCAGGTACGGATGTGGCGCTTGTCACCAACTACACAATTTCCAAGCCGGCCGATTTCCGACGCACTTGCAAGCCCCCTAACACCCTGCACCTACACCTGCTGTCTTCACTCGTACGATCCACCAGTCACATATCGCGGTTATCCCTTGAGACGTGAAACACCATCTGCACCCCTCACGCTAGATTGCCTGCTAGGCATGCTCTGAGCAAATTCTCCGTACCGGCTTCTTAATGCACATACCGAGATTCACGTTTCCACCACTAAGAAAGTGGACTATGCCAGCACTGTCAATTTCGTCTGTTCACGTCTGGTCCATACCAAAGGTTTCGGGATGGTCCATATTGGGATGTTTCTCAGGGTTGATATATACCACCGGTAATATATAGGTTGTTTACCAGCCGCAGTTGTTTCGTTTCCATTATCACTCACATTCAAGCTTTCCAAGCCTTTTCTCTTCCGTTCGCTACCAATCGCCAGGATGCGTTACTCTATTGTTGCTTCGTTGCTTTCGGCTGTTACCGCAGTCTACGGCTATGCCGACCCCATGGCTTGCTCTGGTATCTGCAACAATGCTCACGATCCAGCCCTAATCCGTCGCTCTGATGGCACCTACTTCCGTTTCTCGACTGGTGGAAAGATTGCTATCCACAGCGCACCTTCGATCACTGGCCCCTGGACCTACAAGGGTGCCGCGATTCCGGCTGGTTCCAAGATCAACTTGGCTGGCAAGGACGATCTTTGGGTAAGCACTAGCATATGTCTAAATAGTTGAAGACAAGCTAACCAAACTCAGGCTCCTGACGTTACGCTAGTCGGTGACACATACTACCTTTACTACACTGTCTCCTCTTTCGGTGTCCAAAACTCTGCCATCGGTGTTGCGACCAGCAAGGACCTCAGCACTTGGACCGATCTCGGCGCAACTGGCATCCAATCGAGCGCTGGAAAGAACTACAACGCCATCGATGGTGCACTTTACTGGGACGGATCGAAGTTCGTCATGTCCTTCGGTTCGTTCTGGAACGACCTCTTCAGCCAGAACATGGCCAACCCACCCGTGAAGACCAGCTCTTCCACAGTTACAAACATTGCTTTCAAGCCTGACGGCGAGCATGCTCAGGAAGCTCCGTTCATTGCTAAGAACGGCAACTACCACTACCTCTTCTTCTCTGTTGGCAAGTGCTGCGGTTTCGATACCAACAGGCCTGCCAAGGGCCAGGAATACAAGATTCAGGTCTGCAGGTCTACCAGCGCCACAGGTGGCTTCAAGGACAAGAGTGGTAAGGACTGCCTTCAGGGTGGCGGTACCACTGTCTTGGAGTCTCACGGCTGGGTTTACGGACCTGGTGGTCAGGGTGTCTACTACGACCCCAAGGAGGGACCTGTCCTATACTACCACTACGTCGACACCCGCATTGGTTACGGCGATGGCCAGAAGAAGTTCGGTATCAACAAGATTGACTTCTCCAGTGGATGGCCTGTCGTATAAGCGTTTGTCGCAGGTCCGGCACAGACTATTAGCCCAGCGTAAGCTGCGTCTCCGTCCACTTTGGGCACCTTCTTGTCTATATATTTTCACAAATTTTCTCACTGTACATACTCACAGAATACATTTGCATCTGCCAACGGTTCCACCATCTTTGACAGCCTACTCTGGTGATTTGTGATGTAGAGGACTATCGAGCTACCTCGCCCTGTACAATCAGCATCGGTAAGCACCATTACCGTGTAAGCGATGCTGACCATTGAATTTGCACAGAGCTATACTAGTGGCTGCGAATGTACTTGGTACTCCGAGAAGATATGGCCGGCGAGGAGCTGCTGAAATGATGTTCAAGATTAGGGGCTGCGCTTCGGTCCACGTCAAGCGCATAAGGTTTGCGTCACCAGCCCAGCCACAGCCGAGCAGCCACAGCCACGCGTCCACAACAGCTGCAGGAACCTCTCAGAGCACTGCAAAACGTCGCGTCATGCTCAAAGTATCCCCTGTTTGCTCTCCACACACACCCGAGGTATTTTTAGATTTCACGATATATATCATATGTATCAAGGTTGCTCTGCGCGGCCTCGGCAAAACCTATCGCGATGCGTTCAAGTACCATAACTCGGCCTATTGTAAACCGGATCTGCAGGATCTGCCTCCGCGTACGCATTGACTGAATTTCTCTTCAGTCATACCAAGAAACCCGCACGCGCTTTACGAGGAGCGCGTCGCGATGCCAGACACCAAACTCACGCGCTTCTCACCATCCCAAAATTCCAACAGCTTCCGATATCGGCCGCTGGACCCCTCAGAGGGTGAAGATATTCGCCTCTTGTGTCTCTACCCTGGCGAATTCCACGAACCTATCCGATGCGACCTTCTCCACGCGAACCTGGACGATGACATCGAATACGAGGCTCTCTCGTATACCTGGGCCTCCGAAGATGGGGACGCTAGCTTATCGCAGCGGATCAACTGCGCTTACTTTGGAGAGGAACAAGTCTCTGATCTGCCAGTAACATCAAGCTGTGCGTCTGCATTGCGCAGGCTGAGGTTGATTTCACAAGAAAGAATGTTGTGGGTCGATGCACTTGCTATCGATCAGAGTAATCTGCAAGAGAGGAACCAGCAGGTTGCGATTATGGCAAGGATCTACTCGGGCGCGTCACAGGTTTTGGTCTACCTAGGAGAAGAAGATTTAGGATTCGGCTCGCGCACTCTGTGGATGGACACCGAGAGACGTCAGATCGCGTTGAAGAAACTTTTCGCAAAGAGATGGGCCTCACGAGTGTGGGTGATTCAAGAAGTAGCACTGGCGCAAAAGTTAACGATGGTCACGGGGAATGCATCCTGTCCTATGGACGCCAATCTGATGAGCCGTATCCGAGGAAGAGCCAAAATATCCAGACTGCAAGTCCCTGGCCCATTAGCTTGGGATCCGCTAGTCAGTGCTCCGACGAGGGATCTACTCACGATGTTACAAATGACACACAACTGCTCGTCTACAGATCCTAGAGATAAAGTGTATGGTCTTTTGGGCTTGGTTGGCGAGCGTCTGCAGAGCCTCATTGAGATCGATTACTCGCAAACCGTGGAGGAGGTGATGACACATGCAGCCGCCGCGATCATCATCTGTAGAGAAGACTTTGAGATCTTAGCATACGCGTCACTCAGAGCTAGACCCGCGCACAAGTGCTTGCCGACTTGGGTGCCGGACTGGGCAGAATACGATGGCGAAATTACGCTGCGTCCTCAATTCCAAACATCGAAGATAGGTCCCTGGAGATCTCTAGAGAAATTGATGGGGAGCAGGTCATCGACTCGTCGGCTCAGCGAGATAGATTGGGGAGCAGCGGTCGATATACCTGCAAGCTGGCCAACTAGCCTCTCTTCGAAGCCGTCCTTGGAAGTTCGTGGACACTGCCTCGCGACTATCGACAGCACAACCAAGCAAGATAATGGGAGTTCGCAATGGCAAGACGCCCAGGATTTTGGTGTCAGCTTGAAGGTTTTAATCGAAGATCACTCGACGCTTAAAGATTTCGATATGCAGCTATGGCCTACACGATTCCAGTGGCTCTTCAACCCCTTTTACATGCGCCTCGATGACTCGCAACTTCAGCCAGATAGTATCTCGGCTATGAGGAGTTTTTCAAATCTCCATTGGGCTGGTCTCCAACAGTTTTGCACTGAGCTTCAAACACTGGGGAAGAACAAATACATCTTTCGAGCTGAATATCTACCTGCGATAACGAACCACGACTTCGATGTAGGCGACACTGTATGGGCAATCGATGGCTGCACAGTTCCACTGATTCTTAGATCTGATAATACTGTAAGACAGAGCGATGCCGGCCGCCGAAGCTATACGATCGTTGGTGACTGTTACCTGTTTGCGTTATCACATATGGATTGTTGGACGACATCAGGAACGGGACTCGATCAACGATGGGATTTCAATCCGTTCCGCCATATGGATGCCTTAGGAACACAAAAAATCAATCTACATTGATGCGCACTCTCCTGATTTAATCAGAGGACTCAGTCTCAGCCTGGCGTGACTGTAGCAACCACCGATTGGTCAAGCACAGTCCGCACCATGCATGCACCATGCATGCACCAAGAGTCTAGACTCTGCTTGTCAGCTTCCCCTACAACTCATAGCCGCTGCACTGTCGGTGGTCTGATACTGCCCAACCTTCGAACGGACTTGTGACTCTTGTACGTTAGCTATCCATCACGATGACCGAATCGTTATGCAAGCATCCGGATATACGCAAGTTCGACGCGATAAGGAGCTGCCTCAGTTGTGGTGAGGCTGTGTTCGAAACCTCATCTCCGACAGCCCACATTCACAAGAGTGATGCGACAGCTTCTTATCAATACACAAAGCTGAAGTACAAACTCGGCCGCGAAATACGACTCGTCCTCGTTCTTCCGGGCAGCGATCAAGATGCACTCCGGTGCCAGATAATCCATGTTAATCTGGACGATGACCCTGTTTACGATGCTGTATCATATACGTGGGCCACAGAGGGTGGGGACGCGTCTCATTGCATGACTGTTCAGTGTGAAGCAGGTGGTTTCATACCTGTCACTGCAAACTGCTATGCTGTTCTCCTTCAGCTTAGGCGGTCTGGCGGTATACGAAGGCTCTGGATTGATGCAATATGTACGTAGAGCTTCCGATCCATAACTCAACGCAGCGCCTGCTGATGCAAAATCTTGACCAGGTATTGACCAGACGAATGTCAACGAACGTAATCATCAAGTCGGGTTCATGGATCAGATTTACTCCAATGCTCGGAGTGTTCGCATCTGTATTCAGGACTCTTCGTTAACGGCCTCTTTACGGGATTACAACCGGTTGTTTAGCTGGCTACGCTGCACAGGATCTGAGAACTACACGGGAATTCAAACGCCACTATGTTCTGATCTACATCATCTCCTGTCACTTAGGTATTTCCGCCGGGTCTGGGTCATTCAAGAAGTGGCCTTGGCGCGAGAGGTATGCTTACATGTGAACAACAACGTACTACTATTGGACTCCGCCGTCATGGACCGCATGGAGAGTCTTCGCAAGCAGAATCGTCTTCGGATTCCATCCGCCTTGAAATGGTCGACGTGTCGGACGATCGAAGCTGGGATCGTTGCTTGTTTGCAGGCAGCCATGAAATGCAACGCCACTGATCCACGAGATGAGGTCTATGCGGTCTTGAGCTTGATGGAACCTCAGGCTAGATCACTTATACCTGTTGACTACTCTCTGGACCTTGATGTCGTCTGGCGTAACGCAATTGCAGCTATCATCATCACTCAAGGCAATCTGGATATCCTATCACACGTGGGCGTTTACCGGCATAGATCTTTACTGAACAACAGAGTACGAAGATCCTACATGAACCGGGTAGATATCGCTGGGTATCTGGAGAGAGTAGCTTCCAGTAATAGCCATCATCTCACCTTGCCTTACTCTGAGGGGCATCGTGCAACTCCCTGGCGCGCACAACTCGTAATGCCATCAAACCCTTCGGATATTCCCCAGCAATCTGCCACCTTCTCTATCATAGGGCCGCCTGTCAATTCGAACAGCTTGTTGCCACGATTTTGTGTACGAGCACATTACATTGATCGTATCGATGTACCAATGGTCTTCAGGCCCTCTCTCAAGAAGAGGAAAAGAGGAAAAGATTATGGCAATGATGCAGTGTATTATGATTGGGACCAGGAACCGTTCGACCGTATCAGGAGCTACAGTGTTCGATCGCTTGTAGCTTTTTTCAAAGCAGATGTAGACAATGTATCAACGACTGATCCTCATAAGCCTTCACACGGAACCTCTGGCTTCCACCCTGGTACCGTTACTTCTGGGTCTGAAAGACCGGAAGCTCTCATTATGAACGACCCCAGTATTGAAGATACAGACTTATCGGAATTCATCCGTATCTGTCAAACTTCAAGAAAAGGAAGACCGTTGTTCACCAGTCACTTCAGCGTCGGTTTTCCTGGGATTAGTTCAATGAAACGGATAGTTCAACAAGGCGATGAGATATTCGCTATCGATGGTGCAAGGACGCCCTTCATCTTACGCAAACGCGGCCGTGTCGCTGAAAATTACAAGATCATAGATGAGTGCTATCTATGGGCGGCACTGGAGCTTGATTGTTGGAACCCGGGGACTAGGAAGGGAAGGTGGGGACCAGGAGTAGAGAGACCCACTACCACGCAAACACGCATGATCAACATATGCTGATACGAATCTGTATCAAGTCAACGGCCCTAGTAAAGAAATGGCGTACATGTATACATCCGAAAGTCATCAAAAACGAAGAATACGAAAAAAATGTGGGATTGCAGGACCACAAAACTGATAGAGAACTGACACTTCTTCTGGCTGTATGGATATCATGCTATCTGATGAGATAATTTTCTGTGGCAGGTTGATCATAAACACAAGGCCGACGGTGCGGCATTACATAGCATTTTCAAAGCGTAGTGATTGGGAAGTCGTTTTGAGAGGTAGCACAACTAGGTCGGAGCGCCCATGTACCCCACTCATTTTTGATAGTGGACGTTGTAGCGATGTCCTAAAATTGATACTATCAATGTTTGAAACCATGCACATACGATGTACGATTACTGCCTGGGCAGAAGCGACGAATTGCTTGTTGTCAGACTAGCGTGTATAAATGACGTATAGATGATGCTCAACCATACTGTATGCTCTACATCCTCAGATACCTTATTGAAGATCATACTACTCCTCCTTAGAATACTGCACCCCTATACAAATACATTCTTGAACATGTCGCATCAAGAGAACACCAAGAACGTACCTGAGGAACACCAAGTTCACAGGACGGGCTCCTGGCTTCCAGCAGACCACCGCGTCCACAAGAAATGGCTATCAGGCATCATCGAGCGGGTAGAAGGCAATCCTAAAGAGCTGCATCCTGTGTTGCGAGAGTTCAAGGATCTGATCGAGAACAACACACGTATTTACATCCTGGTAAACTCCATGTTTGAAGAGATACCTACGAAGAAGCCGTACAAGAACGATCCCGTGGGCCATAAGCAGGTCAGGGATTATCATCACATGTTGGAGCTGTTCAACCATATTCTTACAACAGCACCGGAATGGAGTGACCATGAGTACTCTATTGGGATGGTGGGAACCCCTTTCAATGCCATTTTGGACTGGCCAATGGTGAGTATATCTGCTTGAGCCTCATTCGAATACATGCTAATCGCATTACACAGGGTACACCATCCGGATTTGCCTTCTTCCTAGATCCCGAAGTCAACAAGATGATCAAAAAGGTACTCAACGCATGGGCAGAGTTTCTCGACTCGCCAGCATCAGCATATGTGCTCGGTACTGATAAGATCGGCTGGCTCAGCGAACATGGCACTCACGATCTCGCATTGACAGCCAACATTGGCCAAACGTCTCACTCCTTTGAAGAGATGTTTCAATGCGACCCATCCAAGGAACATCATGGTTACAAGTCATGGGACGACTTCTTCACCCGTCACTTTTACGAAGACAAGCGACCTGTTGCCAGCCCTGAAGACGACAGCGTCATTGCCAACGCATGCGAGTCGAAACCGTACAAGGTTGGACGCAATGTCTCCAAGCGTGACCGCTTCTGGTTGAAGGGTCAACCTTACTCACTCAAGGACATGCTCGCCATGGATCCGCTGCACGAGCAGTTCATTGGCGGCACCATCTACCAGGCCTTTCTATCTGCAATGAGCTACCATCGCTGGCACGCGCCCGTCAGCGGCAAAGTCGTAAAGTCGTATCTCGTTGAAGGCACATACTTCTCAGAACCACTTTTCGAAGGCCTCGGTGATCCCTCAGCTAAGGGTGGTATCGACGAAGAAGGCGAGAAGACCGGCCAAGGTTACCTCACTGCAACTGCCACACGCGCCATCATCTTCCTCGAGGCAGACAACAAGGATCTTGGCCTGGTCTGCTTCATGGGTATCGGGATGACTGAGGTCTCAACATGCGATACCACTGTCAAGGTGGGACAACACGTCAAGAAGGGCGACGAGATGGGCATGTTCCACTTTGGTGGAAGCACGCATTGTATACTGTTTAGGAAGGGTGTCGAGTTGGAAGGCTTTCCGGATACACAGAATGTAGAGCACAATATGCCTGTGAGGGCGAAGCTGGCGACTGTGAAGAAGGCTACTTGAGAAGCCTGATTGAAAGGCAGCAGCGGATCAGCTCATAATGCTGATCGACCCTTAACGTTCTTATGCACCCTATTCATACCGAAATTAATTCTTCCAATAACGATAGCAAAGAGTGTCAAATCGTCAGATGTGTCAGGTGCTTAGCATCCAGTGCTGAGTTGAGGGGAGCTGATCCGATCGGGAATACGTCATACGGTGAGCGCCAGCTAAGATATCTAGAATGTAGCGCAATGATGAATCATTGTACAGTCCGAAGAGGAACAAGTCCAAATTCGGGTATCTGTGATGCAAGAGATGTACTTGCTCCGGGATGCGGGAGGCTGAGGCTCTTCGGCGGATGCTTGGACCTAGCGTAAGGCGGTGGCCAAAGCGCCCCAGCTCGGAGCGTGGATCTCTACATCACTGACGAGCCGCAACACCACCAAACAACGTCGCCGCCCCATCCCACACTTTCCTCTCTCCCATTCGACACTTCCGTCTACAGCCTCTGCTTTACCTGGGAGCAAGTGGATACCCCGATATCCGATAAATACACACGACGACCCCGCCACCATGTCTAGCGGAGAAGTGCTCAAGGCCGACAAGGACTTTACCAAGGAAGTCGATGCGGCTATTCCAGAGGCGGAGAAGCTAGCTTCTGTATGTTAAATGACTCCCGAAAGTGAAGCAAAGCTAATGTAGTTGATTAGAGCAACCCGCAAGCTGGCATCGATAAGCTGCTCACGCTCGAGAAGCAGACCCGCCAGGTACATAACTCGCAACCTTGTGCGCATGGGCATGTATTGACATTGTCCAGGCCTCAGATCTCGCCTCCACTTCCCGAATCATAATCGCCATCGTCACAATAGCAAAGAATGCGAAGGACTGGAACTTGATGAATGAGCAGGTCCTGCTCCTCTCCAAGAAGCATGGACAGCTCAAGCAAGCCACCACCAAGATGGTGCAGACAGTCATGGGGTTCCTGGATGAGACACCCAACCTCGAGACAAAGCTATCCGTCATCGAGACACTACGGACAGTTACTGAGGGCAAGGTAGGCGGCACCAACGGATGGGACACGTGCTGTTGCTGACACGGGAACAGATCTTTGTCGAAGTCGAACGCGCTCGCGTAACCCGCATCCTGTCCAACATCAAGAAGGAGCAAGGCGACATTGATTCAGCGACAGACATTCTGTGCGAGCTGCAAGTCGAGACGTTCGGCTCCATGACCCGCCGCGAGAAGACCGAGTTCATCCTACAACAAGTCGCGCTATGCATACAGAAGGGCGACTGGACGCAGGCTGGTATTCTGAGCAGGAAGATCAGCACAAGGTATTTTGCCCGGAGACCAAAGAAGACTCCCGAGCAGCTTGAGAAGGACCAGAAGGAGCGGGAGGAGAAGGAGAAGAACCGAAGCCCCGAGGACCCGCCCATTGAGCCAGAGGACGATGTAACAGATCTCAAGCTCCAGTACTACGAGCAGCAAATCACCTTGGCGAAGCACGACAACAAGTACCTGGACGTTTGCAAGCACTACCGACAAGTATTGGATACCGAGGCTGTGGAGGAGGACCCTAACAAGCTCCGAGCAGTATGTACAACGCCCGAGTATCTCTGCAAACTATTACTAACGTAGTCATAGATCCTTCAGCGCGTCATCTACTTTATCATCCTCTCGCCGTACGATAACGAGCAGTCCGACCTCATTCACCGTATCCAGCGTGACTCTCGCAACTCTCAGATCCCACAAGACGCACAATTAGTTAAGCTCTTCACTGTGCCCGAGCTTATGAGGTGGCCAATGGTAGCTAAGCAGTTCGGACCTCACCTCACAGAGACGGACGTATTCGATGAGAAGAAGGACGACTCGGACGACCCCAAAGCATTCCAGAGATGGCAAGACCTCCGAAAGCGTGTTATTGAGCACAACGTCCGCGTCGTCGCCAAGTACTACACGCGCATTCAGATCCCGCGTTTGACAGAGCTGCTGGATCTCACAGAAGATGAGACAGAGAAGAACATTAGCGAGCTAGTATCTGCAAAGACCATCTACGCTAAGATCGACCGACCTGCCCGAATCGTCACGTTTTCGAAGCCTAGGGATGCCGACGATGTGCTGAACGAGTGGAGCGGAAACATGAAGAGCTTGCTGGGTCTTCTTGAGCGTGTTGATCATCTCATCACCAAAGAGGAAATGATGGCGCGTATTCAGCCTACCAAGGTGGACAAGAGCAAGGCGATCAAGGGCAAGGCGAAATAGGAGTCGCGAAGATCCTCAGGTCTCCTCAAGACATGCGTGCAAGACGGACTGCATTTGGTTGTGTAATGGCCTTGTGAACTGTAACGCTGATGATGATGCATGGAAGTGGGTATGATAGTCTACGAACGGGCGCGTTTGCAAGCAGACCCTGAAGGTCGAGCTTGTACCGATGCGCTGCCTGTGTTGGACATGTCGCATGGCTGAACTCGACACGCTACGAAACATAGAGTACCTGTGCATTTGCCATAGGATAACAAAATAAATCAAAGCAATAGCTACAACAAAGACACTCCGACTGAATTGCTGTGTTACTATCACTGATGTGATCGCTCTTGTTCATAGCACATGTAGCAGCTAGATGAAGCACCCGCGCGTTGCATCATCTGCCAAGACACTTAAGTACAGACGCGGACTAGCGCAACGCGTCCGACGCGTCCCTTCCTTCCCCGGAGTATGGCAGTCACAGCCGTTGATAGTCTCAAACTCTCACTACTTTCACTCCCCACACTGTAACACCACGACAACCATGGCTCGCGGCGTCGAAGGAAATGAGATGTCAACGCCTCGCGCTTCACAAAAGAAGCAGCCCGCCTCCGCGTCGCAATCGGCAAAGGGCCAAAAGTCCATCTTGGGTTTCTTCCAAAAGAAGTCTACCAACTCACCAAGCCCCGCGCCATCCGATGCCACACCAGTCAACAAGACTCCAACATCAAAATTGGCCAAGAAGGCGTTCAATGATCCGCCCGCAGCCATCACACCTGTGCCGAGCAGCGATGCTCCCGACTACTCGAGTCCCATCAAACAAGAACACGAGTTGACAATAGGAAGGGGTAGGAACAAGGAGAATGGTGTGTTATTGCGTGTCCTGAAATTCGATTCCGTAACTGACAGCGTACTACCAGAGCCCGCAGATGTCACTCCCAGTAGCCCAACACGCAAGGTACGTGCAACGTGCCATTGTGCATTATGACCGCTCTCCTTAACATTTTCACGCAGGCACGAAAGCCGGTCAACTATGCCGAATCCGATGACGAAGAAGAGGACGTATTGGGTCCAATTGCGAACAATGCTAGAGGCAGAGCGACAAAACGCCAGCGTGTCGTTGTCGACGACGATTCAGACGACGAATTCGGATTAGACGCGGCCACACAGAAGGCTATGCTTGAGGAAGAAGATGAGGACGATATGGAAGACTTCGTTGTTGCAGATGATTCTGACGAGGAGGTTGTGTCGAAGAAACGCAAACGTTCAGCAGCGCCTAAGAGTCGTGTCAGGACAGCTCCCGCATCATCGCCGCCTATAATCGAGGCAAAGGACGATGAAGACGATGGAGATGTTGTAATGACTAGCACGTCGACTGCACAACAATGGATCTATGATCCCGAGAATCCAATGGTCTTCAAGCCACGCACGTCAATACAAGCGACTAAGAAGGACCCCAGTAAGAAGACGAAAGAGCGACCGAGTGCATCAGAACCTGAGACGAGATATCCATGGCTCGCGCACCAAATGGACGCTGATCGGCATCCGGTTGATCACCCAGACTACGACCCCCGTACACTTTATATTCCCCCGGGCGCTTGGGGCAAGTTCTCAGCTTTCGAGACGCAGTATTGGGAGATCAAGAGCAAGTGGTGGGATACCGTTGTCTTTTTCAAGAAAGGCAAATTTTACGAGCTCTACGAGAAAGACGCCTCGATAGGCCACCAGCTCTTCGACCTCAAGCTGACCGATCGGGTCAACATGAGGATGGTGGGTGTACCAGAAGCCTCGCTGGACATGTGGGCAACACAGTTTGTAGCGGCAGGGCACAAAGTTGCTAGGGTTGACCAGATGGAGTCGGCTTTGGGCAAAGAGATGCGCGAACGCGACGACAAGGGCAAGACTCCGAAGAAGGCTGGCAAGGAGAACAAAGTGATTCGAAGAGAGCTCGCTACAGTACTCACATCCGGTACACTTGTAGACACAGGCATGCTTCAGAGCGAAATGTCCACATACTGTATGGCCATCAAGGAGATCGACCGCAACAACCTGCCAGCGTTCGGAATAGCGTTCGTCGACACTGCTACTGCCCAATTCCAACTCTGCGAGTTCACCGACGATATCGACATGACGAAGTTCGAAACCCTCATTGCGCAGATGAGACCCGGCGAGCTACTCCTGGAAAAGTCCTGTGTATCTGCGAAAGCTCTACGAATACTCAAGAACAATACACCACCCACAACAATCTGGAACTACCTGAAGCCTAACAAGGAGTTCTGGCCAGCGGACATCACCATTCGCGAATTGGAAGCGAACAACTACTTTGAGTCACCTACAGAAGACAATGTCGAGGCTTGGCCGCCAGTTCTCCGCGAAGCTCGAGAACAAGAACTGGTCATGTCATCATTCGGTGCTCTTCTACAATACCTGCGGTCCTTGATGATTGAGCGCGATCTTGTCACACTTGGAAACTTCCAATGGTACGACCCCATACGGAAGGCTACCAGTCTGGTTCTTGATGGTCAAAGCTTGATCAATCTGGAGATATTCGCCAACACATTCGATGGATCCACTGAAGGCACTTTGTTTGCCATGCTCAATCGCTGCATTACTCCGTTCGGTAAGCGATTACTCAGGCAGTGGGTATGCCACCCTCTTGCAGATGCGACCAAGATCAATGCGCGTTTGGACGCCGTGGATGCGCTGAATGCCGACTCTACCATCATGGAAAACTTCAGCGCGTCTCTCAGTAAATTGCCAGATCTTGAACGTCTCATCTCTCGCGTACATGCGGGCCGATGTAGGGCACAAGACTTTCTCAAAGTGTTGGAAGGCTTTGAGCAGATTGAGTATACTATCAGCTTGTTGAAGCAATTCGGCGAAGGCGAGGGTCTTATTGGACAACTCATCTCCTCCATGCCTGATTTGGCTGCATCACTGGAGAAATGGAACTCAGCCTTCGATCGAGACATCGCCCGGAAAGAAGGACTTCTCATTCCCGAGCCTGGCATTGAAGAGGACTTTGATAACAGCCAGCAGGAGATCGACACTTGCAAAGCTAACTTGGACGTATTGTTAAAGAAGGTTCGGAAAGAGCTCAATTCAAACGCTGTTCAATACAACGACATCGGCAAGGAGATTTACCAGCTGGAGGTGCCCAAGAAGGTCAAAGTTCCCAACAGCTGGGACCAAATGTCAGCCACTGCCAAGGTTACTCGATACTACACACCTGAGCTTCGAAAGCTAGTACGAGCACTACAAGAAGCACAGGAGACGCATGGCCAGATCACCAGGGAAGTTGCCACTCGCTTCTGTCAACGCTTTGATGAGGACTACAAGGTCTGGCTTGCGGCCGTCAAGATTATTGCTCAGCTAGATTGCTTGATCAGTCTTGCGAAAGCATCTGCTTCACTTGGAGAGCCTAGCTGCCGTCCTGTTTTCGAAGAGGGCAATCGTACTGTCGTTGAGTTTGAAGAACTCCGCCACCCGTGCATGCTCAATACAGTCGACGACTTCATCCCCAACGACATCAGGCTAGGAGGCGACTCTGCCAACATCAGTCTGCTCACTGGTGCAAACGCAGCAGGTAAATCTACCATCCTTCGCATGACTTGTATCGCGGTCATCCTCGCACAGGTGGGATGCTACCTACCCTGCACATCAGCTAGACTCACTCCAGTCGACCGCATCATGTCCCGTCTCGGCGCCAACGACAACATCTTTGCTGCCCAATCTACCTTCTTTGTTGAGCTCTCTGAGACACAGAAGATCCTTTCGGAAGCTACACCTCGCTCCCTTGTCATCCTCGACGAGCTCGGTCGTGGAACATCTTCTTACGACGGTGTCGCGGTTGCACAAGCTGTTTTACACGACATCAGTTCACGCGTAGGCTGTGTCGGTTTCTTCGCCACCCACTATCGGTCTTTGGCCAAGGAATTCGAGTTCCACCCTGAGGTCGAGAACAAGCGTATGCGTATCCACGTCGACGATGCATCGAAGTCCATCACCTTCCTCTACAAATTGGAGCAGGGCGTGGCTGAAGGTAGTTTTGGTATGCACTGTGCAGCCATGTGCGGCATTCCGAACAAAGTCATTGAGAATGCAGAGAAGGCGGCTAGGGAATGGGAGCACACTAGTAGACTGGGGGAGAGGATGGAGGTCAACAAGGATGAGGGCGGTGTTTATGTGCCGCTGGGTCTGCAGAGCGACGTTGCTTGGACGCTGAGGGAGGGCTTGGAGGGAGTCGGTGATCGGGCGCTGGATGTGCTGCTCGAGGCCATCTCTGCGCTATAAATGTGTATGGTGTCGTCCAGGGAAGTGTGTAAGATATGGTAAAAGGCGTACAACGGTCGAGTTGGTAAGGCTTATGGGATATATTCATATGGGACGGGGTACCAGATTTCGGTCGATTTAGCGTTCGCACTGTAATCATGTACTGTCAGTTAGCGTATCGTATGTCAATCAACCTTCTAAGAATGATATAGCAGCCTGATGATTTTCATGCTGTTTCGCACTGCCAACTATCACGCAGAAGTCTGTGAACTACTCGAGGGTTATATATACCGGAGTGACATCGAAGCAAGTTATTCATGATGTAGTAGTAGTAGTCATGCCGCACTATACGCAGGAGCGTGTATGAGGCGAATGCTACTTGTAGTCGCTAGAGCCTCAGGATGCTCGTACCAGATGTCGTACCCATATCGCTGAACGCCTTGTTAAGACCCGATTCTAAGACACTACACGAACTTTTCCCCTTCCTCCTCCGCCCACCTAGTGGTCTCCCCATCTCTTCGTTCTACTCCTCCTCATCTTAAGCAACTGACTTCCTGTATCCAGTAGCTGCATTCCTACCTCCACCAACACCACCACCAAAGTTCTCAATGCCGTCGAGGAAACCGTAGCTTGCGCTACCACTACCGTTCTCAAGGAAACCAGAACCTTCCTCGAAGCCCGGTTCCTCCTTCTTGATCTTGACCTTCTTGTCTACCAGACCACCAAAGTCTTCATCATCGTCACCGTCGTCATCGGCTGCCGAAACGTCCTCGGATGGCGATGAAGTTGGCTGACGGGCGCCCTTTCGGGCACGCTTGGCGGGTGTGCTGGAAGAGGTAGGGGGACCACGCTTCTTAGGAGTAGAAGTTGGAGTAGATGTAGCTTTGCTGCGACCCGGACCTCCGGCTTTCTTGGGGGTGGTAGGACCGTCTGTAGAGAGAGACTCGCCGAGGAGCTTGATCTTGGTCTTGATCTTGCCGAATGTTACGCCGGCGGAGCCGACGGTGTAACCGGTGAGGGAAGCCAGTTTGTGCATGTCGATCTAGGCATGGACGTGTTAGTATGAGTAATAGATTAGCAGAAGATGAAGTGACAAAGAGTATGTTGAGAGTGCTAGGCATTGACATAATGAGGATTGGGGGAGTTAGTGGTGGCGCTGGAAAGTATATACCTTGGGCTGCGTCTCCATACACTGCCAGGCGAGGGCGAGGACCTCCATCTCACGAGGTGAGAAGCTGACCTCTTTATTACCAGCCATGTTGATCTTGTAGATATGATGTATGTTAAGTGTTTGGAAGTGCGTTGGAGCCAAAGCTATCGCGAGAGAGTAATGGAAGAGCGATGGAAGAAAAGACTAGAAGAGGCGGGCATACGTTCTTTATATGCTATCCCACAGAAGTAGAAAGACCCTTAAAATTAGCGGTGAAGTTGACAGTTTGGTGAGATTTGAGCGCGTGGTGAGAGTGGCTAGGCAACCTAGAAGAGGAGAGAAAAGACGCCTTCACTCTGTCTTTGAAGCTCCAGCAGGAAACTGTAGGGCAGCACAGCGCGCAAGTGAGTCCGGCTTGAAGATTTGTGCAATTTGTATAGTATATTCTCGAGGCAATTGGAGACGCCAGCATACCGCCGTGCTAAATCCTGCGCACTTCCTTACCCTGCAATTCGGGTCTCTCCACGTCCAGCTCGTCCCTCAGTGCCGCATAGAGCGAGTCGCCCAAGATGATGGATAATCCCAAACTCCAGACGAGTGTAATAGCATAGAAGAAATTGGCGTTTCCCGATCCAGCATAGATCCACAGGTGGTAGAAGGCGGGGCCCAAGAATGACGTATACAGGATGCTCGCTGATGCCAAAAAGGTATAACGCATGACTGTGATATAGTTAGTTTTGTCGCGGTTTCGCGGGAAAGGCATCTACTCACGAGGAAATAGATGGCGGAACATGGGCACCAAAGAAAGGTAGAGCGCAGCATCCGCTATGCTCGGGTATGGAGTGAAGATGGCAAAAACGCCTGTCAAACAGCATGCTACGAACAATGGCTGCTTGTGAAGACGGATCGTCAGGCCAGGCATATACGACGCCGCATGGAGCCAAAAGACGCCAAGGAAGAACTCGCGGAAGGAATCGAACATCTCAATGAAGAAGTACCACCAGAGTCCGACGTTGGGTGTGAGATCTGGCAGGAGAAGACGCACACCGTATGTGGCCGACAGGAAGTCCCATGAATCCATCAATAATGCGGAGCCTGTGAGCAGGGCGCCTATTGCGCCTGCAAAGCCAAGAGTATGGGTTGTGATGAAGGATGTGACATTTGGCGCAGTCTTGGACTTTAGTGTCTTTGCATCATAAAGGAGGACCATCAGCGGAGGGAAGAGGAGTATCGGGTGCATCGAAAAGTAAGAAGCAAAAGCCGTGGATAGAATGAAGGTGAAGCTGGCGCCTTGGGAGGCCTTGGCCATGGCTGTGAGGATGAAGAGGTTCGTCAGGGCCGAGGTAGAGCGTGCGATGCATGTCAGGACGGTGAAGGGGTTGAAGAGGAAGCTTCGAGGTGTTAGCATGTGTCCTGTAGAGGAGTGTAGTAGTCGTACCCTGCTGCGATGGCCGTACTGCTCCATTTCAAGTCCTTCCGCGGCGAGGCGAACAGTCGCGTGACGGATGCGAAGCCGCTCTCCGCCACTTGAGCCAGTGCATTCGCGCTCAGTAGGTCGACGATAGTATAGAAGATGTTGGTGGCCAGAGGGGCCTGTGCCGGGCTCGGGAAGAGGGAGAAGAGAGGCAGCAGGAGGGGTGCCTGGTGGTATACGCCGCCGTCGTAGGGGGAGACATTATGGGTGTAGAGGAAGACGCCCTCTTGCACTATCACGTGTCAGTGATAGTATACACACTCCATGTCGGATACATACATCTCTTGAAGCTCGTCACTGGTGTCGACACCTCGACACGTCCTGCGAGGAGGTCTGGTAGTGCGGGAAAGACTGTGAAGAGAAGCAAGCGCACGGCTGCGGCGGCTCCGAAGAGCAGCAGCTTCTGGTGCGTGTTGTTCTGCTGCTTGACGGCCATGGTAACTCTCTCCTACGCAATCATGGCTCCATGGCGGGTCTTCACCTCGGCGCTGGTGTTCTGGCAAGATGCATGTTGGTGGACCCTGGTCGCGCGCTAATGCCGGATCCATGTCCGCTAGTTGGCCGCATCTCGAACTTTTTTGCGCCCGCCAAAAGTTCGACCATCTGCATCGACAGAATCGCGATTCTATACAGACAACACAATGGCTGGTCGCTCAAAAAAGAAGGGTATGCGCGTCTACAACTGATCGAGATGTCATTTTTGCTGACCAATCCATAGGCACCTCTGGTGCGGCTAAGAACTACATCACTCGTACGCGCGCCGTGAAGAAGCTTCAGATCTCGCTCCCGGACTTCAGACGACTATGTATCTTCAAGGGAATCTACCCCCGTGAGCCGCGCAACAAGAAGAAGGTCTCACGAGGCTCTACCGCTGCCACCACCTTCTACTACACAAAGGACATCCAGTATCTCCTCCACGAGCCGCTGTTGGCAAAGTTCCGCGAGCACAAGGCTGTCGCAAAGAAGATTGGTCGCGCTCTCGGTCGCGGCGAGTCGGGAGATGCATCGCGCCTCGAGAAGAACCTCATGCCCAAGGTCAAGCTCGACCACATCATCAAGGAGCGCTACCCTACCTTTGTCGACGCCCTGCGTGACCTCGACGATGCCCTCTCTATGCTCTTCCTATTCGCCAACCTCCCCTCGAGCGACCACGTCCCTGCCAAGACCATTGCCCTTTGCCAGCGATTGACCCGCGAGTTCGAGCACTATGTAATCACCTCCCACGCCCTCCGCAAGTCCTTCCTCTCTATCAAGGGTATCTACTACCAGGCGACAATCCAAGGTCAGGACATCCTTTGGCTCGTACCATACAGGTTCGTCCAGCGAACCGGTGGCGACATCGATTTCAGGATCATGGGCACCTTTGTCGAGTTCTACACCACTCTTCTCGGCTTTGTCAACTACCGCCTCTACACATCAGTCGGCCTGGTATACCCACCCAAGTTCAACGCAAAGAGCGACGAACAAGGTGGCGAGCTGGCTGCATTCCAGCTCGAGGGCAAGGCTACTGCCAACGACGCGACTAATGGACACGACGAGGATGCTGAGATCAACCCCGAGGCACAGGCGATAGCGGACAGGATTGGAGCCATGTCTGATGTTGATGAGGAGGAGAGCACCACAGCTGTAGCCAAGGTTGCTACTGAGGACGATGAGGAGGAGGCTAACGACGAGATTGACAAGTTCGAGCCGACTGCGCCCGATGCCGACATCCTACCCCAGCCGCAAGCAAGCAGTGCCGAGATTGCTTCCCTCTTCGCGCCCTTCACCTTTTACCTATCGCGAGAGACACCCAGAGCATCGCTCGAGTTTATATTGAAGGCGTTTGGCTGCAAGAGAGTTGGTTGGGATGGAACTCTCGGCGACGGTGCTTTCACAACGAACGAGTCGGACCCGAACATCACTCATCAGATTGTCGACCGACCCGCTCTATCCAACGGCACGTCTAACGGAGATGACGAGGACGCTGCTGCTCCCAAGGTTCAATGGCCCTACTCCATGATGCCTGGACGCACCTACGTCCAGCCACAATGGGTTTGGGACAGTATCAACCAGGGCAAGCTATTGCGACCAGACCACTACTCCCCTGGCGCAGACCTGCCGCCGCATCTTAGCCCTTGGGTCAAGCCCAAGAAGGGCGAATACGACCCCAACCTTCCCCTCGCTGCGCAACAACCAGAGGGTGAGGCCGAGGCGTTTGAAGACGAGGGTGACGAGGACGAGGAAGCCTTCGACGTTGACGGAGATGAGGACATGGATGCCATTGTTGACCGCGAGGGCTCAGTCGAAGTTGGCGAAGGCATGGATGTCGCTGACGACTCGGAAGATGACAGCGAGGAATCTGATGAGGCTGATGAAGGTGAAGAGTTTGACGGCCTCGACTCTGACGCTGAATCAGACATTTCAGAAGGAGAAGCTGCTCGTCTCCAGCATCAGCGTGAACTGGAAGCCGAAGCCCTTGGCAAGAAGCTCGAGGTCAAGAAGCCGACGAGGAAAGAGGAGAACGCCGCCATCCGCAAGAAGGCCGAGAAGAAGAAGCGCGCGGAAGAGGAGGAGCGTGAGAGGCAGAAGATGATGTTGTCCAACAAGAAGCGCAAGCTCCTCAAGCGTATCGAATACGGTGAAGACAAGCGTGCTAATGAATCCGAGAGCTTGCGCAGGAAGCGCGCAAAGGTCGAGAAGGCCAAGGCTGCTGCTGAGGCCATATAGGCCTGAGTGACATGTATGCGATGCATCAAAAGCTTGGGCCGGCGTTCATTTGGGCAGGAGTTTTGGGCGCTTAACGATAACTCTATATGTTGCATGTAGTAAAATGCGATACCTATACTGGCTCCAAGTCATGGCCGTAGCTGTCTGTATACACATCCCGACCAAGTATGCTGTGATTGGTGATGAGCATACGCACAGACGGGGGCTGTCAGACGGGTGGCGCAGCCATCTTTGATCAAGAGACTCATCAATATTCGATGACTCAAGCAGAGGTATAACAACGACGCTTCTGCACCTACTGTGATCGATGCTCACATTTTAATTGCAGTAACACTTATATATCACCAACATCTCAACCAACACCATGTAGTCTTACTTTGCTTGCAAACTCTGCACCATAATGGTTGAGCAACGCTATTGTCAAAACTCAACCACAGTTGACCGTGGAACGTCCTATCTAGTTGGCATACATACCATGGTATAAGCCCATCTTCAAACCTGCGCGTCAGGTCAAACTCAAAATGTATGTCTTGTCCACAGCAGTCTTCTCTGTCTACCCTCCTCAGAAAACGCCATCAAAGGGTCCAACAACGTCGCTAGACACAAAGAGCTAAAACGAGAAGATGAACCCATAACGAGAGACCCGCATACATATATTAGTACCCGATCCACCATCGTCGCCGCTACCTAAAAGCGCAAAGTGCCGAGCCGCTGCCGAATAGCACCACTTCGGACGGAAAAATTGTTCTTGTCCAGATTTTTACTTTCTTCCAAGTACCAATAGCAATAGTTTTTGTCAAAGGTATAGAATTCCTTGAAGCATGGCAGAAGCAAAGCTGACATGGTATGAGCGTTCCTGGTCATTGCTTTCACCTGGGGCAACAGGCTATGCTGTCACGTGATCTCGCGTTCACTCGGACAATCACTATTGTATCTTCAAGCCAACAGGCTCGGCTGTGGTCACCCAACTTCTGCTTGAAGATTGGTTCGTTGGTGGTATCACGACCTAGTCCGCGTCTCGCATCTACATCTCACTCTGCCGGACTCGATACCAGGAATCTGAAGTCAGCAACGCGACTATCGGCCCATCCTATCGAGCATTTGAAAATCCAGGTATCCGCCTGCAACGCTTCAAACTTCACACAAAACGACCAGATATGGCCTCCAGCATGCCCTTGGCAACTCCTCTCTTCCCCAACCTCCCACCTGAGCTCCGCAACGAGATCTACTCCTACCTTTCTATCCCCCCTCCCAACTCAACATCTCTAAACTCACACCTCCCTCTGGGCCTGAAAACCTTCACCTGCAAACATACCACCATCAACCTCATTCCCACACACCATGGCTCAACCTCCCTGCTCTCACTCCCACGGGCCACTTTCCCCGAAAGTCTAGAATACTCCTCGCATCTCCTCAGCAACGCGATTACCCTTCAAATTGGAGTACATTTCCACGGACGCGTCAACAACTTTGTGCAGGTGGATTGGAACAAGAAAATCTCAACGCATCTGAACAAAATGGCCAAATCTTTCCCATGGTTGAAAAAGGTGGCAAAGTACGATATCCAGATACTATGGGAACCAGTTGACGGGGCGCTCAAGAGTAAAAAAGGAAAGAGGGTCGCGGGTCAGATACCGCTTGATATGGTGGTGTGTCTGACACAACTCATGGATGCCGAGGTGAAGAGGAAACGGGGGAATGTGAGCGTGGGTCTATGCTTGGCACATTCGTTCGCAATCCAAAATGCGCTTGCTGAGCATAAGTTTGGATTGAACACGTTTCTCTTCAACAACGGCAGCGGGGATCCTGAGTTCAAGAAATTCGTGAGGGAAGTAAGGATGACGGCACATGAGTATCATCTGCCAACGCATCCTCACCCAAGGTTTCTTGCTGTTCCTTCCCCTGGGGAGTCGAAGGAGAAGGCATTAATCAGGGTGCAAGATGGCGTGGTCAGTTGGAGTGAGTGGACCAAGGGGCTGCTGGTTATGAGCAGGACGCTGGATGCGGAGGCGCCTAGAGGGAGTGTGCTTACGCAAGGGAAGGGCGAGGCGGAATTCCCAATGTGCCATCTCATGGCGGAGTGTGTGATGAGGTAATGGAGACTACACTGCATCGTTGATGTCTGAACGAAAGATCATTGCTCACTGTGATGGCTACCAATGGTTGTGCTGTAGTGGCCAGTGGCGATCGACTCTGTTTCTTGTATATATAGTCAGAGGTTCTGAACCTACATAATTTCTCCCATCCTGCGGCCAATGATTGCAAACACGACCCTATAATGAGTGTAATGATAGTTAAAAGGTTGTGTCCGCCTCACGTCTATCTACATTTTGTTCGCTTCGTCCTCCAGGTTCCTTGTGTTCCCTCTCCTCCATCCGGTATCTCTTTTCCACCTCCATCTTCTACTCTCCTTCTTCCCAGCGGGTCTCCATCCGATTTCAATGCTGCCCCTACCATCGTGTCTACTACATCCACCTCTCTACGCCCAAGCCCCCACCAAACTCATGAGGAAGGCTCCCAAGAACACAAGCAAACACGCATACACCCTGCGCTTTCCCCTGAGCACCTTCCAACTCTCGTCGCTCAAGAAATCCTCCGACATGAGTTCCACAAGACTTGCGTAGACGAGGAAACCCGCGGAAATAGCATTCATGATGCCGACGACGAGAAGACCAACTTCAGAGTCGGGAGAGTACAGGGTGTGAGTTGCTATACCGATTGCCATGCCGCCTGGTGTAGTGCAACCGTATGCGAGAGCCATGAGCCAGGGCTGTGCAGCGCGGGGCTTCCAGTTGATGTCTGCGATACGTACACCGAGAGCGAGGCCTTCAAAAGTTTGATGGAAGACAATGGCAATGAGCAATACGGTGAAGTCGTTACCAACGGAAACGGCAAGTGACATTCCGATGAAGATGCTGTGGAACAGGATACCCATTTCCAAGAGAAAAACTTGCATAATAGCTTTCTTATGGATTTGCTCGGGTGTGAGCACATGGTTGTGCTCTCCAGTTTCTTGGTCCTGTTCGATAGCATACTCATCACTGTCTTCCTTGCTATGAGCACCTGGAATTTCCGCTGCAGACCCACCAACAGATTCAATCGCGTCAAGTCTTTGGCCGTCTTCGCGGTAGCGGGAGAGTGTCCTACTGATGCTCCCAACTCTTCCACGCAAGACGCCTAGATCGCGGACTCGCATGCTAGATTCGGAGTACGTCCTCTGCATTGCTGGTTGTGGTGGAGCCGGCGATTCGGTAGTCTCGTGCTTTGGCTCTTCTTTTCGGCGAGACACAGCCTCCGCGCCCTCGTTACCACCGCAGACATGCTGGGCCGGAGAAAAAATCATTTCAATTAATGTGACGAAAAACACACTAGCTAGCATGATAGCGCCTGGCATAGCCTGGTAGTCAGTGGTCCAGAAACTTGACAGACATGGATCGTTCAGTGAGCCAAAAGCGGTGGGGAGTAGATGGACAAATGCGGTCGCGACTAAGACACCAGTACCGAAATGCTTTGCGCCGAAAAGGAAGGCAGGTGGAATGCGCAGCCGGGGGAATTTGAGTACGAGCATTGGGAAGGCACATCCAGTGCCGGATACGAAGAGAATAATGAAGAGACCAGCGACATGCAGGCCCAGATCGTAGTTGGGCTGCGCTTTGCCATCTTCGCAGGTACTTCGCCTTGGGAGACGTTGAAATGATTGATCTGGAATCCGTTATTAGTAGTGACGCTTTGACGCAAAACGAGTTGTTCCGTCATACCTTTGGGCAAGAAAAGTCTGGGAGCGGACAGGTTGCCGCTAGCCCAGGATATCAAAATTGAAGTACACAGTACTGATACTAGCCACTTTGACCAGCTGACGATAGTGGCGGTGAGGCCACCTTGGTACTCGCTCACATGTCTGGTTGTTCGGGTGCAAGGTCCTTTAGACGAGTCAGCATCGCAACCTTCATTTCCGAGTTATCGGAAAACTGCAACATACCGTTTAGGGACCCTTTGACACCCTCGCCCGTAGTGTTCGGCGGTCTCTTCTCCATCTCTTGAGCATTGGAATCATCGATTCCACAGCGCCGGAGACTCTGTGTGCCGCTGCGCAACCGGTCTGCTTCTCCTAATTCCCTTGCATTCGCGATGCCGTTTAGGTCCTCACAAGTCGTCAGATCAGCAGCGAAGCGTGGCGGACTCTGATTCCATTCCGGATGCCAAAGGATGTCTTCATCGGTTTTGGAAGGGCAGTTCATTTTGGGACCTCGGTAGCCAAGCCCTCCTTTCTAGATAGGGAGACGATGGAAGGTGCGTTTTGTAGTAGTGACAGTAATCTAGTCGGTAGAGCGCGAGCGATGGGTTGATACGTTTGGAGGATGACGTGGAGATCGATCAATAACGGTGGAAATAGTCGGGAGATATGACATCTGACGGAACTAGTAGTGGTCACTATGGTCGGTTAGCGGCTCTTCCGTGAGTGTCATTGCCCAATCACATGCTGGGGCCAAGTGCCAAGACTTTCCGATCCCCAGTTCCGCCACGCGTAGACGGCCGAACGGGTGCTGGATCTTTTGATGGGTCTGTAATACAGCCGCCATTACTCTAGTCAAACTCCGTGTCTCAAAATTGTACAAAAAGCCATACTCCCTCTCATCACCATCTCAATTACTGGAATCGGATGTTCGGCTTGCCCAGCACGTAACGATGCGCGGCCGGTGGAGACTCTCAAGAAGATCGAACCCGATGTCTCCCGTAGAGCCATGAGCACCAAGACGTGCAAACTTTACCGATGCGGAAATTTCTGGGGTAATGGCACCAATAGCTAGTCTGGACCATGTGGTACTCCGACTGCTGACTACAACATGCGATTCTGGGCATCGATTGACTCAGACCTATTGATGAGCGCCACGAGTCAGCAGCATCTTAGAATAGACGCTATTATGTGACGAGTAGTTCTGAAAAAGAACATTTTCTTTAGCTGGCATGTGAGCACGCGACCTGCAGGACAGCCACGATTGTTTTAACGTTGCATTAGTTGCTCCAATGGACATGTGACGGGTAGCCCACACGGTCGCTTCCGAACATTTCTTAGCGCATGTTGAAGCGCGTTCTCGTATCATTGGTGTCTATGGGTATCACTTTTCACTGCGCCTTGGCCGTTTCCAATACTTCAAGCGCACCGCCAACCAGGTGCAAGCTTCCAGTTACCAACACCATAACTTCAGCATCGGCCCCCGCCTGCTTGGCATAGTCTTGCGCCACCTTTCGTGCGGTTCCGACTGCCTCTTCGATTGTGCGTAGCACATGCACTTCTGCAGTGCTGTCAATATCAGACCACGTATTCGCGAGCGCCTTCTGCACTGCCAATGTATCTACATCCTGCTGGTTGGTGTTCATCGACACGAGATCAGGCTTGTACCCTTCGCTGAAGGTTTGATTGGTCGTAAAGATGACGTGTGTGAAAGGAGACTGCGATCCAGACGTGATACCGCTCTGCAGAGCTGTGTATAGAGCTTTGGCAAGTGCATTTGCGTCTCGGGTTTGTTGGTTGAAGATCAAGATTCGAGGAACCTTGGATTGCGAGGTAGCGGTGGATGTAGCCATTTTGATCTGCTCCGCGAACCACTTTCCAGTAACCTCGATGCTTTCCATTGTGTGCCCTCCGTCGATGTGCCATGCAACGTTGGTCTCGCGTCTTATCTCGCATCTGCCAGCCCATCGCACTTGCTCTAGGCCACGAATGAATTCGGAAGGGAGTTCGATATGGGGAACGACGGTGGGGTCAGGCACCGAAGTGTGGCCCAGTGCTCGCAGGTGTGCAGCAGCAGCAGCTATTGCCACGGACGCATTTATTTTCTGGAACGCTGCACCTAGCCCAAGCTTGATCTCGTTGTTGGCTAGAGCCGGATGTATATCGATGGTGTGTAGCTTCGTGCCCTTCTCTGCCGCCCGTTCTTCCAGAACGGTCATGGCTTCGTCCTTTTGACGCGCCGTAAATGCGACACTGCCTTCCTTGAAAATTCCTGCCTTATGCCAGGCTATCTCTGGTAGTGTAGAACCGAGCATCGCGGTATGATCTATCCCTAGACTCGTGACGGCTGTGACAGTGGGTTTTGTCAAGATGTTGGTGCTGTCAAATTCGCCGCCAATGCCACACTCAATAACAGCCGAGTCCACACCCTCCTTCAGATACGCATGTAGCGCCATAAGGGTCAGATAGCGGAAGTATACTGGCTTTGTGGGCACGTCTGCGGGCGCATTTTCGGTCTTCGCTGCTGCCTCCAGCTTGTCCCATACCTCGAAGAAGTATTTAGCGAACTTCTCCTCTGATATTGGCTCATTGTCGATTTGTATGCGTTCACGTACGAATCGCAGATGTGGGGAAGTGTAGAGGCCGATCTTCGAGGGTGGAGTCTGCGCATCGCGGGAGGTTGCGTATTGCGACAAGATAGATGAGATGAAGGCACTAGTCGAGCCCTTTCCCTTTGTTCCGGCGATGTGTATAGGCCTCAGCCTGTCAAATTCTAAGGGCTGAATATGTCGTCAGTCACCATCCTCAGGTGGGGTTCTCGGGAGCCGCACACCTCATATCCAGCTTTGCGACACCATTCAATCATCTCCGGTATCGCCTGCTTGTTCATACCGCGACCGGATTTGCGGATCGCATCGACTATGGAGAAGTTGGACTGAAGCGTGTTCAGCGCCGCAACCGCAGCCTGCGATGGTCAGCCCAATCCATGCGCACATTGCTAGAAACATACCGCATAGTCGCGCTTCTCCATCGTGGCGGCTGTGTGATAAAGGCGGGCAATTGGTCTAGCGCGCAAGCAGCACGTGCGTGTCCGGGCTATGAACATGAGGGCATCGTGATGGATGCTTGAGAGACTGTCTACGACTTTTGTTAGTGAAAGAGAGCCCGCCGCCGATAGCCGATGACGCATCAGCTCGGACCCTCGTTCTCGCATGCCTCAAATGGACCTCCGATCCACCTCACCTCTCGCTTCACTTCGAACCGATGCATCTTGTTTTGCTCTTCGCAAGCAAATATGTTGACCTACTCAAGAGACCACTGAATTAGTGTCTACCAACGCTACTTATACAACTAATTTTACATACAATTACAGGTTCATCGTGTTGTACGCCGCACCCTCATCCCAGAGCGAATAGTACGAGCCGAACAAGTCCAGCGACTCGCCGTCGAGCATTGTCCCCCCGTCATTCCGGAGATTCCATCCTAGAGGGAACGGCTGCAAATCCGCGTATGAAGGAAAAGCTGATGACACCTCAGCGACTGTTGTTTCCTGCAGCCCCTCAATCGGGGCCACACCTCCGGCATACATGGGAGACGATTTCGGGCGGCTGTTCTTCTCAGAGTCGTTCTGCGCCCGCACATAAGATCGCGCTATCTGTGTGAACTCTGATGCGATGGATCCTGGGAGTGTTCCCTGCGAAGCGTACTCCAAGCCACTGAAATGACCACAGCCAACATCAAGCAATGCCAAATTGGCTGTGGTTTTTGAATGAGTCGGATTGTCTATGACCATGTCGAAAAGAACAAGATAAGCGGCCAACGGAACGCTGGCAAGGACCCTGCAGATCATCAATGACTGTCACACGAGCAAAATTATTTAAACTCACCAAATGGGTGTGTAAGGCTGCACGTCGATAAACTTTGTGAGCTCGAGTACTGTCCGTGCTGTACGCATAATGCCGTGCACTAAATCACACCGAGCGTCAGACTCATCCTCCATTTGGAGAGCAGTACGATCAAGATGCAACATCGTGCCATGATACAGATAGTGGAGCCGTATACTAATATCAATCATTTGCGTGGTTTGGGTATACGGCCGTATGGGTTGCCCCGGCCGAAGCTCCACGGGGATCGTCTTTGCCCATGCTCCCAGTTCGGACTTGAGGTTGTGGATGGTCGTATTGTAGTAGGCTTTCGGTCTACCTCGTACACTGACAGAGAACAGAGATGCGTATATGCGACTAAGGAGTCGTGATATCCGAATTGACGCACGGGTCCAATCAAACGACGTGCCGCTGCACGATAGCGGCTGAGTCGGGATAGCACTGCTGATATCCGAATCCATGATGGCAGAGCATCTGCCGATATTGAACGACATGTTTTTTTCAAGAAAATAGAGAACATAGAATGTGCGGTTCCGTTCATCGTTACCCGGAGCCGTCGATCTATTGTACCCCAGTGTTTGTGCCTTCTTGGCCCCTTCTGATACCATGGCGTATTCAATTTGCAGACAGGAAAGATTCGAGGCAAAAATTGCCATGGCTGTCAGTGCTTGAACCGTGTTCAATGTGGTCCTGCTAATCAATAGATCTGGGAAGATGGCTAGAGCCGTGCCGAAGAATCGCCAGCTTCCACTCTTTGTAGGCTCATAGCTACCTCCATCGAGGTACTGCGAGCCCAGGGCGAGAATAGCGTAAAACAGTGCGGACCACGACTTTTCGCTGGCGAGTTTGTCGCTCAGATTCGGACTGAGAGCGATGCTTTCGAATCGCCGCCTGTCGAGAAATGGATGAATTGGGTCAACATGCTCAAAATAGGCTATACAGTCAACCACGGACGTAAACACCAGACATTTACGAACTTACCTTGAATGCAATTCGCGATGTATTCTTCTTCGATATCAAATACACGGATACGATCGGAGTCTGGCGCAGGAGCAGGTACTCGCTCGATAGTTTTCATTCGCTCTCCAATGATATTGGTCACCTTTGCCCCAGCATGTGATACGCGGTCATGACCAAGACGGATGGCCAGCTCCTTCAGTCGAGCCTCGGGGAAGAACGTCAGACTGTACTCGCTTCCTGTTTGGAATTTGGTAAGCTGACAGCGAAGAAACAAGAACTGGTTTATGATCTCAACTTACCGAAAACACCGAGATCTTGCAGGCTCGGACTCTGCGCACTGAGCGCATTGTCTTGATCGGGAGTAGATAGAAGCCTGTCTACGTACAACTCTTGGAGTCCGTCATACTTTGACATGCTTCCGAACGAGCTATGATCATCGTGGTGAATCTCCGACTCGTCCCTAAGTTCGGAGTCCACATTCTTTGCGGAGCCTATGACGGATTCTTGCTGCGAGCTTGATGCATATCGTCTCTTCCGTATGCGGACAGGACTGAAGTTACAGACCTCGTTTCTTCGAGCGCAGTTGAGACACTTCGTAGCACCTGGATGTCCTATTCAATTATCAGTGTTACACTTCTGAGGATGAAAGGGTGGTTCAGTAATCAGCGACCTACCGATACCACCACAACGAACTTTGCGAGTTTTGCATGGATCGCATGTTTTCATCAGTTTACCGCCGAAATCCATAATTCTCGAAGAAAGGCTTTGAACATGCAGGAAGACTTCGGGTGCGTAAAAGAACGAGGAATGGCGTCTTCATAAAGCTCGGAGCCGAGGAGGTGCATTGATAGCGTTCGGATAGACCCGCTTTAGCCTTACGCGGCTACCGAGATGCGAGCTTCCTTCCGAAAACATGGAAACAAGTTCAGAGTTGACCTTCTCTCGTCATTACCGATGAGCAACGGCAGCAATGGATGCCATGAGTAAGAGTTTGATATATAGATTTGGTCGTTCGACCAGATCGAGCATCCTGCCATTGCTGTACCATCACCCTGGAACTGACCATGTCACCCAATACTTCTGATGATACGGATGACGAAAAAATCATTTCTTCTGCCCCTCAGAATGATCAAAACGAAGAATCCCCTTCACCTGCTGCAGTCGCGCGCCTTGTTCGACGCGTCTCGGCTGCACATGACCCAGACCGGAAAATCGACCCTTTTGACGTCGATGACCCAAATTGGACTCTGGAAAGGACGCTTGCGATTGCTATTGATCGAGGAGCACGGGATGGTGCAGGGCCTCTGTCACCACATGTGACGCTTGCGTGGAAGGATGTCTCCGTATATGGCGACGATGTCGGCAAGGCTACACAGCAAGACGCGCTGTCCCTCTTCACCAATCTCATTCCTGCGATCCGCAAGTCATTGAAGAAGCCGCAAGAGAGAAGGATCCTCCATGATATTGACGGAATACTCGCTCCTGGCGAGATGATGTTGGTCCTTGGGCCTCCATCCAGTGGTTGCACGACGTTGTTGAGAATGCTCTCTGGACAGATCGAAGGCTACCGGAAATGGTCTGGATCTATCAGCTACAGCGGTATCAATCTTGAGACCATGCGAAAGCGATTCGCAGGTATGCTGACCTTCAACGACGCTATCGACCACCACTTCCCCTACCTTACGGTTTCTCAAACTTTGGAGTTTGCAGCCAGTACCAAGACACCCCGGATGCGTATAGACGGTGTCTCACGAAAGCAGTACATCGAAGGCGTCAAAAACATCCTCATGGCAATCTTCGGTTTAAGACACACAGCCCAGACCCGCGTGGGGAATGACTTCGTACGAGGTGTATCTGGAGGCGAGAGGCGTCGAGTTTCAATCGCTGAGATGGTAGGTCTTGTTGGAATAGACATCGTAATGCTTACGATGCTGACTGTGAATTAGCTTCTTACTCGAGCTTGCGTGACCTGCTGGGACAATCCAACAAAAGGTCTCGATAGCTCAACGTCTTTAGACTTCGCCAGAGCGCTGCGTGTTGCCACCGACCTCACCAACAACGTATCCATCTCTGCTTTGTACCAGCCAGGCGATTCACTGGCTGGCACCTACGACAAAGTGCTGCTTCTCCATGAGGGTCGCCAGATCTACTTCGGAGATGTGCACGCAGCGAAAGGTTTCTTCGAAGCCATGGGCTTCGTCTGCCCCTCTCGTCAGACTGTCGCAGAATTCCTGGTCTCCATAACTGATCCGAGCGCACGAGTAGTGCGTATAGGATATGAGAACCAAGTTCCGCGTACTGCACAAGAGTTTGAGGATCGATGGAGAGCCAGTGCTGATTACCGCAACTTGAGGCTGGCGATCGAAAGACACCTCAACACGGTCGACTCTATGCAGAGTCAGGAACTGAACCGATTCAAGAGCGTGCGTTCTGCTGAAAGAGCCCCCGCTACTCGCGTATACTCGCCCTATACTCTGAACCTTGGCATGCAGTTCATCACGACTTTCAAACGAGCCGTTCAACGGATCCATGGAGAGTATGCCTACTTTACGGCTATCACCGCGACGATGCTCATCATCCCGTTGATCATGGGGTCGATGTTCTATCAGATTGATCCTGGAACAAGCGGATTCTTTTCCAAAGGCGGTATCATCTTCTTCATTGTCCTCTTCAACATCATCATCAATTTTGCTGAAATTGTTGCGCAATTTTCGCAGAGACCGATTGTTGAGAAACATCATGCCTACAGCATGTATCACCCGTACATCGATGCCCTGGCTACAATGATATCGCAATACCCAGTTAAGATCATCAACATCATGCTGTTCACGGTCATTGTTTACTTCATGGCTGATCTAAAGAAGGAAGCCGGTCCATTCTTCCTCTTCGTTGTCTTTACCTACCTTACTACGGTAACCATGACTGCCTGGTTTCGCATTATCGCAGCATTCACTTCGACTGTGGACATAGCGTTAGCTGTAGCTGGACTATCCATTCTCCCGCTGGCCATGTACGGAGGATACATCATCCCCCGTCCTTCGATGCGTCCTTGGTTCAAATGGATCTCCTACATCAATCCTATCTACTATACCATCGAAGCCCTCATGGCCATCGAGTTTCATGGACGGCAGGCACCTTGCCAGCAGCTCATCCCGTCTGGTCCTGGATATGAGAATGTAGACATACAGAACCAAGTCTGCGCCGTTATCGGAGCTAGACCAGGTGTCCCGTATGTAGTCGGAGACGAGTATATCGCTTTGTCGCATGGCTACTCATATGACCACGTGTGGCGCAACCTTGGCATATCGATCGCTTTTTTCCTGGCATTTACCATTATTCATGCCGCGACGACCGAGTTCATGAAGTCGTCTAACGGTACTTCCCAGATGGTTTTTCGGAAGAATTCGCCTTGGGAAACAGCAAAGCCTCATGACACGGAAAGCGGTGCAGCTGGTACATTTGACACTGATGAGAAGGTTGCGACTGGTGGGAGCACGCCAGGTATCGAAAGCGGCAAAGATGTCTTCTCTTGGAAACACCTCAACTACGACATCGACATTAAAGGAACTACACGTCGATTGCTGTCCGATGTCGAAGGCTTTGTTGAGCCTGGTACACTGACGGCACTTATGGGCGCTTCTGGAGCGGGCAAGACCACCCTACTTAATGTACTCGCACAGCGTGTTAGTGGAGTGGGTATCGTAAGTGGTGATCCAACGATCAACGGCGTTGGCTTGGATGCCTCGTTCCAGCAGCGCACTGGCTATGTACAGCAGCAAGATATCCATATGGCTGAGATGACAGTCCGCGAGGCTTTCCGTTTCTCTGCGTCTCTTCGTCAACCACAAGAAGTATCTTTGGAAGAGAAGTATGCCTACATTGAGAAAATCATCTCAATTCTTGGTCTGGAAGACTTCGCAGAAGCCGTGATTGGCATTCCAGGAAAAGGACTTAGCGCAGAGAAGCGAAAACGTACTACGATAGGGCTTGAACTTGTCGCACGGCCGTCGTTGCTCATCTTTGTTGATGAGCCGACATCTGGCCTTGATTCTCAGTCAGCGTGGTCCATCGTCCAACTGCTCCGAGATCTTGCCAATGCAGGCCAGGCAATCCTATGTACCATTCATCAGCCTTCTGCTACTCTTATCGAACAATTCGACCGACTGCTATTGTTAGCACGAGGTGGAAAGACCGTCTACTTTGGAGATCTGGGCAGAGACTCACAAACGGTTCTCGATTACTTTGTTGGCTACGGTGCACCCAGGTGCCCAGAAGGCGCGAACCCAGCCGAGTACATTCTCGAACAAATTGGAGCAGGCGCCACGGGACAAGCAACACTCGATTGGCCTTCAGTATGGCAGTCATCTATGGAGCGCAGAGCTGTTACTGAACGCATTGAGCACTTTGAGTCATTAGGCCGCTCCAATCCTGCCCAGAATTCCAGCGCTCCGATGCGCAAGTTTGCGACAAGCTGGTGGCAACAATACCTCCTTGTACAGAAGCGACTTTTCGTGCAGCAATGGCGCTCGCCGGGCTACATCAACAGCAAGATTGCTATCAACGTCATCGGTGGGCTGTTCATGGGTTTTACTTTCTACAAAGAACAAAACTCTGTGCAAGGCCTACAGAACAAAGTGTTCTCAGTCTTCATGATCCTCCTTCTCTGTCTTATCTTGATGGTTCTTGTCCAGCCTCGGCTCATCGAACTCCGTAAGATATACGATGTGCGCGAAAAGCACTCGAACATGTACCACTGGAGCGTCTTCGTAGTGGCAAACGTGCTCGTGGAGATACCTTTTAATTTTGTCATTTCAAGCATGTGCTTTCTCTGCTGGTACTTCCCCGTGGGCTGGTGGCGCGACATATCTGACGGGCGAGGCGCATTCATGTACCTCGTGTTCAGCGTCTACCAAATCTATCACGCAACCTTTTCGCAGGCGCTTGCCGTCGTCACACCCAATGCCGAAACAGCCGCTATGTTGACCATTCTCTTCTATACGTTCATTCTCGCTTTCAGTGGAGTACTCCAACCGCTTTCGCAACTCGTCGGGTTTTGGCATTTCGCCTACTACGTCAGTCCTTTTACATGGCTCGTCTCAGTCATGATGTCTACCGGTGTGCACGATGTTCCGGTTCAATGCACGGTAGCCGAGACCAACGTCTTCCAGCCTCCTCAGGGGCAGACGTGCGGCGAGTACGCGGGCGCGTTTGCGAATGCGAGCATGGCGACATTGTACAACCCGGATGCGAATCAAGACTGCCAGTTCTGCCAATTCGCAGTCGCGGATGTATACCTTGGTGCTTTGAACATGTCATACGACGACCGCTGGAGGAACTTTGGCTTCCTGATTGTTTACACCGCGTTCAATGTGGCTGTGTTCACACTTGGCTTTTATTTGTATTCTGGTCCCGGATTGGGCAGTACGCTGAAACGCGTCTTCAAGGCTAAGAAGGCCTGATTGTGGTATCGTTGTTCATCGTACTTGGTGGGTGAATGTAACTTATAGATTTCGAGCGATCGTGTTGTAATACAAAGCTATTGTTTATTTTCGAAGTTGTTTTCTGAGCGCGTGCTGCATGAGGTGAGGGTGATTGACGGTAAGGTTGAGACACAATAACAGACAGGGTTTGGCGGGTCAATTGCGGGGCGCCGAAAGTAGCCTAGCGCATGTGGTCGTAGCTCTCTCACTCGATTGATCCTCGATGGACAATCCGACCGCAGCCATTGTTTCGACCGCAGCCAGCGCCTTTATCAACCACCGCGCGCCCCTTTTCTTCTTCTCTTCCCCCCCATTGTCGCACGACGCACGAAACCACATTGATTGATATCTTGACACTCGTCGCGCAACCGGACACATTACAGTTTCGTTGATTACGCGCCCCTTGTCGCGTCGAGCTTGCCACCAGTACTCACCCCTGCCATCACAACCACACGCGCAATCATGTCGGACTACTCAAAGATGAAGAACGACGAGCTGTCGGCGCTTCTCAAAGAGCGCAAGCTACCCCACACTGGCAAGAAGGCAGAGATGGTCGAGCGTCTACAGAAGAACGACGCGGAGAAGGCCGGCGCGAAGCCTGCTGCTGGTGCTGAAGACGAGATTGACTGGGACGACGAAGCCGATGATGCCGCTGCTGCGCCAGCTGCCACCACCACCACGGCGACAGCAGAGGCCGTCATTCCTAACGCAGAGACTGTCGCAAACGCCGGAGGTCAAGGCCAGCCGCCGAACCCACAAGCCGTACCTAACCAAGTCGCCGATATCGACCCTGCGCAAACCGACGATCTGACCACCGAGCCACCCGCCGAAGGCGCCGCCGCTGCCACCCAAGAGCCCAAGCCAGAAGAGAAGAAGGAGCCCACTCCCGATTACTCAAGAGGCCTCGCCGCCACCAACCTCGACGAAGAGATCGAGAAGCGCAAGAAGCGTGCGCTGAAGTTTGGTACAAAGCTCGAGGACGACGAGGGCCTCAAGAAGCTGGAGCGTGCTAAGAAGTTTGGAGAGGTCGCGGCTCCCCTTGGCCTTGACCAGGCTCTCCCAGAGCGCCGCGAGAAGCGCCGACGAGAGGGTGCCGGTGAAGATGCTGCTAGCAACAAGCGCCGCGAAGGAGGCCGTGAGGGAGGACGCGAGGGAGGTCGCTCGGGTGGTCGTGGAGGACGTCGCGACAACAGGCCTCGCAGCAGGGACAACCGTCCTCGCGAGAACAAGACAGGTGGTGGTGGCGCCGGCGGCAGCTGGATGAGCGAAAAGGACAGGGCGGCCGCTGAGGCCAGGAAGGCCAAGTTTGCGAAGCCAACAGCTTGAGCATAGTAACGCGGTTTCGATGGTTTTCCCGGTTTGACCTATGAGCGGCCGACGAGCGAGCGACTTCGAAGACGGAACTTCGATCCCGCGACAGCACTCGGACATCGGTTGAAGAGCTTGGACAGCAACGGCGCACTCCTTGTATAACATATTTTTGCGGACTACATTTTACCCAATTTGCCGGACCATCTGCGATTGTCGCTTCTTCAGACACATCACGGATATATCAATTCAAAGCTCATTTCTCTACACGGACTCCTCATCGTCTCTTCACGGTTTATTCTTTGCATATCATCGCTCTCTGGGCTCACATAACGAAGCTCTCGCGTAGACATTCGTACCGAAAGCTCTGAAGCCGCCATCAAAATACGTCCATCCGCCCTGGCATCCGCGCCTTCTAACAATCCAGCCGCGTGAACAGTCGACGCGTTTTGGAAGCCAGGCATAGCTTATCATGCCTTCCGAAGATGCAACAAACTACTCGGACAAGTTGCGATTGCAAAGTCGGCGTTTGCAACATCATCAACGCTTGCAAGCTATAGTTGCCTTTCATCGACAACCCGCAATGCATCCTACACATTTCAAGTCTGCAAGTACCACTTATGCAGTCAACGTATGCTACTGCGATATCCATACAGTATTGACAGATCAACAAATCTATAGCAACTTCATGTTGCGTACAATACTCATCTCCAAGCACGCGTTCTCGTGTGCCACTTTCGTGATGCTAGTGCTGTCAAACGCCACAAAAGGTCGTTGCATATTCCCGACCTCGGTAGCTAAACGCGATCCCCGCACGTAAACTAACACAGCCAAAGGGGGAAAAGAACGCTTAGCAATCGTCACCGTTAAATGGTGCAGCCCACTAAGGGAGGTTGTAGGGATATTTAGACGGTGGCAGTCCCCGCGCGTAAATCCGCGTTCATGATCTGCATATGCTGTGTTGCCTTTTCGCGTTTCGTTGACTATGACTCTTTGTCCTTGATTTCCAGACTGAGACGACAAACTCGATAATCGGGCCGCCAGACTATTTGACCAACCTATTCAGGATCTTTAAGAGAAAAAAAAGTGCATGACTCGGCATTCGAAAATCGGAATCGGACAAGAGTCGGAGTAGTCCTACAACCGGTACCACTTGAACGTACATGGGAGGGGAAACACTCATAACAAGTGTTACACATCGGAATAGCCAGAACCAACGATAAAAGATCGCGCAAGGGGGCTCGGAAGAGGGATCAGAGACCGTCGAGAGTCTCACATGATGTCTCAATCAGATGTGGAGGAGAAACATGTCATCAAAGACAAAGCGGTCTCTCAAGAGGACATCAGCCGACCTTCATCTTCCATCCACGATGAACTCAATCAACAGAATGAAACAGTGCAGAACCATGAGTCAGTGGAGGACAAGGAAGCGCAAATAGATGCTCGATCAACAATGACCACAGAGTCCGCCATTCCTCCACCTCCAGATGGCGGGCTTCACGCTTGGCTGAAGGTCTTTGGAGGATTCATGATATATATCAACATCTGGTACGTAAAACTTCGCTCTGATCACGCTCGCCCCCTTAGTTGCATACAGCCATCACAGACAACCATAACACTAACAACCACACCAGGGGTTTCACCCTAACCTACGGCGCATTCCAAACCTACTACCGCACCACCCTCCTCCCATCCTCCTCACCCTCCGCGATATCCTGGATCGGTACCGTACAAGCTTGGCTCCTAATCGTCATCGGCGTCCTATCAGGCCCGCTCTTCGATCTCGGTTACTTCCGCAGTATGCTCTTAGTCGGCAACGTTTTAGTTGTGCTAGGTATTATGATGCTCAGCTTGAGTACAAAGTACTGGCAGGTTTTCTTAAGCCAGGGCCTTTGTATGGGATTGGGCGCGGGATTATTGTATATACCTAGTCTGGCTATGGTGGGGGTTTGGTTTAGTAAGAAGAGGGCGGTTGCGTTGGGAATCGTCATGAGTGGGATTGCCGTTGGTATGTATTCTTCCTGCTTGTTTCATCAATCCAGGCCTTTCCTTGTGCGGAGAGAAAAGATTGGAAGACCAGAAAAGGAAACCTAGATGCGACGGCGAGCTAACATATCAAATCAGGCGGTGTGATCTACATTATCATGTTTGATCACCTTGTTAGAACTGCCGGTTTCCCTTGGACTATTCGTGCCATAGGGTTCGTTGCCTTAGCCGCAGCTCTCCTTTCCATCCCCGCTCTCCTCTCCGGCTCCGCGTGGCTCAAACACAAACGCAAGCGTCGCGCTCTCTTCGACAAAACCGCACTCCACGACCGTCTTTTCCTTATCTTCACCGCATGCTCTTTCAGCACTTTTCTCGGGTATATTGTACCGTATTTTTACATTCCGACATATGCGCGCGAGCGGCTGGGTAGTAATGAAAGCACAGCGCTGTACATGCTAGTGCTGGCCATCGCAGGGAGTTTCTTCGGAAGACTAGTCAGTGGCGTGTTGGCGCATTTTCTCGGCGCGATTGTTACATGGGCGCTTTGTGCGTTTTCGAGTGGGGTATTAGCGTTGTGTTGGATTAGCATTGAGACGGAGAAGACGTTCATTGCTTTTAGTATACTATGGGGTATGTTCTTTTCGCTACTCGTTAACGACACTACTGACACACAGCATCATGGATCTTGGCTGACAGTGGCTCAGGCTTCTTCTCAGCGGCCCTCGTTACGGTGCCATCTGCTGCTTTTGCCAACATCACGCCGGATCTTTCGCGCTTGGGTACTAGGCTTGGTATGAGCTGGAGTGTGTCTAGCATTGCTTCGCTCATTGGTGCGCCGATCGCCGGGGCTTTGCTCAAGAAGACGAATGGGCGGACCAATTTCATTGGTGTGCAGGTGTGGAGTGGTGTGTGCCTGATGCTCGGGACCTGCTGGTTGGTGGTGCTCTGGATAGTCACTGTGAGGACGCAGAAGAAAGGCTGGAGAGTCTAGTAATGGTAGCAAATGAAGCTTCAGGATTGCGCTTTCAGCTTGCAAATGGGACACTGGAGTCCGATCTAGCTATCCAATGATCTTGGTATCTTGTGTCGTACTGCATCGGTCTGCTCAACGGGCCGTAGCGAGAGGATGTTGTGGCTTGCTTCCTGACTACTGTGTTCTAACCACGTGCTACACATGTTGTGGTGTCGTACCGATGACGGCCCGCAATCGGTCCTATATCCTGGCCCGGATTAACGACAAAATGAACGTCAACGATACGAGAACTTATTATTTGCCGGCGGCAGTAGACGCCCTTGAACAAGCTGGACGTTATGCTTTTCCCTGTCTGCAAGACCCACAGCGGAGATTTTAGATCGGCGGCTGAAGACGCAGCGAGCTCGTCGGCTTGGATTTCCACGCGGAAATGGGATAACCTTGATACACAACGAATCTGCGATACAACACCGTAATACAGCTCTGGATGAAGGAGTAGGTTCTAGTCATACGCTCGCTCAACGTGTGATCCGCCTGAAGATCAAGGTGTGCTTGGGGTTTGGCTAGAAAAATTGGATCACATTGACATACCCAACAGATCCTTCTGCACTGGAGGCCTTACAAAAGCAAAGAGTGTACGAGAATGGGAGGTTGAGATTGGAGGTGTTCAGCTGGCAATTGCAAATTCCTGCAAAAGTCACTCGATCACGGCTCCACCCACCGTCTAGCCGCTTTAGAATACTGCACTCTGTGGTGCGCTTCACTTGCTTGATCCACTCTACTGGTGAGATCCTCGTAGCAAATCTTCCACATCTTGCCATCGCTGACACTAGACAGCGTCGATTAGCGTTGTATACAAAACGTGTGGATCCTGGGACGCCGTGAAACGTGCGAACGTGCGATCCTGCCTCCCACCCTTGCTACTTAGCAACCATCATGCCATACCGCATAGCATTGGTGGAGATCGGGTCGCCGATCATGATCTAACGTTGCGCCTTGCGCTAATGGAAGGGCTGAGAATAAGAGATCTCGAAACGAACATGTCGATTTGAGCTAGTGAGTATCCTTGTCTCGCGTGGGGTCGTGGACGTCGCAGCATCGTTCCAATGGCTATAGCACCAACACATTACCATGTATATCACAAGAAAATGACGTGAATGTGTAACACTTTGACATAGTAAACCATTTTTCTACGCGATGCGATCAACATTGCGCCAACTGGCGTATTGTCGCAAGTGTCGAAATCATGAACAGGGTATAAGTCTTTTGCTGGGGTCATTATGGAGAATCCGTGAAAACACATGTGTCATGCTTGCTGATCCGCTATCTAATCTTCTAGCAATTTCACACCGCGATTTATACTTCAGGGGCTTGAAAGGTCTGTCCCAACGCTGCTGCTGACGATGACGATCTAGTCTTCAGCCTGCTTGGTGACAGATCCGATTAGGCCACCCGAAGACCCGGAGATCTGGTCACCAGGCCCACCTGCATGGCAGCGTGGTATCACATGGAAGCCAGCCCATCGATACGCGAAATCGCCATTGGCGCTTACGCTAGGAAAGGACTACATGTGCCATTTGGCCTGTGTATGGTCCTATAGTTGGATAGAGCCGCATACAAAGCGTGTTGATATGACCACTAAAGAGTTTGGCATAGTATGCCTGCTTATCTGCGGTTGCGGTCTGTAGGACCATTGTCCAGGTTCAAAGTTAATTGACTTATCAAATGGGGAAATATGCACGAGAATCTGAAACCAATTAGTTCAACGCCTCTCCGGCCGAACATCGTGCGGATAAAAGCCGTCTTTGTGTATAGAACGCTAAGCAATATTACCAGGATGAGATAGTGCTCCGTTACCATGCTCGCTTTAGTTTCTTAGTACATGGAACAAAAATGAACGGCTGATTGCACGCTCCCCAATAACGCACTCGCGTACAACAAATGTGTGAACTTGTTATATTCCTACGCATTATATGTCTTTTGTGCTGCCGAAAACATCTCCAGATGTCAAGCAATTTCCTAACGACATGATCATTCGCCAAATCGACTTCGAGTTCAATTCTGTAAAGAGTATCAGGGCTGTCATGTGTTAGAATTTGCTCTGTCATATGGACTCAGTCAAGCTTACTCTGTACGACCCATTGACCACCATGGGTTCGGCTCGCCCCACCACGGTAGTATCCGTATCCATACGTACATGTAAAATCATGCCCATGTGCTCTCGTCCGTTGAGTGTGTTTGCCGCGTGTTGCGCCAGGTCCTTCGACGCAAACTTGGCTGTTGCCACACCCTTGAAGACACCAGTCCTGCTGTCCTTCATAAGCTGTATATCAATGGCGTAACCGACCGTCTGCAACAATAGTGCATTGACATCATCTGATGTGCACTTGTAGCTCAAGTTACGAATGAAAATGCCGCGGGCTTCTGTCAAGACTGCTCCACCCTGGACATTCACTGGCATTCCATTCGTACTAGTCGAGTAGACTGGTGATGTCGGCAACGCATAAGCTGGGTAAACTGGGGCAGGGGCGTATGCTAGTTGCTGTGGGGAATAGGTATGCATTTGCGAGTGCATCGCATACGGGTACCTGGACTGTCCGGCCCCATACGGCATTGACACCGTAGTGGTACTCGCTCGGCCGCCACCTAGCTGATGCACTCTTCCGATATCGATGCCGCAACGCCCAGTCGAGTGGCCTCCTTCCGGTACTTCTGGAAACAATGTGGAGCAGTTGCAGCGCATCAACCGGTAACCGTCACCCTTACGGCTGGTTTCCCAAACATGCACCAGCATGCCTTTAGATCGGTAGTAGACTTCTACAAAGAAGGTTAGCGTATGTTCCCTGAGTCTCATCCCTCCAGCTACCTACTGTAGACTGCGTCGGCATCTTCCCTGTCCTTGAGTCGACACCAGCCCTGTATTTCGCCTCGTCGTTGACCCTGACTAGCGTATACATCAGCCCACCCGGGCTGCTCTTTGACCGCTTTGCGAAGATGATCCTTGAATTCTTGCCACCCAGTCAGGTAGGGAGCATAACGTGTAGTGCCAGATACGACAAGCAAGAAGTCTTCGTCGCCTTCTTTCCGGGATACTGTGTATGACATTATCGTATATGGAGACGGAAATTTGCGGATAATGTATCTTTGACACCAGCAAGTAGCCACAGTGTGAAGTTGTGAAGCTATGGCTGATCACAACTGATCGTGCAACGGATTGGAGCCAAAAGCTAGAGCAATGTCTGAGAGTAGTTGTGAATGTTGGAAGATAGAAGGAGAACGATTTGGAGGATCGTGATAGACATCATGTAGGACGAGATCTCTACTTCTACTTTTAAACCATGAGTACTACATACTCTATAGTGTCCGATATCGTAAGTGTAAGGATCCAGGTATCCTAGTCGGCAAACAACCAGATTGCGCATTTTGGCATGAAGCCATGTAGGAAGATTCCCGCTTCCCCGCGCCACGATCTGGAGCTGACAATGGATCCATAGTGTGGGCGCCCGAACTCCTGTGTGGCGGCTGTAATGCGGGATCTGACGCCGCTAACGGGACTGCCCTGCGCCACCGGCCCTTGGTCACAGCGTCATCAACTTTTTTTTTTGGAATTCGTAACCGTGCCTATCATATGCCCCGACTGTCTATTTACGCTCGTTGATCGTCGAGGCTGTTGCAAAGTAATTCCATCTGGCGTGGGGTAGCACGTGTTCACTGACTTCGAAGATCAAAAACGAACTAGTATCTCTGTATTTAGTATATGGGTCATATGCTTGACGTATTACTCTCACCAGAGTGTCTGACCTTAGAGATGATAGGCTTTGACGTGCATGTGCTGATGGAAGCGCTGCAGTGTGCCTCGGGTGCTGCCGTGGTTGCAGGTCCTGTCACTATACCCAGCCCTTGCTGCATTGTCTGTGATTCATCATCTGCACGTGAAGATGCAGGTTATATTATTCGGAACGACCCATTCAATTGCATGCTAGTTCTGTTCCGCGGGATAGAACACGGCGTTGACCGCAGAGTCATATCTGGTCAAGTCAGCACCATGCATTCGATGAGGCGCTAGCGTAAACGCAGAACTAGATACTGTTATCTTTACTACAAGTGTGGAATAGATGTTTCCATGTTCTTTAATAGGCTATGTACCCTTGATCAAGATGTTGTTGTGTACAGCAAGATCAACATGACGTCCAGATGATAAGCTTCTGATCGAAACCGCCGGAGATCAAATGCTCGACTTTGTTGTTGACGTCTGATTGATTAGAGCTGGGTCCTACCATTTGGCCTGACCAGAGGCATCGTAGCTTCGATCCAGGTTCATGTGCCTTCAACGATGAAATCAACTTTCCGCTCTTGGTCTCAATACCACGAACTACTCCATCGTCAGAGCTCACATATACTCCAGAGCCGTCAGGACGCCATACTAGGCGTGGCGTAGAGTAAGAAGTTTGTGGTGCTAGAGTGGAAACGTTGACTAGTATAGCTGATTCCTCTTTGTCTGCAACGAGCAATTCAGCCCTGGCTTGCGACGCTTGTGTCAAGGATCCATCCAGTCCTGAAGTAGTTTCTGTATCCGATACCGAAGATCGAGTAGGAGGAAGCAAAAGCTTTACTATCAATAGCTTCATATGCGGTGTACTAGAAGTTGCGATCGCGACAAGGTATGGATTCGTGGGGCAGACCTGCACATCGGATGGCGTAAATGCGACCCACGCATTGGAATGTGGAGCGAGATTTTGCTTGCCGATCAAGGTGAACGTTGGTGACTCTGGGCTCGGCACAGCGTAATAGTGTAGGAATGTAGAGTCTCTACAGGCGACAACCAGAACTGGCGTACTATCTCCCGGTAAGCTGACAAATACGGTCGATTCAGGGATGCTCGGTAATGTCAACGTAGCTATCGGATCTCCAAGGCGTGAGTATTCAATGCTGCTATCGATTTGGTATAGGACTACTTTAGCGTCCCATCCTGCACTAGCAACAAGCATGGATCTGCCTTCCGAAGCCCAAGTGGACAATTTGACTAAATACTTAGAGTGGTCTTTACGTTGCTCCAATACTTCGTTGGCCGCTGTATCAAACAGTGTCAACTTTCCAGACATTGAAGCAACGAGTAGACGCCTGGAATCCACTGGAACGACGTCTAGAGTTGGTGAGTCCTGGAAACTGGAAATAGTATGAACACAGTCAAGCGCATGTGAGCTCGGATCCAACAGGTGCAGTCGACGATCGGCCGTAGTGACGGCAACATATTGTTGGATCTCCGCCGTTGATGGTAGCATGAGATCGAGAACCGACACACTGAGTATGTTGGAACGATTCGGTAACGACTCCACCACTCTTGGCTCAACAGGCGCCTGGACGGTCCATCCTCGCTCACTATCGTCGACCCCAAGCTTCTCGAAGTTTAGGCTCAGATCGAATGTCTTCTTTTCTTGCAATATGGACTCTATTGTGATCGTACTACCAGAAGCTGAGCCCGTGTCAGAAGGTAGGTCAGCTTCTTGCATGAAGCTGTTCAAAGTCTGGCTTAACGTTAGTACCTTCCTACAGTCGAGGAAGGGATGACGTAACCTGCGTGTACCCGTTTGCTCTCAGGTACCGCGCAACGAGTTCGGCTGCAGACGGAAGCATATTTCAGACCGTCTCTCCTCTCGGTCGCTTTGTTACAACTGATGGCGGCTGATGGCAAGGCTGATTTGTCGCACGTAGATGTTGAAGGGTGTTGGTGGAGGAAGTGGCGATGGCCGAGCTAGCCCCGTCTTATCGATAGCGCGACCGCTAACCATCCAGCCCCCCACACGATCTTGCAGAAGTTTCAGTAAATCACAAAGCATAGTAATCATACATCAATAAATATACTTCTGCAATGGAGGCAAGTGCTATTGTGTGCGTGTGTGTGTTTTGATGATCAATCTAACATTAATAGGAGAGGAACTCGGTTCGCGAAAAACTAACGGAAGACTTGGTGGCGCTCCAGGACACTACAGTCGAAGAACCGTACAGCATAGTATGCCGTCTCAGGCTTGCAAAAGCATACCGGACGCTCGGATACCCAGACCTAGCCGTAGGAGATGCTTATAAGGCCTTGATTTTGGTAGATGAAGTAGTCGAAGAAGGCGAATACCATGAAGAGGCTTTGCAGGCAGCTTGGACGGATGTCGTCTCTGAGCGCATGGCAGACCTGGACTTAGACGATGAGACGAAAACTGCCCCGTTCAAGAAGGATGATGTGTTGGCATGGGCGCAAGCACGATGGTCTAAGAGCGCGTATGTAAGCAGTTGTCGGGTGAGAGCACCTTTTGATTGGGATGCTAACTGATCCAGTCATGATATACTGATTGGGTGCTTGTTGGATTGTGGGTGTCTCCGCAGTGCATCTGAGTATATATTTCGCGCGAGAAAGGCTTTTCCGGAAGAACTGATATTCGAAGATCACGAGAAGACTTTGTGGAAACACTTACGGTCTTACTTTGAACGTGAAGGAGAGTCTGCTGAGGATGTGGATGTAGAAGAGTATCCGGATAAAGGTTTCGTTCGACGCGAACGGTACCCTTGGAACCACCATGAGCCAGACCGCTTCTCGAAGGAGTGCCTCGACTTTCTCAACGAGGAGCTCGCGGATATTGCACCGAGGCTAGAGGTTAGGGCGTCCGAACTGCCTATCCTCAATACCACCATGATCTCCAATGGAACAACACCGGAATACCGATATACCAAGCAGCTGGGTTTATTTGCAAAGGACGACATAACCCCTGGCTCGACTGTTCTAGAGGAGAAGTCGTTACTTACCGCCATATCAAGACTTCATGAGTCGTATTGCGATGCTTGTGTTATACCACTTTCGAACGGAGATGATACAGTAATATCCTGTGAAGAGTGTGACGAGGTATTCTTCTGTAGCGAGGAGTGTCACGATCTAGCACAGGACCACTATCATCCTGCACTTTGCGGTGTTATTGTAGATCAGGGAAAGGTACCTGCACGTGAAGCAGCAGACTACCTCTATTACCTTCTACTTGTTCGTGCACTAGCATTATCAGAAACCCAAGACGTTCATCCTCTGGAGCTGAAGGAAGTGCGGTATATCTGGGGCGACTACCATGGTCAAGACCTAGATCTTGCATGGCAAGCGGCTTCTTCAGGTGGCTCAAGCGACGCGTTCACGGGACTACCGCAAACACTACCTTTTTCATTCAAGAGTAACGTACTCATGCCATTGCATGTTCTAGAGAAGATGGACATCAACATCTTCACGCAGAGTGAGCGTTACGATACCTGGATCTTCAACACGCTGTACGCGAAATTCCGCGGAACAGCATCAGCACGACAGGGTCTCGATGGAAGGCCTGAGATTAGTGCGGTCCATCCAATGTGGTGCCTCGCGAATCACAGCTGCGATCCAAACGTGGCTTGGGAGTGGCGTGGCTCAATGCGGTTCTGGACCCGTGAGGAGTTGGTCGAGTGGAAGGGCAGAGACCCGCACATAGGGCCTGGTCTCAAGAAGGATGAAGAGGTGTTTGGCCACTACTGCGACGTACGTCTGTCAGTCAAAGACAGGCGAGAGTGGGCCTCAGGAGCACTTGGTGGAAATTGTATGTGTGCTAGATGCGTCTGGGAACAGGCGGAGGAACGGAAGCAAGGTGCTTTGCAGTAAGGCTCCTGCCGTCGCCCGCAGTATCGGGTCTGTTTTGAGGGAGAAGTGGTCAAGGTGTAGAGTTGGCTGCGTCATATTACCGAATACTAGTAGATGAACACGGGGTCGATGCACAAGCGAGGTGCAAGACGTGGGGATCTGGTGCGACACGAGTATACAGAAGTGGCTTCGACTGGAGATATCGGCAATCGCGCCATATCAAAACCATCTTCCGACCAATCCTTATAGCCGTGGGGGCGGCATATCACAACGGCAAAGATCAGACCATAATCCAACGGAGCGGGAACATCCGATCTTTCGTCACGATGCAGATCGAGGGTCCTGCACCTCGTGGGAAGCTGCATATGCCATTTTGAAGTAACCTCAATTGGCATGTATTTGTCTCACCTTCAATCCCAGTCATCTCCACTAACGGCAAGACAGCCCACGCCGACAGGCGCCACAAGCAGGCGAACTTTTCGTGTAGCGTCATTCCATCATGCTTTTGGTCCCCACTCGGCTGCGTGTATATGGACAGTATCCGATCGGTGTGCTGCCTGCACTTGCCTCACTTTTCCAGTGTCCTTCCAACCTCTAGCTTGTAGTCTTGCGCCCAGGATACCACCATCTTACGCGGTAATCAAGCCAAATCCCCCAAACTCCGATTCCAGACGTTCTACCAGGAATAGTTGCTTGGCAAGTGCCACGATGTGCGTGTGTCTGTCCAACGACCCGTGGCATCGAAATCTGGAAGGATAGCGCTACTGTGCCTTTCACACTGAGTCAAGCACATCTACTCGGAACTTGCTTTTGTGAAAAGATTCTCCGCAATCTACTAGCGTCATCGTCTTACACTGACCCCTGACAAGCGAGTTTCATTGACTAAGTAGGCGGACAGAGCCGCATCACGTGCTACCCGCTCTAGCCAAGGGGTTGTGGCTCTACATCCACAGCGCCAGAATTCCAAATTCTTTGGGTCACCGGCTGAATGTGTTATTCGATCTCGTTTGGGCGACTGGGATCACGAATCCCTTTCGTTGACACGCGATGGCTAGATTGCGGTTGTCTGCAGCCGTCCTAATGTCTTCAGCCATCAGTATCAACGATAATAATAGAACTGGCTGTGACGACTAGCGTTGATGTCTGGCATTTCACTGCTTCGAACCTGATTTCAATATTGCTCTATTGTAGAATGCGACAGGTATTGCTTGGGTGGTTCTTTTAGTGTATTTATGTCGTCAACTAGAATCTCTGAATAAAGACTATGCTAGCTTAGTCATAACACTTCTAAGATTACGTATAAATGGTCTGCTTGTGTTCATTCTGCCACAACCGCTACAATGGCAGAGATCGCAAGAAGAAATTTGTAACGTCTGCTCTAGGTTGTGTAAGAGTCACTTTAGCCGCTGTGAAGAGACACCCCAGCCTGCGTTCCGTGAAGATTTACTCGGAATCTCTACACTTCAACAGGTAATATTCAATACCATCGTTTCCATCACTAAGACTGTGGACCACAAATAGAGTCCCTCTCCACAAGAGTGCTTGAATCTGTAAGACATAGCTGTGGATGACAATAAGCAACGACTCGTGTGAAAGCCAATACATGCTACCAGAACTAAAGTCAGCCTATAGTCGCGAGTCCAAGTAGTCACAACATTACGCTTGAATATCTCTGCTATCAAAAAAAGTCTATGTAAACACTGGCTAGCTTATGGCGAACTCTTGGACGCGCTTCAGATCAACGTTCACGATTTTGTCTCAATAGCGATGACTATCCACCGAAGTCATGACCGGGTCACCAGGCGATAAAGCGTTAGCATATTACAGGGTTCCATGCACATTCGCCAGAACCAGGATTCAATGAGAGCCACCGATGCCTATCTCCGCTTCCAATTACACCACAATTACGACACTACTCTCAACAAAAGCATGTAACTGATCATGCAGCTCAACAGTTCCCTCCTTCTCCTTTTGGGAAAGTATACTGGATTGTTTGTCTATGCCAGTGCTTTGTGCCACACTTCACTCAAACTACGGCAGTCTGCGGATGACTCGCATCACGAAGTCCAACTGGAATGGAATACGAGCGCGACCTACCAGGCAAAGTTTCATTATCAGTGGGACGGCAATCACTATCTCCACTGGATCTTGAGCAAGAAACTGGTGCTCACATCCGACGGTACGAGCCGTCTGCCTATACCCTAGCTGCATACTTGTAGTAGGCAATCACTGCCGCTGCAACCGCCCTTCGTGCCTTCCTCTAAAACTAGTGTCACTCCACTTCCATTGCACCTTGGCTCCCTGATCACTGAACACTTAATCCTGCAGGAATTCAGCAAAATGAACTGTCGATCTCATGACCACTAAGAATTGCAAAATCAGGAGAGAATCGTCCCCAATGAGATTTGCGCACCTACACGCACACCCACACATGCGTAGTGCCTGGTTTACTGTCGACTAGGGAATGCATCTGAGAAGGAGCTCTTGTATACTGGGCAACTTTTACCATTGCTACGTATAGATATATCGAAGCACCGATAGGTTTATATGTGGAAGTGTACGCTCTAATATTAGTTGCACAGCCAATCAATCTGAACGTCAAACTCTATAGCATAAACAGGAATTCACCTGGAAAAAGCTAAGTACTCAACTAATGTCATGTCAACTTTTATTTCCAAACTATGCATGTCACCAGCCATGACAGCGGAAAAAACACACGGTTGCTCGTCATCACTAACACGACACTACGATATATTGATATCGTTTCATGTTCGAATAAATTCATGATTGTCTGAGCAGAGACGCCTCGTCCCAATACACTACCAAAGGCTATCTATAAGGTATCATCACATACATAGTCTAAGTCCTCCTCGGGAATGATAACGTATACCACATCACCGTCCCCACATTTGTCCTTTGAGGATCAAATATTTACTCCAAATCAACTGATGAGCTACTCAGCCCCAGTGATCCACTCCCACCACCCACCATGCGGCAA